TCTCCTTCTCTAGTTGAAGATTGAAAAGGGAACACGGTCTCGATTTTAAGTTCATATATTGAATGCCAAGTGCTATGGTATTCTATATACGGATCTGCACATGGATATATAATTCTCACCTGTTTGACCAATGAAGCTTTTTAATTGTGAATGCATTTTCTAATGAATATGAATATAAATCGTAAATTATATTAGCTTAGGATCATATTATTGATAATGATACATTTGGTTTGTACAGATGATCACGAATAAATGAACTGAATTTTCATGCATGGTGTACGATTTTAAGGTATATGTCATGATATGTCCACCAGATTGATGTCAGACCCCCCTCCCCTCCCCACCCCCCACCCCCCCCCCCCCCCCCATTGAACTGGGGTGCCGATGGGGACATTTTACTTTTAAAAATTCACTAAATGTACTAATTATAAAATTTCAAAAATTAATTTTATTTTGTTATTCTCAACTCAAATTATGGGAAAAGAAACAAGCAAAAATTCATCCAACACTTGATCTGTGGTTTGCATTTCTCGACTTACAATAATCCAAGAAAAATTATACTAAATATAGTATGTCAGCTTTTCAAATTAATCTTGGGTATATTTTGCCTCTCCATATGGTCATGAAATTGACAATGATCAACTAATAGCAATGACCTTAAATGTATATTTGCAGACTCAAAGTGCTAAAAATGTGTTTGAAGCAACTAAAATAACTAATAAAAGAATATATTTTAAAAAAAATATGCGAATTCAACCTTTAAAAATGGAATAAATAGCAATACAACAAAATATCCTGAATAAATTTCACATTTCACGGCATTTGCAGCAAATCATAAATTAATTCATTCAATTATTTATTAATCAATCTTTCTTTTAAAATTTAATTATAAATATCAAGCTTAATGGAACCAGTGGGGAGGGGGGGGGGGTCCTTCCTATTTTTTTGGCTCGCAAGGGAATTCGAACAGCACGGTGTCCCTCAAACTAAAAAAATTATTTGTTTGCCCCCGGCAGATCCAGGGCTGCCTATCTGATTTCTCTGTCCCACGCAGCTACATATACAGTTCTACTTTCCGTGTAAGTATAATAACATTGTAAATGAAATTAGGCCTTCCAATGTAATACTCTAAGGGTATGCAAAGTGTATATTGTATATGAAATACAACTTAAAGTTTGGAAACACAAACTTATTTAACACTGATTGATTACTCTTTCAATTAAATTGGCTTATCCCCTCTCTCTCTCTCTCTCTCTCTCTCTCTCTCTCTCTCTCTCTCTCTTACAGAGAGGTTCTGTATACTTTTATCTGAAGTGCACTTAGTCTTCTATTTACACAGCAAATAACACATCAGCTGCATGTTACCTTTTTCGTCCTAATTCAATATTATAACTATAATAATTATTATTAATATTAAATTTTCAAATAACTCCCTTTGTTGTTTGTTTGCTATTATATTTGAAGACTTAGAGAAAGAGAAAAAAACTACAATCGAAATGAGAAATAAAAATAAATAAATAAAAAAATAATTTTTCATAAATAATTAAAATAATGAAAATATTCTGAATTTTTGTTTTTGATATCTAATTATTTGATTATGGATATCAAAATAAACGTCTCAATACGTACAATCTAAATCTGTGTTTGTATTAATTTGCGTTTCTATTAATTTAAAAATATCTAAGTTTGAAGCTCTCAAGAAATTATAAATATATTGCTTCCTGTCGTTGTGTAACCACCCCTTGTTGATATATCAGGACACTCAGTCTTGACACCTATTGTTTAAATCTCTGGCTACTGTCCGCTGTTTAATCCACCGTTTTCCTGTTTGGTATTATACATTTTCTGTTGAGTGTACACGTTAACCCACAACCATGATAAGCCACCCTACCCACTGAATAATTCTTTTCATTTTTTGATATTTTATTTGTATTGACAAAGTCAATTCAAACAATAATTAGTTGGGGTTTTTTTTTATCACAAGCCGTGTTAAAAAAAATAATTATTATTGTGACAGGGTAAATGTATGAGTGAGAGAAAGAGAGGCTTAATTTTTTGAGAAAAAAATATTTAAACAATATATAATATACTACTGTTTCAAAATTATTCTTAACATGTAACTTTGCCTACCAAATCAGGTTGTTAACCGCATTATCGAACTATGGAAAATGACAATGTGACGTTAAAATTGTTCAATACTATGAATGATAATTATTATATATAATTTAATTGCTCAGTAAATTCAAAACTTTAAGACTAGAGGAATCATAATTATCAATTAAATGATCTTAAATATAATTCATAGGATTTATTTTTTACTTTTTTATATATGGTGCCAGTGTGTGTTAAGTGTACTAACAGCACAAATTTAGCACTCTTGAAATAAATATTTTATTCGCTTAAATCTAAAATACCAAAGGCTTCTGAACAATTAGAGAAGTAACAAGAGAAGAATAAAATTTAGGAAATTCAAAAGTTAAATTTCATTCATTTAATAAGTCTAAAATATTCGCAGTATGGTTCAGTGATGTACAGTGCCAAACTGGGATGCGTACATTGAACTTCAGTGAAGTACAGTGCCAGTCTGGGACGCGTACAGTGAGCAACAGTAGTGTACTGTGCTGTACAGAAGTTGAGTACTGTACACGTCTGTGATGTACAGTGCTGTACTGTGGAGGCGTACAAGGACAGACAGTGGTGTACAGGGCCGTACAGAGGGGACGTACAGTAAAGTACAGGGATGTATAGAAAATAACAGTGGGTTTGTTCTGTGATTTACTGGGGATTACAGTGGGCACAGGGATTTTGTACAGTGACTGTACAGTGTTTATACAGAGAAAAGCAGTACTTAAACAGTGGATATCAGAGTTTATCAGAGATTTTTCAGAATATCAGGGAATTTTAAGTCCAGTAGTGATAATGTTTATTAGTGTTTTAAGTCTACCTGTGTACCAAGTCTTACTGAAGTCATACGAAACCTGAAGGAGAGGTAGTGTTTTGAAAGAATTGCACAGAAATTTCTAATTTTTTTTGTGACCATGGCAACAACATTGTTAACATCAACACAGATAAACAGAATTATGTATCTTAGTATAGCATATATGTGTGCCAAGTCTTATTAAAATCACACCAAAACTATAGGAGGAGTGTCATTTTGAAAGAAAATCCAAGAAATTTCAAATTTCCATGTCAACATGAGGCCTGTTCAACAGAGCGAACATTTTCGAATGCTCGCAAACATTTTTGTTGGAGGGATAAGGAATATAGGTGAGCGCTAACAAACATTCGCTCTCCCGAACAGGCCTCAGGTTTGTCAAAATCAAATAACAATCTTATTGGCTGTATGAGCAGTGTTTTGAATGAAGTTCACAGGAATTTATATTTTTAGTACCACCATGTATTACTGTTAACAAAACAACAGACAATGTTAGAATGCCCTTTTTGAATTATCAATCAGAGCACTAAAGTGCCCTTTTCAGGATCGGCTCCCTGCACTTTTGAAATCCTAGCTGGAACACTGCATCTTAAGCTTTTCTGATCTCTGTCCACTATATTTAAAAATATCGTACATACTCCCCTATAAGTTGGTTCTCTTATATTAATAAGTCGGTTGTATTTTTTCAGATTATATTGGTCAGGAGTAATTAGCCATTGAGCCGCTTTTAAGTTGGTACAATATTTTTGCCAGAATCTACTGCCAATTTAAGATTAATTTTTTAATGTATTTATGTGTGTTTCAAAGTACATGTATGTTTTGGGGTATGACACCAATATTTGATCTTTTATTAACAATTTTAATAAATACAAAATCCTTAAATCTATAAGTGTTTGTGTTTCATGTATATGGTGACTTCAGACCTTCCTTTCCTGCATTAGACTAAGTTCTAACCTGTAAAAACAATTATCGTTATGTTATTACAAAATTACTTTATATTTCCTCTTCCAGAAACTAGCAAATTTCTAGGCTTCGCTTTTAAGTTGAACATAGATTTTCCCAGAAATCCAACTATATATACAGTATATATATATATATATATATATATATATATATATATATACATATATATATATATATATATATATATATATATATATATATATATATATATATTTACAGCCTTAAGCTTGTAGTGCAAAGAAGCAGGACTGAAAATTACAATGGTTTATCATGTGTGTTTATCATGTCCTGTGTGGATTTCAAAAATCAAACGTCCAACAGGTGAATTAGTTTTCCAGAAGGAAAAAATTATTCCATCAGCAAAGTTCATCAAAGACTCTCTCTACACTGCGCACTAATTTTAGGATACTTTTGTGTAGCTAGACTGATCATCTATTTGATATGAAATAGAATAATTTGCAATCTGCACTGTATTACATAAATTGCATTTAATTCAAGTATTCTACACATTAAATTAAACCATGACAGAACAACTGAAAACTTTCTTCGCATGTATTTTCTCCATTTGAGTAAGCAATTGTGATATTTCTTTATCAGTATTTCCTTGTCTTTGAAAATTTTCCTAGGTAAAAAGGCATGCACCCTATGTTAAAATAAATAGATAATTTTAATATGTATTCCTTACACTTTATAATTTTCTTGAAGTCCAATAAACATTTTTCATCGTGTATAGAGGGTTTTAGAAAAAAAACAATAGAGCTAGATTACACAGGAACCTGTCAATACTTTATAGTTAAAGCTGAACCAAATGTTTCACACAGTTTCTTGTACTCTAATTCAAGTATATGCTGATATATGATTTAAACAATACATTCATATACAAGCTCTGCTCTAATTTCACTGATTCATGATTATTCTAATCAGTTGAGGAAGAATGCGTTAAATTTCAAGTGCACTAATTGATGTACTTTTACAGTACATAAACATACAGACAGACAAGCAAAGATCAAACCTGTGATCCCCTGGCTTTACTGGCAAGGTGTAAGAAACAGAAAATGGCTGTTATCAAAATAAAATGGCTGTAATTCAGTATAACACTAACCTCTGTAGAGTCTGGTTGAACATTTTCCAGATTTCTATTGGACAGATATTCCACTACATCCAAGAATCCAGCAGTGACATCCATCGTCACACAATGGTGGGTAGGGGCTGTTCTCTCCACTATCTCTACGTTCAGTGGTTTACCTATTAATCTGTTAAACAATTCAAAAAATATCTGATTTAATAAGTACATTACTTGTCGAAATCATTACCAGAGGTCTATGGGCAATAATGCTGGCCTGCATTCAATGATATGACTAATGAAATATAAAATAAAGCCACTTAATGAGGTTTCAAACTTTAAAACAAAGTTATTCATATGGTTTTATGCAATTTAACCTACACATTTTGATGTCAAACTTCTGTTGTGATTCCACCCTTATCCAGGGTGAACAAACTTAATTTTCTTAAATAAATGACAATTTTGTCCTTTAGAATGAGGCTTACATATAAATGGCACATAATTTAGACTTAAATTCTAATCACCCAATAATGCTTTGTGGTAGTCTGCTTGAAATTAATAAAGTGATTTTGGAGAAGAAGTTGAAAATGTTAAAAGTTTACAAGCAAATTAACAACAGGCCCATTGACCAAATTGCTTACCAAGTCGCACTTCTCAGTCCAGGGTCATGTCATCGAAAATGCAAGTTAACAAAGACCAAAGGACAAAAGAAGGACATCCGACAAAATTTGATCGGATAAAATTCAAAGAAATAAGTTTCTTTTAAAGAATGTCTCTAGACCTAAATCCAACAAACCTTAGATGATCATGAGGCAGTGCCCCAGAGAAGGCAGCACGTAGTTCCTTAACTTCTCTGCCACTTGCAGCACTAAATGCTTGCATTTTCTGGAAATACTGTGCTGCAATTGCCTTCATTTGGTTCTTGTTTTCTGCTTTGGCACTGGTAGAAAGGTCCACTTTCTGGGAGGGGTTTTCATGCAATAAAGCCAGAGAAAAGAAGGCTGCTCTCAGGTGATACCGACAGAGTTCTGCAGTGGGATCATCAAAGAAGCGCTGCATTGAATCTGTGAAAAAGAATTGGGAAACGTAAAAAAAAATTCAGTCATTAAATTCCAATATTGAGCAGCAATTATTCAAAATATTCTTTAAAACAGAAATGAAAACATTTGATTTTGTATGCATTCTTCTTTTACATATGATCAGGTTCTTCAAATTTTGAACTTAAATCATTTTGACACTATACTTCAGAATACACACCTCTTCCAGCTCTCGTATTTTTTTTTGATCCAGATCTCATGGCTACAATATACAGTACATGTACATAGTGATTAAAGCTGTATCTATAGTTGTAAGAATTAGCCATGTGAAAGGTTTTAAAACATACTCCCTTATTTTCAATTTTATTTTTATTACTTTCTAAATTTGAAATATAAAAAAAAATAAAATTTGAACAATTTTTATTTTAACATTGCAATGATCTAGGACATTAAAGATAGATCTAATACATTTCATCTCATTGATATCTAGCTTGGACTGGTGTTTCTTCCCTGAAACTTTTAAAGTAGGAAAATATGGAAAATATGTTGATTTACATCACATTTATGCATTGATCTTCGTCATAATCATGGAACTGTTGCTAATAAATGAATTTCCAGTCTTCAAATAATATTAATGATTTATAATACAAAATATTACGTCATATTTGTGGCAATAAATTTAAAAATAAAAAGATTTTTTTTTTAACATGGAATATATTCTTGATAGAAAACATTAAGATTTTTAGGGATAAGCAGTTATTTCTATAGACATGATTGTGTTAGTCAGAGCAGACCCAGGGATGTATAATCTCTCACTAGTGACAGTGCTTCCTGATCTTCCCGAGGCCGTGCTGAAATTACTATTTATAGAGGACTCCATGTCTCTCATCTGGTCTGGGGCTAGAGAAAAGTACTGTTCTTCTCCTGTAAGAATCAAATGTAATTCATTTACTTCTTTTTTAAAGTGAAGAATGTTTCTTGTTAACCTCTACATATTACTTATAAAAAAAATTAGGAATGTATTGATTATGCCTATGTGAAGGGGAAAAAAGAAAAAAAGAAACTCTTGTCATAAGCAATTTGAAGATGAAGAATGTAAATTTCTTTCATTTTTTTTTTTCAAACAACTTCTTTTCACCTTAAAAGTACTATGTACTTATTTACCTCCTAACCCTAGTCTAATCTTACCGAACTCTTTTTTTCTTAACAACTATGTCATATTTTTTTCAAAAAGTAATTGATTGGAGGCTTAATCTAACAACTTTACAGTGCACATACACTAACTGGATCTAGTCATGATTTTATGCTTTATGAAGAGTTGCATGCACATGTGTACTCAGACTACCAGCTGAGCTAAATTAACTCTCAATGAAATGAAAAGAATAACATTTGTACCTATGGAGTGAGTCATGATATCTTGGAGATCTGTAGCCATCATTGTATCTGTTTGGTGGAAGTGGATTCTGTCAGAGTGGAGCTGTCGCTGGAGCTCTGTCTCCACCTTCCTGTAATCCTCGTCACTCATTGGTTTACTCTTACTTCTGGCCCGCCTCCTGCCTCCGTCACTGGAATCTGAACAAAAAGACATTATATTACAATAAATGCAATTCCAACATGTCTGAAATTTCTGTAAAAAGATATCTGAAATATTTAATTTCATTTGATTTCAAAAAACAATTTTTTTTGTATTTTGTTATTCATGTGCACAAAGTTTTACAAAAATATATAATGTATTACTTGGAGACAGAAAGCCATCTACCAGGTCCAGAACAGAGTGGAACTGAGCAGGACTCATCAGCAGGTGGACTCCTCCAACATCTAATTCTATCTCAACCTGAAATGAAAAACACTTTCCCAACTACAAGTTTTACACAAGTAAAAACAAGTGTAAAAATAGCATGTATATTAAGTAAATTGAATGGGAGGAAAAGGACCATTTACAGATCTAAGAATACTATCATGGTTAACATTTTCTGACGTCATTCAATTCAAATTAAAAAAATAATTTATTCATATGATCTAAATTTCACTTTGGGTCTAATAATACTATGATCTTAAACTTGCATACATGTATTTTCTATTTTTTGCCCACCAAAAGTAATTTTGTTCCTTTTTTCCTTTTATCTGAATCTTAAATATTTGTCCAAAACCTAATATTTACATTTGATGTGTTTTTTATTAAACCAAGCACCAGGATCATGAAGCAGTGTTAGACTTAATTCAAAGGACAAGATAGGGTAAGACCCCTTTTGGCCCCTGGTTTGGGTTGTCTTTTAGAATGATGCAACAGTTTATCAATAAAAACCTGTTGTCACCCCTGCCATAAAATGAGTATTGGTTCTAAGTTATGGGATACATAGAGGTCACAGGAAGGTCAGAAAAAAATGTCAATTTCCGAAATTTCTCATTTTTATGCAAATTTTCATCGATTTTACAGCACATTTTGTTTCAGAAAACATAGAGCACAAGCTTGCCTATCTACCAAATCTATATATTTCATACATTAGTATCAGATGCATCTTATGTATAAAAATCTCAGATAGGCAAGCTTGTGCTCTATGTTTTCCAAAGTGAAAAATATCTCAAATTTGACAAAATTTCACCAGAATTGAGGAAATTCTGGAAAATGTCCTACTTCTGCACCCTCTTGTGGCCTCCATGTAATCTTTGAATCAAAATTAGTGCGGGTTTTAAAACAAGCATTATTTTATGTTCTTAACTACAAACAATCACAATTTTTACTGTGTTCTGATTTTTACATCAAATAAGGGGCCAGATTTGGCCCTAACCATACCTTGTCCTTTGTAAAATGCTGTAATTTTAAGGATAGAAACCACAAGAAATTTGAAATGTTTGTTTCCCTTTCATGCTTTTAACTTTAGTTTTCAAGAGTCATTTTCTAATAAATACTAATACAGGAAAATTTTCGCCCCCATTTTATTTTCGCCCCTTTCACCCTAATCACAGGTTGGCAAATTTAAACTGGGGTGAATTCAAAGAACACAGTGTAATATCTTAAACAAAATGGTGACTAGGCAAATTTCAAATTAGGCAAAATTGTTCGCAAGTGCAAATGGGCGAAAATAACCCTGTATACAGTATTCATTTTATGAATGACTGTAATTTTGACTGAAGTCTAACAATGCTTCATGATCCTTGGACTAGCCATGAAACTGAATTAAGTGGCATTTTTGTACACACCCACATGTAGAAATATACATGGAAAAACTGCGAAAGTGATGTCACATAGAGGCTACAGAGAAGTTAATGCAAATACAGTAAAAACTGTCTAATCCGACACCTGCCCAATCCGTCACACTGTGAATTCCGACCTAAGATTTTGTTCCCATATTATTACCGGTATATTCAATGTTTTTTTTACACTGTGCAATCCGACACACTGTCTATTCCAACACAAAATTCGTCTCCCAGTGCATGTCGGATTAGACAGGTTTCACTGTATAACAATATAGGGCAATGACAAATTCAAACCTTGATTGTTTTTTTTTTGTTGTTGCATTTAATTAAATAGCAAAATGTAAGTATAAGCTAAAACATTCCTTATTGCTTTATCTACAGAGAAATAAAATTTGCTATACCTTTGGTCCCTGAACTCCTTCTTCTTGTTTGATTTTCACCTTTAGACTGGATCTACCAGTAAAACCAGCAATCTGTATAGGATCTGAGAAAACTTCAGTCACTGGTGATGTCCCCTGCTGGTTGTCATGGGAACATGGTGGGGAACTAGTGGTGGACATGAAAGTCTAGAAAACAAAAAACTCAACATGACTAATTGTTGTTTTACTGTTCTTGGGAAGATTTCTCAAGATTTTTCCCAGTAAATCCCCAATCCCTATACTGTGTCCCTAACATAGCCTAGAGACCATGGTTTGAATATAGCTGATATTCTACACTACATTGAAATGTAGTATTTGAATAGATGTAGCCCTGCTATTCTTGAGAAGTATATTTTTAAGGAATTTTTCTATATATCACTGTAAACAACTTTGACCCCCTATTGTGCCCTTTCCTAGCCCCATGGGTCATGATTTGATCAGACATACAGTGTATCTACATTAGAGGAGAATGCTTGCACATCCAAATCTGTGGCACTACAGTTCTTGAAAAGAAAAATTCTTTATATTCCAATAAAAAAAATATTAAACACCCTGTTGTGGCCCCCAGTCATCGTCAGATGTCCATGGATGATCTTGTCTTTTAGACGAAATCACCCATGCATGGGTATCTGATGATGGCCCCCAGTCTGCTCAAAAGCAATGACTTGAACAAACTTGAATCTTTCTCTTTTCTGGCAGAGTTATTTCACTATATTTTCATTATTTAGTTACTACCTCCCCTTGATAAAGGGTGTTGTTTTTCATTTGAACAAAATTGACTCCCCTTCACCCAAGAATGCTTTGTGGCAAGTTTTGTTAAAATTATTTGATGGTACTCATTAAGATGAAGAAGTGAATTTTCAGACAAAAAACAACATATAACATGTCCCAAATGACAGACAGATACCAGACACTCTTTGATCAGAAAAACTCACCAAATAAATCCTTAAAATAATCTTTTTTTTACTGTAAATCACTTCTTTTTTGCATGAACTTTATTTTCATGTAATTATACAAGATCACCTGCTTGCAAAAATTTAATTCTACTGTTTATTTATATATAAGTAATGACTATACAGAATAAAAATCAAAATTTGTAAAAATTATGTTATAAATACAAAATGACAATCTCACAAAAATAAGGTGTCATGAATATCTGGTGATCTACAGTAATGTTTCAGAGAGATCCCACCATTTATATACTAAATACATGTATAATCAATGCATTAATAGTTATTTAACAATGTATAGCTCCCCTCCCCTTCCCCATCCTGTGTTCAGCACTATAAATTCTTACCTGAGGAGATGACCCAGTGGAGTCCATTCTGTCGTAATTTTGTTGTGTAGGACGACTAAATTCATCACACAAAATCTGAATGCCATCAATCAAAATGTTTTTGTGAGCAACTGCTGCTGGCTCCCATGTTGTTCTGGAGGTGTCATCCACAGGACTACCCTCCTCTTTAGCAAGGTCATCAAAATATTCAACTCTGTAATATACATCAACTTAATGTATGATCTATATACACTGACTGTTCATAAAAAAGTTTATAAAGCTCAATTATAGGAAACACTGTTATAGTGAGATATGAATACTTGATTTCTGAGCACAGAGGTATATATCTGTGAAGGTCTTTGCAATTTCCATTGTGGTTTAATCAAAACTTTAAATAGACAAATTATGTATAATAAAAGCTGTGGTCAAAACAAACTCATTTTTTATTTCCAAAAACAATGGTCAGAGAAAATTCATTTTTAAACTCCAAAACAAAATACACTGTTCAAATTGAAGTTAATATACACACTGTAAATCACTTTTTCATTTGCGAGAACTTTATTTTTGTATAATTAAGTGATACAGTCAGCTCATGAAAATTTCATTCTCCCATATATTATTATTTATATACTAGTCAATTATACAGAGCAATAACTTGAATTTGTGAAAATTTTTGTCTCCCTTATAAATACCAAATAAGGTGTCACAAAAATTTGGTGATCTACAATAAGTTCTATGGTATTTAGAATTTATAAAGAATCTCTTTCTGGAAAGAATCGCGAAGTATTTCTTACAGAACTGTAGATCATTTCTTTTTCATCACACCTTAATTTTGTGAGATTTTGAGAGATTGTTGTTTGGTATTTAAAAGTGAAACAAAAATTTTCACAAATTTTGGTTATTGCTCTATATAATCTTTAATTATAGTACAATTATACACGAAAATGAAATTTTCACGAGCAGACGGTCTTTAATAATTACGTGAAAATAAAGTTCTCATGAATAAAAAGCAATTTACTGTACTATTTCAACCAACAGATACATATATGTTGAACACATGTCACATGAGCCACAAAAAGAGGGTAATCATTATTATAGTTTCTATTTTAATACAGTAAAACTTGTCTCATCCAGACACCACTTGTTCAGCAGAAATTGACCAGATTAGACAACATTCCAGATTAGTGAACATTTTAAACAATTTAATTTACCAAAAAGAACTGATAGTTTTCTCCATAATAGGCAAGATTTGGGATTACACAACATACGGATTAGACAAGTTTCACTGTACATAGTTGTTAGATAAGATTATGTTTAAACATATTTATATACTACACTTTACCTTTTGATTTTGATTTCCAATGCTACGCCTTTTTCTGCTGTGTTTGGCAGGTGTTCTACTCTTATGACCGTGTCAACTAGAGTCACTTTTACTCGGCATAACACTACAAACAAATAGTATTCCAAAAACCTAAACTATGCTTTTTCATCATGATCATTTATATGTAATCTGTGGTAAATTATGTACATGTATTGTGTTTGTCTCTTTTACTCTGTGTAACACTTTGCATTTGAATGAGTGCATGCTTAGTTTTGAATATGTTAACATTTCATATTGCTTAGGAAGCATGCTTGTGGAAGGTAAATGACAAATCAAAATGTAAAAATTTCAAAGTTAGAGAGAGTTGGATATATAACAAGATAATGTAGCAACTGTCCTACCCACCTGAATCAATTGTCTGAGCAAATTTCTGTACCCCCTCAAAAGGTGTACCCAGGTCCTGTCCCTGGTCCCCATCTGAGGTGGACTTCAGACAGTCCTCTGCAATCTGTAAACTGCTAGTCATGCTGCACATACTGTTGAACATGGTCTCCAAACCACCTACTGCAATAGGCATTCAAAAATAATATCATTTCCATGTTAAGTTAATGGAGAAGTTAGAAAGTTCTTCAAATAGAAGACACTGGTTTGTTCTGATCAGTGGAACATAAATTTCAAATTACTCGGTTACTTTATTATTTCATAATTTAACTTTTGTTGTAGCGCGTCATTTTATTGGATAAAAAATTAGTTTATATTGTATAATCTGTGTTGCCTACATCACTAACAAAGAATTATGTCAAAAATGTATCAACCAGCTTGACGTTACTTTTAAAACAGGTACCATTTGAGAGCATTTTTGAAGGAGAAGCTGTCTTACCTGCTATACTTAATTAGGGAAAATTAAATTATAAGGAATAAATTTAATAGCTACCCAAGTTATACTGGTATAACCTGGGTTGGAACAGTTTACACTTTTTTTTTATAAACCACTTCGCAGTTTATAAAGCGTAAACTGCCCCAACCCAGGTTATGCAGTATAACTTGGGTAGCTATTAAATTCATTTCTTAATTGAACAGCCATTATTTCACACAATTCAAATCAAAATGATAATCAGTTAGAATTTGAACGAGAGAGAAAAGCAGACCGGTAAATTCCTGAATCAAAATTATAGAACACAATTATGAGTGTAACGGAAGAACTTTTTACCCACCATTTTGACTCCTTTGTTTTGGCTGAACAGTAAGCTCCAATCCCTGAATCTCCAACTCTGTACTACTCTGTATGAGGTTGGTCCAGGGTACAGATACACATATCTGATTGATGAAGCCATCAATTATCTCTAGCGGTACACTGCTGCTATCCAAGGCATCATTCAAAGCCTTCAAAATTAATTGAAATTTAATTGTATGATCCGTTTACATTAGTTTCCTGCAAGTTACCTTTTACAACTCTACAGTAAGTCACATTTTTATTTACGTATATCTCAGGCAAACGGTTTTATTGAGAAGAAATTAAACTGGGCTACTTTGAACAAAGAACTTCAAACAAACTAAGGGCATGAATCAAGTAAATATATTTTGCGTTGATATCAAAAAGTGGACCAAACTCAAAAGACAATTAAGCTAGTATGTCCACATATTTAAGCCCAACATCTTTTCCTTAGCATCAAACATCCTTAGTCAATGAAATCTGATTTCCTTATGTGACATCAATATGTCATGTAGCCCATACCATTGTAGCTGTTACACCATTGTGTAAAAGTATTGTCAGCAATTACAATAAAATCACTCTTTAAAGGTTCTTGAGTTAAAAATAAACTACTTACCTCTACATCTAACTCTAAATCTTTGATTGAACCTCGTCCATTGTACAAGTCAACACTCAGCTGATCCAAAGACAACTTCTCTTTCAAAAATTGTCCCAGGTAGTGTTGTAAAAGATATCTACAAGCCCTTTTCTTAAGAAATTCTGTCCATGGAAATGTCCAAGGCATTTTCTTGCAATAAGTTGTGGAAATCTTTGGATATTAATGCATTACATTGCTGTTAAAATGTAAACATTGCAATTCGTCTCTCTTTATTTACGGACCTGACGTATTTTGTTTTATTCCTGAAGAGTTCCACAAAGAAGGACAACTCTAAACAAGTATTTGCGCCTTACCTGAGTGCATTTCAATGGCGGATCCAGGAATCTCTCCCCTCCCCCGAAAGGGGGGGGGTCCATAACTACTTAAGTAATTTCCGTCTCAAAATGTTTTGACATGTGAAAAAAAAAAGAAAACATGAAAAGCATATGAGTGGGTGGGTGGATGAAATTGAAAAAAAAAGGGGGGGGGGGGGGGTACGGGCACTGGAAGTTAATGTAAATATTGAGTAAAGAGATCTGTACATACTTTATATTTACATTAGAATTATTATACAGTATTTACATTGAATTCCAGTGCCCGTGAGGGGGAGTGGGTTCACTAGCCATTTTCCCCTTGCCAATTTTACGATGCATAAGTTTCCCAGTTGGGGGAGTCCAGGGTATCCAAGGTCATTTTTTTGTGGGTTATTTTGCTATAAATTCTACAACTCTGAAAATCGGGGGGGGGGGGGACCCCTGACCCCACCCCATCCCGGCTTGGTACGCTACTGCATTGGATTCAAATATAATGTTTATGAAGTCCATATCATTTTATGTCAAAGCAATCAAAAGGCTTAGAACTGTTTGCAAAACAAAAACAAAAACCCAAAAAAACAAATAAAAAAAAAATAAATAAAACATAAAATACATTTTCAAATAAAATATCCCAGCTAGGCTGATTTTAAATGTTATAAAGTCATCTATACATTTGTCGCTTCTCATTTTAAGAAACAACTCATTCGCACACCGTGAATCAGTCGTTTGATACTTTTCTCTGTATATTCTGTTCATATAATATTGAATTTTGTTTACTTGTTTCACAATGCTGAAACATTTCTACCGCTGTTTTGCAGTTACCTCTTTAATCGAAAACTTACTGCGAAGTCTGAATGAATTTTTCGATGAAAAATCAAGATGACATATGCGTGCTTTTAAATTTATTAGTGGTTAGCTTGTCATGAGAATTTTATTTTTCATAAAACTTAATGAAATACAAATACATGAAAACTACTTTGAATAAAAATATCTAATTCTCTGCTTCAATTTATAACAGGGACTCCGAGATGTATTTTAAATTATTTTTTTTCAAATTCCTGTTTATACCATAAATCAGTTGGACCGATTTTAAACAATTGTTCTCTTATATTTTCACCCAACTATTTATGTTTTTTTTTCACATTCCTCAAACAAAATATTATAACAGTCTAGCAAAATACAATTTTCACTTTTTAACAGCTTAAACCAAAATGTTAAAATTCTAAGACAAAATAACCTTACTACCTTCATTAGAAATCTTCCAGTATATTCTAAATATCGTTAAGTGCACATTTTCTATATCTTTTGGGTTATGAAAACTCCAAATTTCAAATCCATAATTCAAGTCACTAGCAACATGCGTATCAAACAAAAAACAACGTTTCTGTATTCAAGTACATTTCGCTGGTTTTAAATTTCAGCGAGAACATAGTCTTGTTTACATTGTAAAGACAGTTGTTTCTGTGTGATATTAAATATTTTTCCATTGCATGTATTTATAAGCATTTCCAAAATAAATATACTTGTCAACAATTTCAATAGGTTCTCCATCCAAATGCCATTTTCCATCCCATCTTGTAGTATAAGTGTATTTAACATGGTTTATATATACTTGTAGTTCGTTTAAATTACCTTGTCATAAGCGTGCTTTAGTACATGAAGATTTAATTCTAATAGTTATAATGATATTATATTACCCTTATTAAAAAATCACTTTCAAACTCATTCAGATACAGCGAAAATAATATGGAAGGTAATACTTACTCTAGTAAAAGACCCGTTTTACATTTTAGAAAAATTCTGATAAATTACATGTATCTGCAGACCGCACACATGGCTTCATACTTTGATACCTTTTATGAATATACATGTAGTAATATTCATAAACAGAATACAGGAAAACGTCTCTCGTGTTCAGATTGGTTGTAAATACCAGGAGATTATAAACGTATACATGCCACATTTCAGCTGCCATTCTACTAAATCCGCCTGATCCTTCAAAATTTACTAGTATGCATGTGATTTCTTAAAAATTACTTTGCAAGAATTTTATAAATGAATAAAGTTACCACATTTGAAAACCATTTTAATTGAATTAAGGCCTGACAACACATTCCTCAAATATCGATTTTGTATCTCTTCGAAATATATCAAAAATCATTCATGATTGTCATTCTCTTCCGAGTTCTAAACTGTTTTCAAAATTTCTTGAAAAATAAGTGCACCAGAAATTGTGTTATTGGCAATATAAGTGATTTCTAATAGGATTATACAGAAAAGCCATCCTCTGATTTCCTGCACAAATGTCCGGTAAGGCACCTCAATTTTTTGTGAGGAAACTTGTTAAAGTAGCAATACTTGAATGACAAATTCTTTGGAAAAATTATATATTATTGAGGAACGTGTCATCTGACCTTAAGATATTCTTGACCAGAACTTCGATTTACAAATGGTGCTAAGGGGTTAATAGCCCAATTAGAATGGTACATGTTGGTCCTTGACTACAATAAATACTATACATAACAAAAGATCAATTGATTTCTTTTTTTATTATTCTGATAACAAAACAAAATGCATAGAAAATTCTTGCAGTCTGAGAGATTAACAAATAAATAAAAGAAACACACTAATATAAACACTATATGCCAGTATATGGTATAGAGTTATATATGGACTTTGAAGAAAAAGAAAACATATCAAAAACCTAATATTTTCCATCCAATTTCCCTGGAAAGTGAACATTAAAATATTTTTGTTTTTGAATGTGTCTTTTAAATAAACCATGATACAGTAGATAATTTTGATACCAAGTAAAATGTTGGAAAGGCAATACTATGTAAAATAAATCTGATGCCACTCTTTAAAGAAATATGGCTAGTTGTATAAAATGCTTTCAATATTTCCTAATTACTTAAAAAGCAGAAGTTATAAAATGAATACTTCAAGTATTCATCAAAAATGTCTAATGCACATTTTGGTTAATATCAAATATATATAAACAGCACTGAGGACTTGTCATGCAGAGGTATAGATTAATAACAATGGTATAAAAGGGCTGCTTTATAATATACTGGTTGTATAAAAAAAATGTAACAGTAGCCTTCTTATGATATATAACATTATAATCTGAGGTAACAAATAGATACACATAATTTCTTGAATATCAATACATCTCAGAAAAGGAGAAAAACTTAATCTTCCCAAACAGCAGTAATATAATTTATGAATACAAAAGCTTAATCTTTCCAAACAGCAGTAATATAATTTATGAATACAAAAGCTTAATCTTTCCAAACAGCAGTAATATAATTTATGAATACAAAAGCTTAATCTTTCCAAACAGCAGTAATATGATTTATGAATACAAAAGCTTATATACTCTTTCTTTTCTTTGGTGTTTTGAGAAGACATTGTTCAACACATTTTTTTTTCTCACATTGATTTGATCAGTACTATACAGAATTTTGTTTAGTATGGTTTATAAATTATTTATACCAAATGAAGACATACTTGATTCAATCTTTAAACTTTGCCAGAATATCAATATACAGGAAAACATGCTTATAACAAAGTGCCAGGGATGGATGATTTTTCTTTGTTATAAATGTAATTTGTTAAATCTGCTAAGTTCACAATATATTTTAAAGCCCGTGGAATGAAAATCACTTCACTGTGAGCATCAATTCATTAAACAAGTGTTTGCTATAAGTACTGATGCTCCAGAGGTATTCACATAAATATAAACAGCTTATGTATAATAATTTAATTTTAAAAAATCAAAGCATTTATCAAGCAGAATAAAATATATAAATGATATATATATACCGGTAAGCATTTCAAATTTCGATAAATAGAAAGCACTTTTGCATCAAATTTTTATATTTGAATACTGTAATCATTTTTTTCTGTGGACTCAAATTTTTGCACCTTCCCTTCAAAAAATGGTTCATTCCATGGAAGATGGATCCTTTTTTACCTTTTCAATATTGAGTAAATTAAGAATATATGGCAAGAAGTACGAATGATTCATTTGTGAATTTAATTTTCCTGGGAAAAGTGCAAAAATGACATCCATGCAGAAAAAAGGATTTTACAGGAACACAACATGTACAAATATAAGACATAGGTCATGGGCACAAACGAAATTTCAGTCTAAACCAATATACATATATAAATTCTGTATACATATATATGAATAAAATATCATTGATATGGGTGATTTTTTTTGTTTGCAATTTCACATAATCTTCAGGTAGGAAAGTACAGTACAGATGTTGAAGAATTTTAATTTTTTTTTTCTCTCTCTTGAATTTTTGCAATCAGTGAACAAAAAAAAGTTCAGCTAATTAGATGGAGAACCACAAAATTGATCCTTTATAAGTACCAGTAAATGTTCATCTATTTATGCCATTTATTATTCTGACAAAAATCTGACTCTTGTCCAGTGTACAAAGTGACAACCTCTTCATTATACTACTCATGGCTATAAATCTTTTCCAAGTCTGTCAATTTCATCAACAACAAACTCCATGTCGGATTTGTTAATATCCAGATTGGACACAATCATTCTGAAGAAATTGACACGGTCACCATCTGGCTGATATCCTATTAACATTGTCCCATCCCTGGTCATTCCCTCCTTAATCTGAGGGGCAACCTTTAAAAGACAATACAAGTTTCATCAATTTATTATTGTAAACCATAAATGTTTTTTTAAATATAATGCACTTCTTTATGTACAGAAAAATTGAAAAATACTGGAAGGAGTTCAATTAAACCATACTAAAGAGATTCAGGTTAAAACTCTACCATTGCTACCTCGATCTATATAAACTCTAAAACCCCCTTGGCTGCATCACGTAGAATTACCACTAACCCATTCTTATTTAAATAGGGTAACTGACCAATACAAGAATATACCAAGATTGAGTTTCTGGAGCTAATAGCTGCAATATGGTGTTTAAAACTTACTTAAAAGATTTTTTTTTCTTTGGTGTGTGATGCGATATGAGTTTTGAATGTTATGTAAACATGTATCTTAATCTAAGTATCTTTAATATCCTCAGTTCAATTTTCCTCAATTTGTAAAACTGTGTTCACCACCAATGGCACCATGTCTGTCAGTATTTGATTAATCATTGAAGGAATAAGTATACTACTGACAAAGACAAACAAAGAAAGTTACAGGTCAAAGGTTACCTTTCCAAGTCTTTGCCACCAATCAGCATCTCTCTTCTGGTTTCTCATACTGACTGGAATGTACCAGAAGCACACATTGGTGCATTCAGGCTGAAAAAAGAAAACATGGTGATTGAAATACAGCATAGCCAAGTGATCGTTGACAATTCAGTGAAATCATCTGCTTACTTAACGACACAGAGTTTTAATCTGTTCTAAAGAATGAGCAACTCATGCCTTACCTCAACAACTAATTCAAATCCTTCCCTGTCTCTGACAAGACTGGCTAAATATCTGGAGGAAAAATATATCAAAGTCTAAAAAGAATGGTCATCAGATCTCAAAAATCTATCACATCTTGTTTAGAGGTACTGCATTAGATACACGGTTATATATACTACAACTTCTTGGTCACTTTACAACAGCACCTGTGTAACTTACACAATTTAACAAATATAAGAAGCATACCTTGAACAATCAAATAAATTATCAATATCTTTCTCGAATCCTTCATCTCCTTTTGCTTTCCACATCAACCATAACTTGAGGGAGTCATTTTTACGCCCACACTGTATGGACTTGTCCCCTGTATCGTAGGAGACATCATAGAATTTGTCTTGTTGGAACAGATAGGCGGCATTGGCTGAATGGCAAGCAGGAAGGAGGTTCTATCAAAATTATCAGGAAAAAATACAATGTACTTTTGCTTCAAAAATGATATCTACAATTGGGTGTCATTGTACTTGAATTTCAATTAAATCAGTTAATACAGAAATTTCTTTAACCAAACATTTATAAACATTAATTGAAGAAAGAAAAGTACCTTGTGTCTTGTGAGAAAAGCAGAAGACTGGAGAGGGGCTCCCATCATTTTATGTGGGTTCCAAGTCATTGAGTCTGCTCTGTAATGTAACCTTATTGTATTAAGTTTCAATGAAAATTAAATCTACAAATATTGATTTCATGTTCCCTTAAGCTTTACCATCTCTAAAATATACATGGAGAGTCCCATAGAGTTCAAGCTATGATCCAAACATGATTTGACTACCGTATATACTCGCCTATAAGTTTTTTGGGAGTTAACTTTTGGTCCAAAACTCTATGTCCGACTTATAGGCGAGTCATCAAAAGCTTGGTATTTTTCTAGACGACGAAATGTAGTATTTTTAACGTAACTCCGACGATTATCGTTGAGAAATGTCTGGACGTATTATATTATTTATGTATTCTAAGATTATATATAAAGTACAAATATTTACATGATTTAATGATTTTATTTTGATCTTAAGTGTATATTATTTATTTGATTAATTATAAACAAAAATATTTCTTTAAATAACTTGTGACTTACTGTAAATCTATCGTTTATCGGTAAAATTGAATTGCGAACCCGATATACCGGTAATACGTTCAGCATTAATGTATAATTATATGTACCGTGCAATGTTTTTGACAACAGAAATAATATTCTTTAAAAATATTTCAGAATATTATTCTGGGGATATTAAAACTCGATTGTTTATGAAAATGCTTCCCATGTGTAGTACACGATTTTCTCGGGGCGCGTGCCACTAAATAAACACGGTGTCAGGTAAGGGATACAGGTAATTAAGAGACAATAATTGCTAATCAAAGATCAAACATAGCGTTATTAAAAACTATAGGCTTGGACATTGAGCACCTCCTAATTAAATATCATCAAAATGTTACTAGCCTCGTTACATAGTTCTTCACCATGCCAAAGAGACCAAGATCCGCCTATGATCGAGATCGGTGTATAAAATATACAAGACAAGGAATTTAACGCTTAAACAAAACAATATAAAAAAGAAAACTAAAATGATAGTAGTTTGGTTTGTTGAAAAATAAAAATATTGATTACCGATGTCATATCCTAACATATTATCTGAACACAGGTAAATACATTAGAGTATTGATATGAAATTTATAAGAGAAGACAAAAGAGAGATAAAATATCGGCGTAAATTCTCAAAATATTATTTGAAACACATGTTGAAACATTAGAGCATTGATTTGAAATTGTCCACCGATCCTGGCAAAAAGTTGTACCGACTTATAGGCGGGTCAATGACAAATACCTCCAAAATATCTCAAAAATCACAACCGACTTATAGGCGGACCGACTTATAGGCGAGTATATACGGTATGTACAGCAATAAAATTCCAAAATGTGGTCACAGAAAGCTACTCTTTGAGCTGTGACACACACCTCTCCCAGATTCATGGTCTAAAAAGGATTGATGGTCCTAGGCCTCATGGTGTCTTCAACTGGAAAGCTTATACAACAATATGGCCTGTCCATATAAAAATCTCTCAATATCTAACTCGAGAACAAACCTTTCAATGCCTTTCATCAGACCTCGCTGATTTTTGGAGATCAGTGCACTACCACCCCAGGCTCCATCAACATGCATCCACAGTCCATACTTCTCACAGATGTCTGCTATCTTATCCAGAGGATCATATGCTCCAAAAACAGTAGTACCTGCAGTCGCATTCACAAGATAAGGGACCTTACCCTGTAAAATTAAATACAAATACACTGTATGTCCCTGGTGCACTTCATTATTAATACCTAATTTTATTTCTCCTTCTTATTTCTGGGTGAAAGTAAACATGTTTTGGTCAGTGACTTTAAATATGACATTTACTCTGGAATTCATGAAAACTTTTGAATATCAACAGTTACCTCAGACTGAGCTTGAAGAATCTTTTCCTCTAAATCCTTAACATCCATCTTTCCTTTGTCATCTGATTTGACACTTATAAGATTTTCCAAGCCAAGACCTAAAAATGCCATCCCCTTTTTCATGGAGTAATGACCCTAGAGAAAGATAAATCTGTCTTTAAAAATCCACTATAAAAAAATGCTGTATAATCATTACTAATGGACTGTTTCCCACATTGATTAATTGAATATCTCCTGGGTCCAAAAGATATTGAAGTAATAGAGAGAGTGAAGAAAACTTGAAAGGGAGACTACTCTTTACCTTAGTGAAATAAATTTATTTTTGTTTTATTCATACTGCTTGCAAAGTATGATAATTTTTATAATAGGTCTCTCAATTGACAATCAAAAAGAATTTTTCCTTGTATTTAGGAAAGGGAAATAAATAAAGTTATCTGTACCTTTTCAGAGGTCAGCACACAGAGTCTTGGTAACCCATACACCCCTGTCCTCTTGACATCTGGGAATCTTTTATAGCGGGCCACGTTTAAAGCATACATATTGGCAATAGAACCTCCTATAAGAGAAGAAATCAGTTTCACTGAGAACAGTTATATAAATTCTAATCAAATATGTTTTACACAGTAAATATTTTTGCTGGGAAAAATGAGATAAAATTTTGCAATAACATTTTTTTAATGCTATTAATTATTCTAGGAGCTCTTTTTTTACCTGGACAGAAAATGGCATCTCCATCATTGAAGCCAATGAGATTCAGCATTTTTTGCAGCAGAGCTTTCTCCATGACGGTGAACACTGGTGACACCTCAAAAGTGTATCTGAAATAACAAGTATATTACAAGGGTAAAAAAAAATACAATAATTAGTCTGCAACTTCATGAGTATAAAGATGCATTAATTTTTGCATCCATTAATTACAGAAAAGCTATGTGTAGGACAATACATATATCATCCATTAAATTTTATCCCATTTTTTTTTCCCTCAGATCATCATCTTCCTTCAACTTTTCCAACCAATTTTCTCCATCTTTCCAACATTTTTACTGGTATATCACCAGATATTGGTAATAAATAAAGGACACGCACTTACACACTAGTATTGAGGGTCTCCGTTAACCAAGCCCCTCCTAAGCTGTATTCATCTAGTCCTCCAAACAGCTGGTTAAAGAAATGGGGGTGGCCTGAAATGGTCAATACTCAATCATGTCAATAGTTAAATCTCAACATAGAATAAGGAGCAGTACTCAGTATAAGCACATACATCTTCCACAAGGACTCTAGCAATTAGAAAAACTTGATGAAAAGGATAATATTAATACAGATGTTCAACTATTAATTTATACTTCTTTTTAAAATCATTGTTTTTAAATAATAATCCAATCTTTATGACTCTTGAAAATGAACCAAAGTAAAAAGTTTGTGAATTGAAGTGCCAACAGTTTTAATCCTAATGCACATACCGGTACATAAGGATCTCTTGCATTTAATGAGGTATTTGTGACAGATCAAGCAGTGTATCTGACTTTTGTGTTACACATCAGGAAGTAGAGCTAGCTTGTCAGAAATAAAAAATGACCTGTTTTGACACTGTATCTGATAACATCCTGACATATTTGCAGAAGTCTATCGTCTGATGTCTGCTTGTCCAGGGTCATGTCCAACATGGCTTCCAATTCCTTGGGATGTTTGAATTCCACAACTTTAGAGTCTCGGTTCTTCATTGCATCATAGCCATCTTTGACCATCATCTTGTACAACTCATCCAGAAACTGGTGCTGACTCTCAGGCTGTGAGTGGCCATTAAAATGACCATTTGATACACCTGGCAAATAAAATATTATGATGAGTGCGTGTTTTCGGGGCAGTCGATCCAAAGATTTTTGAAATTGACTTTACTAACTTAAGGTCAGATGACACTTTCCTCAAGTATCTGTTTTGTATTTTTTGTAATATGTATAAAAATAGTCATAATTGCCATTAACTTGTGATTTCTAAACTGTTTTTACCATGTATTTTGAAATAAATTCATCAAAAATTGTAATACATGTATTGACAATAAAAAGAAATTTCCAATAAGAGTATATAGGAAACACCATCCTCTGGTATCTTGCATGAATGCCTGGTAGGACACCTCAATGTTCTGTGAGGAAACTTTTTAAATAAAAATACTTCAAAGACAAAATCTTTGGAAGGAGCTGAGGTCTTATGGAGTATTACTGAGGTCTGACCTTAAGCCAGAACAAAATGTATCGTTATCAGTCGACCGACCAACCATACATTTTATCCTCAGAAACTACATTTTATAGCAGCTAATTCCAGAGTTATTGTGATCATCAGAAAGTACATATTTATTTCACTTTTGTTGATCAAGTCTCTTATTAAATGTTTATTTAAAGTCAAGAGGACTTCTAAAACATAGGTAATCAAAGATTACGAAGCTCACCTCGATGAATGTTATCTTTAAGTAAGGCAAATTTCACAGCATATTCTTTTTTTAGTAAGTGTACATCCCAAGATCAATATCCATGCAAGTTTGGTTTAAGTACGACTTACAGTTACTTGGAAATAGACCTGTTCAAAAAATGTTTATCCTGTTTACTAATCAAGAAAATTTTGGTCAGTTCCAACATCCGAAGTAAGTCTGGAAGTTTTCATCCTTAGATGCACCATCTGTGCAAGTTTAATCATAACAGGCCATAATGTTATATAGCTACTCCAAAAAAATTATCCTGGTCACTCATCTGGAAAATGTAGGTCAGATTCAGATTCCAAAGCAAGTCTTGAAGTGTCCATCCCTAGCTACATTATCCATGCTAATTTGATTAAAATATGGCTAAAATTCACTAATGTGGAAAATCTAGGTCGTCCAGCATCCGAAGCAGGTTGGTTAGCGTACATCCCAAGATGCATCATCCATGCAAGTTTGGTCCAGCTAGGGCTTTTACTTACTTGGGAATGGACCTGCTCCAAAAACTTTAACCTGATCACTCAACTGGAAAATGTAGGTCAGATCCAGCATCCGAAGCAAGTGTGGTAGTGTCCATCCCTTGATGCATCATCCATGCAAGTTTGTTCAAGATAGGGCTTATATTTACTTGGGAATGGATTTGCTCCAAAAACTTTAACCTGGTAACTCATCTGGAAAATCTAGGTCAGATCCAGCATCCGAAGCAAGTGTGGTAGTGTACATCCCTGGATGCATCATCCATGCAAGTCTGGTCCAGGTAGGGCTAATAATTACTTGGGAATGGACCTGATCCATAAACTTTAACATGGTCACTCATCTGGAAAATCTGGGTCAGACCCAGCATCCGAAGCAAGTGTGGTAGTGTCCATCCCTTGATGCATCATCCATGCAAGTTTGGTCAAGGAAGGGCTTATACTTACTTGGGAATGGACTTGCTCCAAAAACTTTAACCTGGTCACTCATCTGGAAAATCTAGGTCAGATCCAGCATCCGAAGCAAGTGTGGTAGTGTACATCCTTAGATGCATCACTCATGCAAGTTTGGTCCAGGTAGGGCTTATAGTTACTTGTGTAACGTTTTCGGGTATAGCTGTTGTTTTTTAATATTCTTTTACCCGCTTGATGGGTTACGTTACAAATATTGTTTGTGGGTCTCTTATTTCTGAGATTTACCTTAATTAAATAAAGAGATTTGTTTAACTTTAAAAATGAATTTATTAAAACAATAATTTATGATTAATAAATACAATCAAGAAACAATTATGGGTAATGGGTCAGGACGTATAAATAACAATAATCAGTTGGTTGGGTCACCCATGGATCAATTTACCCAATGAAAACATATGGGTGGCATCAGATTCTTACCCATAATTATGGGTGTAAATGAGTTGGGAATATTGGAGCAGTTCAGTCAAGGTGTTAATACGACTGACCAATGTCCCAAACTGAAGAGGACGTTCAAAACGTCACCATTATATACCTTTCGTACAACGGTGCGAATTACTTCACGCGCAATAACAAGCGGTACCGCTAGTATTCGCGCGATGTTTGTATAGTTACAACTTTTGCACAAAGTAAAGGCTTTAGCATTACAAAGGCGGGAAATGGGATGAGTTTTTGTTTGGAAATTGTTTTGGAGACGATGCCAAGTTGATTTTGGGTATGTCAGTCGAATAACATAGCCAGGTGGCCATTTGTTATTACGAGGCGACTGATCTATGGAGGAAATTTGGGTTTGTACAATACAACCAGACGATATTCATGAGTTATACATAATAGTTGAAACATAAAGCATACATTAATAACATACAATAGTTGGTGATATTCCCATGATATCTACAAATGAAATTACGACATATAGATTTAATATTTAGGGCATAAATTAGGGTGATCAAATTTGTGGGTTGTTTTGGTTGGGGGAAATTCTGTATCACTTGGGAATGGACCTGCTCAAAAAATTTAACCTGGTCACTCATCTGGAAAATGTAGGTCAGATCCAGCATCCGAAGCAAGTGTGGTAGTGTCCATCCCTTGATGCATCATCCATGCAGGTTTGGTCAAGGAAGGGCTTATACTTACTTGGGAATGGACCTGCTCCAAAAACTTAAACCTGGTCACTCATCTGGAAAATGTAGGTCAGATCCAGCATCTGAATCAAGTGTGGTAGTGTCCATCCCTAGATGCATCATCCATGCAAGTTTGGTCCAGGTAGGGCTAATAGTTACTTGGGAATGGACCTGCTCAAAAACTTTAACCTGGTCACTCATCTGGAAAATCTAAGTCAGATCCAGTATCCGAAGCAAGTGTGGTAGTGTCCATCCCTAGATGCATCATTCATGCAAGTTTGGTCCAGGTAGGGCTTATAGTTACTTGGGAATGGACTTGCTCCTAAAACTTTAACCGGGACGCCGACGCTAACACCGACACCGGGGGTATAGCAAAAGCTCATCTCGACTTCGTTGAGGCATGTTGAGGTGAGCTAAAAAGTGCATGACAACCTTGTCAATTCAAAATGGTGTGTTCAGCTAGGGCAACAAACAAGCAAGTTAGCCCTGGAGTTCTACAATGCACCATAAAATATACTTCAAGTGTACCATACCATAGAGCTATATATTTATCCATTGTAAACATTAATCTTGAAATCCACTTTTTTGTTGCATGCTTCAGGGATTCTCTCTCTCTCTTTCTCTCAATTAAAAAAAACCCCCGATAGTAGGTTATAAATGTAAGCCTGTGTTTCTTCACTTCAATATTGACAAAATAAATGATTTTTCTTTCTACATAAGAAATACTGTAGCTTTATAGCCTTTTTTCTGTTGTAAATTTCAAAAACAAAAGGAAAGGTAGAAAAACAAAACACTATGCAATGTACTAAAGCAAATAAGAATTGCATTTCTTAATATTATCCCCCACCCTACTGAAAAAAATTAAATATAAACTAGAAGTACTGTAAGCACTGAGCTCACAGAATGATTACCTCCCCCCTCTCCCTGCTCCCATATGAGTATAATTGTAAAGTCCATGGGGGGGGGGGGGGGGGGGGCAAAAAAATCTGTCAGATCAGGGCATAAAAAAATAGCAGGGCACAATGGCACTATGTACAATGTAATAAAGATTCTGTGAAAGTCTTAATAATAAAATTTATTCAGTGGTATAACAGGACATGCAGATAAAGATTCCCTCAAGTGTAATGGATGTTCGGACGGACGTACAGACGGACGGACGGGCACCCCAACACTATATAACCCCGCTTTTTAAAAGCGGTGGATATAATTATAATTATTAAACCGGTGAAGCAAGAAAGTTTGAAGATTAAAAACGACCAATATTGATAAAAATGAGTAAAAAGCAACATATTTTACCGTTTGCACTGTGTGACATGATGTACTTTTCATGCAACGCAAAACAGTTGATGCTCTCGCCGCTTTCGGCTTTAGACAATCTTGGGGATTTCTTTTCGGTCTCGAAAAAACTTTATAATCGGGTAAAAATGGAAATCTGCGAACGATTTAAACTTTGATTGAATTATTTTGGTTCTTTATATTGAATGCTGATATTTTTTTTCATTGCATTAAATTTAAAATTCTCATTTTCGGTTGAACTCTCATCGACCACTGTCTTACAGTATTACTTGAAATCAAAATTTAAAAACCGAATTGCACTTTTTAGATTTTACCGTTATCCATGATATAGGTCACAGTTATTTAGGTGATGGAAAGTTACGAGGGATTTTCCCAACATGCAGTGTTCTAAAATTAGAAAACTAAGGACAATCTCTTGAAAGTGTTCTATCAATAAAAATGTTAGAGCATATCACTACATTCAAATGCCAAATCTCTTGCTGCTTAATTAGACAAAGACATCGATCTTGTTTTGTGTGGTAGCGCAGGGCATAATCAAGGGCAGATCGATCCTGTGAAAGTGAAAATAAGGCAACATTTTGGAATTTTTGAGATGATCCCTGTGTCATAATTTAACTAATTAAGCAAGTTGTACATGTTTCATTCCTATACATACAAAAAAAACACATTTAAAAAAAATGCTACATGTACAGAAAACTGAGAATTTTTAATTAAAATCTATGAGATCACTAGCATCGTTCCTCTCATGAACTCAAATCTCATGGTGGAAATATTTACATATATTTCTTTGTATGAATTGTTTAAATATGGTGTAACCGGAAGCCATTTTAATAAATGGCGGGAAAGATGGCTGATCAAGAAATGGAAATAGAAGACATTCCTCCTTCAAAGGCAGCCTCTAAATCTGGAGGTACTCGTCAACAAGAACAGCCGTGGGTTGAAAAATATAGACCAGTCAAGCTTCACGATATAGTTGGTAACGAAGAGACCATCAGTCGTCTTGAAGTTTTTGCCCGAGACGGAAATGTTCCAAACCTAATCATTGCAGGTCCTCCTGGAACTGGAAAAACCACAAGTATATTATGTCTTGCCAGAGCAATGTTGGGGCCTTCATATAGAGATGCTGTCTTAGAAATGAATGCATCAAATGACAGGGGTATTGATGTTGTGAGGAACAAAATCAAAATGTTTGCACAACAAAAAGTTACATTGCCCAAAGGAAGACACAAAATTATTATTCTGGATGAAGCAGATAGTATGACGGATGGAGCACAACAAGCGCTAAGGAGAACTATGGAGATCTATTCAAAGACCACTAGATTTGCATTGGCCTGCAATTCCTCAGAAAAAATCATTGAGCCCATACAGTCTCGGTGTGCTGTTTTGCGATACTCCAAGCTGACTGATGCTCAAGTATTGAAAAGGCTGCTGGAAGTATGCGAGGAGGAATCTGTTAGTTATACTGATGATGGCTTAGAGGCCATTGTCTTTACAGCACAAGGAGACATGAGACAGGCTCTGAACAACTTACAGTCAACATTTCAAGGTTTTGGACATGTTAACAGTGAAAACGTCTTCAAGGTTTGTGACGAACCGCATCCCATGTTAATACAGGATATGCTTCAACACTGTGTTAATGGCAATGTGGAAGAAGCTTACAAAACTATGGCGCATCTTTGGAAGCTGGGATACTCAGCTGAGGATATAATCACAATTATCTTCAGAGTCTGCAAAAACCAGAATATCCCAGAATTCTTGAAACTTGAATTTATTAAAGAAATTGGATATACTCATATGAGGATCGCAGAAGGTGTTCAGTCCCTGTTACAGATGTCAGCATTGTTGGCAAGACTGTGTAAAAAATCTGCTGTGCCAGGAATGAAAGGATAGATAATGCTTGATAAACTATATGTATAATGTTAACATTTTTCATTACAGTGAAGAGCTTAAAATATATATGATTATAATACCCATGCACACTAATGAAGAAAGTTTCCATCTTTCGTTATGAGATGATGGCAACATCAACTTCCTATGACAGTGTGTGCGTGGAAGTACAGATGTCAGCATTGTGCACTTGTACCCTAACTCTACAATCCTGTATTGTTTAACACAAGCAAATTATTAAATGCAGCAAATACTAGCATAGATTGTTTCTAGTTATTAGCCCTAGATATTTTATAATAATTTAATTTTGTTTGTATTCTAGCCTCTGATTGGTTAATATCCAAAAAGGAACACAAATTATTTCTGTATAACCTGGTTTGGTATGGGGACACCCCCCCCCCCCCCCCAACCAGCTGAATCATCTGTATTCATACAATCCTCCCATTTCCAGTCCTCAGGATTCATGGAAAATTCCAGATTTAATAAATGTACCTTTAACTTCAAACAATAATTTGATCTTACCACATGTAAACAAGCTGCTAGGCCTATGTATCAGTTTTTACCTCCCCTCGCTTCCCATCACTTCCGTTACTATGGTTGTATTATTGAGCGGCAAATTTGAACTAATAAAAAGCAATGAAATTTTACACCCATAGATATTTAATGATTTTAAAATTAAATTATAAGGAATGACTCTAATTCTTGGCCAAATTATTCGAGTATAACCTGGTTTGGGTCAGTTTACGCTGTTTTATAATCCGCTTTAGAATCATCAAACTTTGTCAATTGATTCATCTTGGGTCTTTGGAGTAAGTCAACTGAAAAGTAGGCCACCATGACCTACTTTTGAAAATTTATGGCTTTAATTAAATATTTTCAGGTACTATTTGGCTTAGAATCATCAAAATCGGTCAGTTGATGCATCTTTGGTCCTTGGAGTAGGTCGACTGATAAGTAGGTCACCGTGACCTACTTTTCAATTTATAGGACTATAATTAAATATTTCATGGACTAATTGGCTTAGAATCATCAAACTTTGTCAGTTGATGCATCTTGGGTTCTTGGAGTATGACAACTGCAAAGTAGGTCACCCTGACCTACTTTTGAAATTTTATTGCTGTATTTAATATTTGGGTGCTATCTGGCTTATAATCATCAAAATCTGTCAGTTGATATATCTTGGGTCCTTGGAGTAGGTGGACTGAAAAGTAGGTCACCATGACCTACTTTTCAATTTATATGACTAGAATTAAATATTTCAGGTACTAAGATCCAAGATGCATCAACTGACAAAGTTTGATGATTCTAAGCCAATTAGTACCCGAAATACATGTATTTAACTCTAGTCATATAATTTGAAAAGTAGGTCACACTGACCTACTTTTCAGTTGACGTTTTTTCGAAAACCCAAGATGCATCAACTTACTAAGTTTTATGATCATAGGCCTTAAAATGTCCAAATTATGCCCCTTAAATGCTTTGAAATCAAATACCTGCAAAGTTCAAAAAGTAGGTCATGGTGACTTTTTAATAAATATGTTTTATTGTCCCAAGATGCATCATCTTACAAGATTGAATGATTCTAAACCTCTCAGTATTCAAATTAATGACCTTATGACCTTAATTGTTTTGAAAAAGATTAGCCATAAAATTCAAAAAGTAGGTCAAGGTGACCTACTTTTTAGTCGACATACTCCTAGGACCCAAGATGCATCAACTGACAAAGTTTGATGATCATAGGCCTTAAATTGTTCAAAATATGCCTCTAAATCATTTTGAAAAAGAATGGCCGCAAAATTTTAAATGTAGGTCACCATGACCTACTTTTGAGTCGACATGATATGAGGTCCTCAAATGCATCAACTGACAAGATTTGATGATCCTAGTCTTGATAGTAAGCAAAATATCAACATTTTAATAAAATGTAATTTTTGGTCAACTTTGAAGTGACCTTGAGACCACGCCTTTTGCCCCAGGGTGATGCCTTGAACATTTTTAATCTTCAGCATATCCTCATCCTCTTGTGTAAGTTTAGTGATAATCTGCCCAGTGGTTCTTGAGAAGAAGATTTTTTAGCAACCAGTACTTTTATTTCTATTTTCCTAATTATCTCCCCTTGTTTAAGGGTCACAACCCTCGTTTTAGTGTGAACAGGAGCCCTTGGGCCAAGGATACCCTGTGATAAATTTGACAATAATTGGCCATGGGGTTCTTGAGTTATGGCCCATATTCTAAAAAGTTTACGCACACTGCACAAATGGCCATAGCATTAGCTCTTTGAGCCTTTGGCTCAGAAGAGCTAATAAAATTAAATGTTTTCCCTACCTACCCTATTTTTCCTCAGGTTGGAATAGGAAACAGACAATCTATTTATCTTGGCCTTACCATAGAATACTATTGGAAATCACTAGCATTGCCAATATTACGGTTTTTTGTGTCTTTATCTACTAAGACATTTTAAAAACTATTTTAAAATCACAAGAAAATGATAATTACAATTAATTTGTTGTATATTATGAATAGATACAAAACAGATATTTGAGCAACGTGTCGTAAGACCTTAAGCTTTTGCAATGAAACTTAATTAAGGTGATGACTCTATTACTTAAAGATCCCTCCTGATCTTTAGCTGAAAGGTAAAGGTCACAAGGTTATACATAATATGACTTGGTTTGCAGATTCACTCCAATTTCAAAAATGAAAAATGATCCCTATACATGTATTGAATTTGAGGTGAAAGGGTCAAAGAACAAGCTTGTATATACTGTAACTAATTGTTGCTATGTGATATCTCATACAACTTCTGTCCTTGGACATAAATTCAATGAATTATTGAAACATGGCCATTTCATCATTGATCAATTTCATGTAGCTTAAAAATTTTAAAAATAATTGGATATTTATGATTTAGTAGCTACTGTTAAAAGCAAATCATTAGATTGGAATTCCTATTGTCAGAATTATGGCGCTTAATAGATTACCTGGTAATAAAAAATTAAAGAAAATGCAGCATGAACTTTTTTCGGAAAAGTTCGGAGTTTGACCTAAAGCACACCTATGCATTTAAATCAGAGAAATTAAATCTAAGAAACGTTATAAGACTTTCTCAGATCATTCTGAATAAAAAATATCTTTTATCTTAACCTTTTTTCATAGTCCTTCTTAAAACTTAGAAAAAGAGCTTCAAATCAATTTCTGAGAGATTTAGGGGGGGAAAAAAACAAGCTTGATGTAAACATTATGAATATTTTATTCAATGTAAATTAAAATTGAAATTTAATTGGAACAAGTACTATTACAAGTGTCAAGGACTGCCATTAAATTAAATATTGACTCTTGACAGTCTCTGAATACTGAAAGGACTTCAGTTCTATGTAACTTTACATTTTAAGCGTGCTTGTGATGCTTAAAAGATACATTATTATATAGATTGTTGGATAATCTTGTTAAACATACATAAATGATACTAATAATTTACCTGTGGCATACAAAAAATAAATTACAAAGCAAGAAAATGTTTACCATTGAAGAATTTCTCCAGCAAAGGACAAGTGCACTTAAGCAATGCTTAATGGGCCCTTTTCAGTGCCGTATTACTTTAGAATATATTACCAAATTGTTCTCGTTTGGTAATAGTTAAACACAAGTGGATATTTCTAATTAAAATCACGTTAAAACATCACCTAAATCAGCACGGATTTGAACCAAATGAAGATGTTTAAATGCCTATAGATACCCCAAATCCGGATAAGTCGTACAGAACCTATTTGAGTTTCGTTTATTTAAATCAGGGGGATGAGACATTTAAATCAGACACTTGAACAATCTGATGGTGGATCATTGACGGGCGCGTTTGCCGAATGATACTTGTTGCGCTATTTTACCTGAGAAAAAAATCGAATGAAGTTGTATAGATGCCTGTAGCCATAGTCATCAAACTAAGAAATTTGCACGCTTGCATTTGAAATAATACAATAAGGAGGCCTATTAAAATTAGTTCCTTTGAATTTTAAAATGAAAAAAGTGTATTCAGGTGGCTTTCAATACCGGTAGCATTGTCTTGCATGAATGTTAAAAATGTTTGATGCTTTTATGCATGATGACATTTTAACGACACTAAACTCTCCTAACCCTCCCGTGTTCCTAAAACCAAATACATTCAAACTTCTCTATGCGGCACGACTTCGATATAATGATACAAAACGTGCATGGCTATCTTTTTCAGTGAGCACCTTTGAGGAATGTTTACATGGGTAGAACTCACGTGACTACCGGTATTTTAAATAATTTATTCCACGGTGGGTTCAACATAGGTCACACAGGTAAATAGCTTTCGCTTGCTATAGGAAAAACATTGAACTTTTCATACATTTTTAATATTTTAAGTACAAGCCTAATCTTGTACAAATTTCCTACTTTCACGCAAGTTTTATAAATGTATAATGGGTATTTTGTCATTCGCACAAATTTGTACAACGTTAGGCTGACAGTAAACAAAAGCTTTGAAATGAATGACCGTCCTCGATTTACTATAGAAAATCATGAATGTCGGTTGACCCCTACCACATTGTATGGCTTTGTTCTTTGTATATTCACGAATTTCAGTGATAAAATTTGTTGAATCTTATGGTTTAAATATCAATTAATGATCTGAGATGAAAAATTATGTTTAATTTGATTCTTCATTTTTTCACATTTTACCGGGGCCCTTAAGTGCACTCGTTCTTTCATTTAAGGTGTGCATTACAAAAAAATAGCACCAAAATATAAAAAAAATAATATAAACATGTATCACAGACATTAAACTAACTGAAAGAGTTATACAAAGTTAAAAATAGGATTCTGAGAACCAATTAAGACAGGATTTCCTTTGATTACTTCTTAAACATTGTTTGCAATGGTCTCTCTCTCTCTCTCTCTCTCTCTCTCTCTCATATACAATTTCCATGACTGTATGTGTCACAAACAAATCTGTACACTTCCAAGCCACTGTCTTACCATAAACCTACATAATATTGCATATGATCTGGGTATAAAGTATGAGGTAAAAAGACAAATTATTATTATTACAAATAATTATTACAAATTGAATGTATTTTGCACTTTATCAGCTACCATTTTTGCTATAGCTAAAGAGGAAGTGGCGGCCGGTGATGGTGCATTCCGTACGTGTAAGATACGAGATCCCAGTTCTCCACCTCCTACATCAAAAACGAAATCGTCCACAAGATTACCATCACGATCCAAAGCCTGGGCTCTCACCCCTGAGGGACCTCTGTAAGCAAATTTAGATTGGTTAATACAAACCTGCACTGGAAAAATACATGTATTTCTAGATGTACTAAGAAAATAAAGCCAAACCAGACTGAAAATAACATTTAAAATGTTGAATAACCTTCAAATGTAAAATTTTAACACTCTGGTCAGACACTTGGTATGTTAAAGTTTGTAACTACGGTGCTACATAAACAGTTATTTTTGCCCTGTTTTATTCTTCAACCTATCACACATACGAACAATTTTGTCCTTTGAAATTTGCCAGACACAATTGTTTAAATAGATAACTCATTGTTCTCGTAAGGTATGTTGGTGTGTTTACCAACATTGACAAGGCTCATAACAAACTATATTTACTGGTAAAATATTTCATCATAGTATTTGAAATTATTTTTAAAAAAATGAAACTTTTTTTTTATTTTACAATTTCATATAATTAGTTAAAAAGTTCAAGGATTTAAAATACAAGTATGTACTAATTAATTAAGTAAACTTCAATTACCAGTAACATTATATGACTTTGAAGTCTAGTTAATAATCAATGAAATAAAAATATTTCCATTTCTATTTGTTTCTCTGTGATAACTCTTTGAAAGTTAGGAGAGTTGATTTCTTGATCATTCCACCAGAATGCAAATTTCGCCAAGCCAAAGGTCAGGAGCTAAGAAGGCCTAATATGCATGTAATTCTCCTGCAGCTGTTTTGTGTCTGACTCTAAGGAGGCCTAATATGCATGTAATTCTCGTGCGGCTGTCTTTGTGTTTGACGTCAGTGGGCGGGGACTATTGAAATTGACATGTGAGGCCTCGTGTAATCTAAATCTATTAGTCTACATTTTTAAAATCTAAATTTACAATTTTATTTCACAATGAAATGGAAATATAAGGAATCACTGTCTAGTTAGTAGAGTATGCCAGGGACATCAACGATAGTTGGAAACGTGGGATAATTTATGCATAACGGGCTTCGCCCGTAATGCAAATTAGCCCACGTTTCCAACTATCGTTGATGCCCTGGCATACTCTACTAACTAGACAGTGATTCCTTAATTATACCAAGTTATGACAATTCAAATTCTCTTAAAAAAAAGAACAAGAGGCCCATGGGCCACAACGCTCACCTGAGTCAATATGGCCCTGCTGTTCTTTGTCAGCAGATTTCTTCTTCTATATATTCATACGTAAAGCTTTGATCAACTGTTCTAGGCATAACCTATCCCCAGTTGCCATGTTTTGAATGAAATTGAATCTAAACTTTCTGAGGATGCTTCTATATTCATATAACTAATCATGGTTTTGCTGTTCTTGAAACGGAATTTTAAAGATGTTTGCCATCCTACCCTGGGGGGTAGGAAGGGAGGGGGGGTTCAAGATTTGAACAAACTTGAATATACACTACCTAAGGATGCTTCCATATCAATATGACTAATTATGGCTTTGTTGTTCTTGAGAAGAAGATTTTTTAAGATATTTCTTATATATATTCTTTTGTTAAACTTTGATCCCCCATTGTGGCCCCACCACTACTACTGGAGGATGCCTTGAACAAACTTGAATCTACAATACTTGGGGATGCTTCAATATCAAAATGACTAATCACGGCTTTCCTGTTCTTGAAAAGATTTTAAAAGATTTTTCCTATTTATTCCTATGTAAAACTTTGATCCCCCATTGTGGACCCACCCTACCCCCGGGGATCTTGATTTCGACAAATTTGAATCTACACTACCTAAGGATGATTCCATATCAATATGACTAATTGTGGCTTTGTTGTTCTTGAGAAGAAAATTTTTAAAGAATTTTCCTATATATTCCTATGTAAAACTTTGATCCCCCATTGTGGCCCCACCCTACCCCCAGGGGTCATGATTTGAACAAACTTAAATCTACACTACCTGAGGATGATTTCATATCAATATGACTAATTGTGGCTTTGTTGTTCTTGAGAGGAAGATTTTTAAAGAATTTTCCTATGTATTCCTATGTAAAACTTAGATCCCCCATTGTGGCTCCATCCTACCCCCGGGGGTCATGATTTGAACAAACTTGAATCTACATTACCTGAGGATGATTCCATATCAAAATGACCAATTGTGGCTTTGTTGTTCTTGAGAAGAAGATTTTTAAAGAATTTTCCTATATATTCCTATGTAAAACTTTGATCCCCTATTGTGGCCCCACCCTACCCCCGGGGGTCATGATTTGAACAAACTTAAATCTACACTACCTAATGGTGATTTCATATCAATATGACTAATTGTAGCTTTGTTGTTCTTGAGAAGAAAATTTTTAAAGAATTTTCCTATATATTACTATGTAAAACTTTGATCCCCCATTGTGGCCCCACCCTACCCCCGGGGGTCATGATTTGAACAAACTTAAATCTACACTACCTGAGGATGATTTCATATCAATATGACAAATCATGGCTTTGCTGTTCTTGAGAAGAAGATTTTTAAAGAATTTTCCTATATATTCCTATGTAAAACTTTGATCCCCCATTGTGGCCCCACCCTACCCCCGGGCATCATGATTTGAACAAACTTGAATCTACATTACCTGAGGATGATTCCATATCAAAATGACTAATTGTGGCTTTGTTGTTCTTGAGAAGAAAATTTTTAAAGAATTTTCCTATATATTCCTATGTAAAACTTTGATCCCCTATTGTGGCCCCACCCTACCCCCGGGGGTCATGATTTGAACAAACTTGAATCTACACTACCTGAGGATGATTCCATATCAATATGACTAATTGTGGCTTTGTTGTTCTTGAGGAGAAGATTTTTAAAGAATTTTCCTATATATTCCTATGTAAAACTTTGATCCCGCATTGTGGCCCCACCCTACCCCCGGGGGTCTTGATTTGAACAAAATTAAATCTACACTACCTGAGGATGATTTCGTATCAATATGACTACTTGTGGCTTTGTTGTTCTTGAGAAGAAAATTTTTAAAGAATTTTCCTATATATTCCTATGTAAAACTTTGATCCCGCATTGTGGCCCCACCCTACCCCCGGGCATCATGATTTGGACAAACTTGAATCTACACTACCTGAGGATGATTCCATATCAATATGACTAATTGTGGCTTTGTTGTTCTTGAGGAGAAGATTTTTAAAGAATTTTCCTATATATTCCTATGTAAAACTTTGATCCCGCATTGTGGCCCCACCCTACCCCCGGGGGTCTTGATTTGAACAAAATTAAATCTACACTACCTGAGGATGATTTCGTATCAATATGACTACTTGTGGCTTTGTTGTTCTTGAGAAGAAAATTTTTAAAGAATTTTCCTATATATTCCTATGTAAAACTTTGATCCCGCATTGTGGCCCCACCCTACCCCCGGGCATCATGATTTGGACAAACTTGAATCTACACTACCTGAGGATGATTTCATATCAATATGACTAATTGTGGCTTTGTTGTTCTTGAGAAGAAGATTTTTAAAGAATTTTCCTATATATTCCTATGTAAAACTTTGATCCCCTATTGTGGCCCCACCCTACCCCCGGGGGTCTTGATTTGAACAAACTTAAATCTACACTACCTGAGGATGATTTCGTATCAATATGACTAATTGTGGCTTTGTTGTTCTTGAGAAGAAGATTTTTAAAGAATTTTCCTATATATTCCTATGTAAAACTTTGATCCCCCATTGTGGCCCCACCCGACCCCTGGGAGGTCATGATTTGAACAAACTTGAATTTACACTATGTAATGAAGGTTTCACATAAGTTTCAACTTCTCTGGCCCAATGGTTCTTGAGAAGAAGATTTTTAAAAAAAGACACCAAATTTTCACTTATTCTTAATTATCTCCCCTTGGAAGAGGGCATGGCCCTTCATTTGAACAAACTTGAACCCCCTTCACCCAAGGATGCTTTGTGGCAAGTTTGGTTGAAAATGGCCCAGTGGTTCTGGAGAAGAAGTCGAAAATGTGAAAAGTTTACAGACGGACGGACGGACGGACAGACGGACAGACGGACTACGTACAAAATGTGATCAGAAAAGCTCACTTGAGCTTTCAGCTCAGGTGAGCTAAAAAAACTACTTTCTTTCATCAGATGTAATAATTTTTAAGCTGCTCCACTACAATACCACAGTCATGTAAAATCTTTGTAGAATATATATTACCAAATTCAGATGATCTACAAGTGTGTGTCTTCAATTGTCCCCTATTTGCATAGTGAAAATGATTACTAAATGACAACCATTTTTTTATGGCAATGAAAAACAGAATGTAAGAAAAAAATAAGATGAATGAAACACTGATTTGACAAACCTAGTAACATCCGATACTTTTAAGGAAGGCACATATCTTTGAAGCTGTTTGACTTGGGCTGCTATATTAAAACCTCGGTACATCTCTTTTATTCCAAATCCTAAATTCCTTATGGCTAGTTTGCGTAGACCCCTAAAACAGAGTATAATCAACTGACATTTTTTTCTGCAAGTAATATAAAATTGTTCATGTATTAAACTCTCTATTCTCTAAATAAGAGTAATTTAAAAGTCACTGTAACTTACTATACATTCTGTAAGTCGATTAATATTTTGTGAAGTATGACTTAGTACAATAAACAGCCGCAGGAACTAATATGAAAGATCTTTTCAACATTAAAAACTAGAGGCCCATAGGCCTTGACAGTAAACTGAGTATAATAAATTTCTCAACATATGACCATTTTTACCTCTGCTAGGACTAATTACATTATAAATTTTGATGGCTTAAGACCTTTAGGCCTCAGATAGTTAAATAATTTTGTTCCCCTTCATCCATAGATGAATATATATGTATTATATACCAAAATTGCTTCAGATCTGACGATTCACAGAAGAGGCTAAAAAATGTTCAAAAATTAACAACCAAAAAGGCTGACACAAATGAAGAGCAATACATCACCTGAGTGACTCAGGTGACTTCATACATTACAAGTATTTTTGGGTTTTACTTAAAGATAATTAACATAATTCTTTAAATAGAACATGTATGTTACAAATATAGAATTAAAAGTCAATTTTAATTCTTTGTCTTAACCATATTTTTGGCTATCAAAGACTACTGGCTGGGAGTGTTTGCTGTAGATCAAATTCATTTTTCTCATTGGAGGATTTTATTTTTTATAAAAACGTTTACTTATTATAATTTGCAAAATTATACATATTGTACAATATGTAATACTAAATTCTTATTACATGTAAATCACAATATTAATAATATTTTCCTACCATTTTTACAAGCTGTGATTTAAGCTCTTCAAAGACATATCAACTGACCTAAAAGAAACAGCATCTTTAGCATCTTTTGAACTAAAATCTGTGAGACTGTATCCTTCTCTTTTGAATGCCAGCACTGCATTAGGACCTAGCCACACATCTCCATTTATTCTGGGTGTGAAATGTACTCCAAGGAAGGGAAACAAGGGATTGGGTACCTACAAAAGTCATATTTTTTTATTAGAGAATACATGTACATTATTTTGCAGACTTCCTCAGATTTGAATATGCAGAAAAGATATTTTTCCTTATTTAATTCCCAGGTTTGATATAGTAAATGAATAGTCCTTATGAAAATACTTTCCTTTACTGTTCATAGAGGAATTCCTTTAGGCTGCTCATAGTATTTCAAATGAAAACAGCTCCATTGGATTCAAAACATGCATTTGTAAAGTATGAGACAACAGAAAAACACTTACTGGATAGATATTTCCATTAACAAGGTTAGTTTTCTCAGGTTTCAACAATAAGTAGTCTCCCCTGAAAGGCACTATTCTGGGTTCTCGGTCACATCCAGACAACTCTGCTAGTCGGTCAGAGAAGAGACCACCACAAGTTACCACATATTTACATCTGACCTCGCGTGATTCACCCTGAAAAATATTCAACACTTCATTATCACTAAAAGCATGTTTCCTCCTCCAGATTTTTGTTTTGTATTTTAGGGGGTATCCGGGTAATTCCAGACAGAAATTACTTAAATTTCATATGCATTCCCTGGCCCAAAACAACAGACCCTGAGTGTCTACATGTATTGTCTTGCATAAAAGGGCTTTGTTGAACTTTTAAAAAAGATATTACCGGTAGGTAAATTGACCTGAACTATGTGCTTATGATTAAATGTAAATATGTATTTACCGGTAAAACAAGCAAGCATGCTTTTTCATTCATTCATCGGATTGGACAATTGTTCTCAGTAAACAACTCTGTGGGAATAATAACAATTATCCATATGAGGTAGACTCTTGGACATGCATATTCCTCTATTGTACTAGGACTTGCCCATTCTTTTCATTTATATTCATTTAATCATCAATAATGTGATATTCCTCAAAATTATAAATGAAATGAACAACAGACACTATTCAGAAGGTGTCATTTTCCTTCAATCTTGCTTGAAAATTATCAGAATCATGTAGATTTATCCTAATTCACTGTAGAAAAATGGAACACTGACAAAAGTTATGTGAATTAATCTTTTTGTAACATTTCATTTCTGTTTTTAAACCAAAGAGTTTAAGAATTTTCAAGTTTATCATACAGCATAGAAAATCAATTCAACTGTATACCAAGTCAGAAGTTAACTTCATTAAAGCAATACCAATATTAAGAACACTTTCAGATCAGTAATGCAATCAATAAAGTATTTTCACCTTATTGTGACCAGTGCCTCTGATGGTAACTGGATAGTCAATACCATGTCCACTCTCCTTGGTCACTGAGAAATCTGTCACCTCAAAGTCAGTATAAATATGGCCCCCAAGTTTCTCAAAAGTATGTCCATATGACTGGGTTACCACTTTGTAATCAATAATGCCGGTATGTGGGGAGTGTACTGCTTTCAAACCCTGAAATATTTCAATTTTAAGAGGCTAAATGTACATGAAATCAAAGTAAGCTACATGTATTTCTGTTTACAATTATTTCAAAATTATTAAGAAGGATCTGCTCTAGGGATTTTTAGAGACATATTTTATTTAATTATGTTGCTGAGAAATTTCTTTTTCAATCACACAAAATTTATATTTAATACTAGATATAACGTACATTTATCTTGACATTTGTAATGCAGCAAAGGTACTATAAAAATTTATTTTTAATCACAAAGAAAGGTGGTATACCTCACAATTTGGCTCTATTTCTTTTATCTCCTTTGGACCCAACATTCTTAAATCTTTGACTCCATTTTCATTTCCTCTCTTCAGAAGACCCTCTAACCTTGGAATTTCTTCCTGTTCCACTGCTACTATCAACTAAAAGATGCAACAGGATATTGTCCTTAAATTAACTGTCTACTGTACTTGACCTAGGATAAACTTTCATATATTATACTATTGAGGAAGATATTAAAATATATTGATTCAGAATAAATATCAGTTTACTATCTGTTATTGAAATTCAAGTTTGCTAAATGGGGGCAAAATTTTTTTTACTGTTATTTTTGCAAATGAAATCGTAAAATTTAAGAGTTATCTCCCTTCTATTGCAGCCTCATGTTTGTAATGTATAGCACAATTTACTGTTTCTTTAAATCAGTTCTTTAATCTGAAAACCAAAATATAAAAGTCTATGACCTTTCCACATTTGTTGTATGGAATGTTATTTGTATCACAGTAGTCATAGAGGAGTTCCACTCCCTGGACACAGAGCTTGGCCTTCAAAGACCCAGGTGTGTAGTAGATTCCAGCATGGATGACCCCACTGTTATGTCCACTTTGGTGAAATGCTGAAAAAAAAATAGGGGGAGGAGGGGGGTGTACTAATGTAAGTGTAGCTCGAGAGGATTAGATTGTTAGCTATTTGTTTGGTGGTGATTTATTTACCTTTTTTCTTCCTTTGAAAAATGTTTTTGACCTCTTAGTGTACTAAAATTATATCTACATTCACTTCTTCACATAATAGCAAGCAAATGCTGCTTGCACTGCAAGCTCTTAACAACACCAGGGCAAAGAGAAAATTCAGACTACGGCACTTTGATCAAAGGGAATTCTTTTCTGCAGAAACTCTGTACCCACAATTCTCCCTAAATTGCATATGGCTGCACAAACTATAAGTCTATATTTTTGTGATATACCCAAACAAAAGTTCACAAATGCATGTAATGATAAAACTATGCTTGCTTTAATGGAAATTGCAGATAGATAGTAGATAAAATGCTCCATGATAAAATTTTGAAATTTTTAGGCTCTGTTATGGAAATGCAACTAAGATATGACTTCATGTGATTCAGTCTAAACTGAATTTCATGCAGTTTGAAGTGTAAGCTACACAGACACAACTGCGCTTGCCCCATCGGTCGCACCATCAAACATATTATCCATATTTCACACAAAAAAATGTATCATGATGATGCAATCAATACAGAAAGAAAAATAAAATTAATACATATTCAATACACATTCAATTTCTAATATCTAAAAAAAAAAAAATTTAAATGAAAAGATATACAAGCCACCCCTGATACTTCTTGAAAAAGTTATATATGAGCATTTTGTAACCTTGAATTTCAAAATTATATACCGTAGTTTTGAAGAATGTAGAGCAAACCTTTTCATTTTTTTTTTTAGATATAAAAAACAAAACATAGTTAGATAAAAAAGAAATACCCTAGCAGAAAATATCCAAATGTATTAATTCATCTTGACAAGTAAAATGTGCATGTTCTCGAGAAAACAAGGATGGGCTGGAGTCAGCTTTATCATTTAATGTCCATGTTTATATTTAATTAGCTTGAAAATTTTTAGACCACTTGACATACTTCCATGAATAATGTACAATTTCTTACATATTTCTTTTTCCTTTTCTAAAACCACAAAAGACAGGTTTGGATGTCGAACTTTAATTTCTCGGGCTGTAGCCATTCCAACAATGCCACCTCCAATGATTGCAACGTCGAATTCTCTCCCATTCTGACTGCAGAAAAATGGAACCAAAAAAATTTAATCCTTAAATGTAGAGGATAGGGCGTGTCGATATGTAGGTCACTTGTCTCTGATTTATCATGCATATACCTGCATGTACAATTATTCCAAAGAAAAAAATATCAGTCCAAAACAATTTATTATTCTTAGAAAAATCTAGCCCTAATAAAAATTGCCTTGTCCCATAATATTCATCAAATATTCATCTTCTTCTAGCAACCAATAACAAGATGTTTGAAAGTTCAACAGCTGGTCAGGTGACAGTACTGACACTGAAATACGTTCTACTCAACAAATTAAGCTACGTATAAACTTACTTATGTGCATATCGCTGATGTCGAAGCTTAAAACTGGACACTCTATTTTTATTGCAAGAAAGTGCACAAACACTTGGAAAATGTTTTTGACAGCAAACTCGGGCAAACTTCATGGGCGCAGCCATATTGTTTCTCGTGCAATCACGCGTGGCGCAACGGGACTTTCCGATTTTCCCGAAGCATGACAAGAATAGCGCTGGCTTTCAAAACATTGTACAGGTGAGCGAGCGACGGGGCAGGATGGAGGGGGAACTTAAGTGTCCCATGTGCTTGCAGTTCTATTGTAATCCGCTTTTATTACCGTGTTCTCATTCTATTTGTGCTTCATGTGCTTCAAATATTCAAGAATCGTCGCAAACTTTTTTAACGCAGTTAGAAGAAGGTGGATGTTCCTCTACCCCCGGAGAAGGTGATTTAAAAGATTTTCCTGACATCGATAAAATTAGTATTTTAAGTGAAACAGACAGTGGTGTCGTATGTAACAGTCGTCCAAGTAGTTATATAGGAACACCTAGTATCGCAAATATTTATCAAACTGTGCAATTCACTCAAAATTCTTATGGAATTAAATGCCCTGTGTGTAAGAAAATTATTTTGCTGGATGAAAATGGATACAAATCACTCCCATGCAACAAAGTGTTGGAGACCATTGCTGAGAAATTCAGTCATAGTAAATATAAACCACTAACTCTGTATGTGAACTGTCAAATGTGTGAGCACAATGAAGCAAAAGAAGCAGTTGTCATGTGTGAACAGTGCAATGTATTTTACTGTCAGTCTTGCAAAGAGAGTTGCCATCCAGACAGGGGGCCACTGGCCAAACACAATCTCCTGGACACGATACAGGGGAGAGCCCTGCAGCGGGCCCGCAATAAGGGAAGAGAACTCCGCTGTCTGGAACATGAAGAGGAACAACTCGGCATGTACTGCATGACATGCGGTATACCTGTATGCTGCACTTGCCAGCATGAGGGAGGACACAGTCAGCATGATGTGCAGGCCATTGGGGCAATGTGTAAAGCACAAAAGGTTGGGACCTCAGAAGATCAGCATGTTTGTATATATAGACTAGAATCTTTTGTATTTGTATGTAGGCAAGAATCTTTCCCTTTTTTGAAGGAAGTTGGCAAGTTATATATTGGTGACTTTTTATTTTAATATTTTAATTTAATATAAGTATTTATCTCCACCCTTTTTCTGTGAAGATGCCCATGCAGAGACAGATTCAAAGGAAAGAATATATAAACAAGGATATTCTATTTTAATTGATTATAAAATATAATAGTTATTAATTAAATGTTACACATATCAATTTTAAAATCAAAAATTCACCCACACACAATTTAAAAATTTATACCATCCAGGCATTAGTCATGTCAAAGGTAACTATATCCAAAGCATGTTGTAAATAATAATAGGCACCAAAGAAGGTGAGAACAAATGGGCTCTCTATGATAGCTAAGTCACTTAGTACAAATGTCAGGAAACATGCACAATAAATGTAGGATTAATGTTTAAATAACAGAGTGCATGCTTGTCATAGGCAACTAATGACATGTTCTCAGCTTTGAATTTATCCATATTTTCAAAGAAAGGAAAAACAAAGAGCTCTTCCCTCTGTATTGGTCATATATTGATCAGGGTTCTAAATATTTCTAATGTCATTTAAAATTAATGACAGTAAAAACTGGTGTAATGATGGTGTAAAATAAATTAATGATTAATTCTATTGAAGAGTGCAACATTGATACAGTGTTATTTCGTGTGAGTAATACATTCTGAAGGACCCTTTGAATAATGGCTTTATGTAAAAATTGGTGTATTAATACCTCGGAATAATATTTTCAAGAACCCTTAGTAATGGAAGTAAAGAGTCATACCTAAAGTGTTAAAGTTCTATTGTTACAAGTGTTAATTACTTTTCAAGTAGCTTTAAATGAAGTGCTCTCTCTCTCTCTCTTTCTCAATCTCTCTCTCAATACAAATTCTAACTTTAAATATTGACAAGACTGTATTTCCTTGTTTTTGTCTTTCTCTCAGCTGCATGATAATCAGATTTTTCTCTTTCCTCTTTATCCTGTTAATATCAATACCTGTAGGGTTTCTCTGCTGATTTACTTGGGCTGTGTAGTAACTTAGGAATGCATTGATTGTAAATGGTCTTTTTACCTGTGTACTGAGTGAATCACCTGCATAGTGACAGAACACAATGACTTCCTCTAGTATATACTGGGATTTGTTTGAAGAAAAAGTTCATTTTTCTGGTTATATCCACCATCTTATTGTTTGCTCTTGAGGCTGGATGTTCAATGTAATTATTACCCATTGTCTTCTCGAAAATGAATAGGCATTGTTCTTAGGAAATGCAATAATTAGCTTGTGAAGCAAAGTAAATACCATGGATTGAGTTAGGTGGGATTTTATAATAGCATAGAATTTTGTCATAACAAATAATGGTATTAGATAGATGTGGTTTTGATCTGGTCTCGTTACTAACTTATTTGAATCAGGCTCTTTTTATGTGTATACATCCCACACTTATTTAGTCTGTTAGTACAGTAAGCCGAGAATTTTGGCAAGGGAGGTGTTAAAAAATCTATCAGCATTAGGAGTCCTGCAGGGAGCCACATGCTGAAGCCCTTATGCTCAGTCAGATACTTGTAAACATAGCAGTAAGCTAGGGCTTCTCTAAGTAATGATTAAAATAAAAACAAACTTAGTACTATTTTTTGGTCCCTTATTATATTCTCTCTCTCTTAAAGAAATAGTTCAAGGGGAAAAAAAACTACTCTAAATTTCCTTTGGCATTTTGTTCTTGCTTCATTGATTTTTTCTAACAAGGAACGATCTTTTGATCTTTTTTTTAAAAAATTGAATAATTGAACACCCTTAACGAACAATGGTGACTAACACACTAGTAGTATTGGATTGCATCGAAGTCTCGAGAGATTCAACAATAAACAAGTTTTAAATCATGCTGTGGCTTCAGTGGAAATCCTCCTACCAGCCCTTTAACAAAATCTGGAAGGATCTGATAAGTATATATCTTAAATGAAGAAGCATATAGTAATATTTACAGATTATCAGGAATTAAAAATCTGACTTGAACAAATATTGAGTCAGTCCTTGTGTTTGTCTACATACCATGTTTGACACTTCAGCAGGGGAGATAACATTGTCAGGGCAGGTGCCTGTGTGACCCGAAACAATGAAAAACAAAAATCATTCTGATTATTAAAGATCACTGATCATCTTTGATCTGTTATTTGATGTACTTTGAAGATTTTTCATCATCCATGAAGCTTTTTTTGCCCTCAGAAATGCAGTATTAATTTAATGTCCAGTTTTATCTTACTATGTACAGATCATTAGAGAAGAGCGATAGGTGAAACACTGTCCCAGATTTAATGAAATCTTGTAATTCTTCTGTAGCCCTTATCATGATTATGAATGGAAATAGCGTGGCCAATCAATATTTTATTGTTTGCAACATTTAAATATTGGTGGCGCCTGATAAACTGGGCTCTTTGTTGACAGTGAGTCTAGCAGTTCGCAGACTTGTCATTATGGTGGAAATCATTATGCATAGCCTCTCTCCCTCCCTCTTAAAACGGGCAGATGGGGTGTTCAGATAATAGCTCAAATTAACATTCTATGAGGGTGTAAATTTGAAACATTTGGAAAGAACTGAATTTCTCATTAATTTTTGTTTTTGTTGTTGGTTGTAGAAATAGAAAGCAGTTTGCTACATGTTGATAGCACTTGCATTGTCAATCTTTTAAAAGAAATTTTCTTAACAAATTTTTATATTCCTCTGTTGTTCTAATTGATATGAAATTTTCATACTATAAAAAGTACCTTCAACTTTTATCAAACTTTTTCAGTGATGCAAAGGATTATGTGCAACCTTGTTAATCATTAAAAGAAGTGTACTGGAATTTCACAGAAATCTTGCAAGACAGAATTTTCATCTTCAGACTCTGGCATAAATTATGTGACTATTTCAGAATATTTCTCTTCAATACTTAACAAATATCGATATATAATTAAAAAAAGCTATTTAATAAATTTTCTTAATCTCCACATTTTCTTCAAGAAAGCTGAAAAAAAGTAATCAAGCTCCTTATATAAGTGATGACAAAAAAGTGATTTGCAAGATGTCTTCTCGCATTACGCAACTAGCACCTATTTAATTGAAAATAAATTTACACATTACATATGACCGAACATTGTTTATACTTGAGCTTCAAAGGAAAGGAGGTAATTTGTAAGAAGTTCTGACAGAAACCTTCTGTTTTACACAAACCCCTGGATAGAGGGGAAGCTAGAGGATGATTGATGTTGCAGAAGGGAGCTCTAACATCCTAGCTCATCCCCACTGCATTCTCTCTTCTTTTTTCAACACTCTCTTTTTTCAGACTTCAAAATATTTTTGCTCTATGGAGCAGAAAATGGTAAAAAACAGATCACTCTTGTCTTTCCTTGGGTCTAATAATGCTAATTAATGGTTTATGAAGTGTTGGCTTAATAATGAGTATAATGATTGTTGGAGTGACAGGTCAGTGATGAATTACATTGCTTAGGTGTCGGTAACTAAGATTCCATTGGTTTCTTGGCGCCAGACTTCTGGCTACCTTAGCTGTCTGGAATTACTGACCAATCTCTAATCAGGAAGCCATCTTAATTAGTTATGACAGACAGTCAACATCCACAAAATTGACACTTTATAACTGTAAAGAAATGCAATTACTTCTTGATTGAGCAAGTCTGCAACTTTGTAGTAGATTTTCGATATAGAACATACAAGTCTACATAGCCTTTTTAAATGCATAAGACTTAGTGTATAGGATACCCAAAATCGGAAGAAAGTGCCAACATGAGTAAACATGAACTTTATGGCTTCTTGTATTTTATTATACTTAAAACTCAAATTAATTTGTTTTATCATAAATTTATAGTAAATGTATATTTTTTTCAAAGAATCCAATGTTTTCATGTTTTGGGTTTTTTTTTTTTTTTGAATTTTAATATAAATATTATAAAGGTATAGATTTTGGGAGAATGCAAAAATAAGGGTGGTTTATTATGAAATTTTTTTAAATAAACATGTTTTAGCAACAATAAAGACTTTACAAACAATTTTACAAATTTCTATAACAAATATTTTTGAGTATCCTATGTCTGTAAATGTTAATTGTAAATTAGATGAATTGAATGTAAATTATTGCCAGTAAGGTATATATTTAAGCAGTATCGTTATAAATGCCTTTTTTTTTCATTTTGTAGCTAGACCTTTCTCAGATTCTGCAGTCTTTGTCCGAGAAAGCCAAAGTTGGAACAGAGTTCATCCAGAGTTTAAAGTCCATGACAGACCAAGTCCATGTAAGTCCCCCCAGCTGGAATAAATAGGCAACCCTTTTCAGTGATATAAAAAGTGAATTAAAGCCATATTCATGGAACATGAACAATTCCTATAAAAGCTAACTTAGCTTTGGTCGTTAAACGACAGTGAAAATGAGTTAGTCATGATCTTAATAGTTTTTCATGCTTAAACTGAATACACATGTATATGCTTCTGAAGCATGCTGGTCCATTTGTTTTGGTTGTTGAATCTAACACCTGACTTAAATCAATCATGTTAATTAGTGGGTAGATGGTGTCAGTAAGTGATTCAGAGTCACCAACTTATGTGCAAATTTATGAGTAATTATTATCCTGTCCCCTTGCCAATTCATTAAACATTGTAACCATGTTACCTCAGTGCCATCATCTGATCCAGTGCTTTTGAGTATGTGGAAAGTATTTGTTTTGGCTTTAGAAAGGATTTTTCTTTTATAGGGAGTGATGGAAATTTGTGATAAGCATTACAAATTGATAAAAGATAGATGATTGCTTAAAATTGATTTGATTTGAAGGAATTTATGTATAAAAATAAATTATAGAACATTTTCCATTTGAAAATTGGCACTCAGGAAAGTTTGATCAGTTATATTAATTTGATAAGCCCCCCCCCCCCCCCCCCCAATAAAATAAAAATGAAGATGTATAAAAACAAATATTTATTATTTATTCAAAGATCAGTCGGCAAAATCGTAAGATCTTTCGTCAGCAGTATCATTGTCTACACACCTGGAACTGAAGATCTCTTATCACTCACAGCCATTACACTTCTTTTACTCCTCTTCACTTGAAACGGATCCCTCAATGCCATTGTGATGTCTCTGTTTGTATCCTGTGTGCAGCTCTGACACGTTCACAGCCATGACAACAATGCACACAGCTGACAGCATTAGCACTATCTCTTACATCATCGCATCCTTCACATTTTTGTAGTTTCTTTTTTTTCTGCCAGCTAACTAATTGTTTTGTTTAAAGAGAAAAGAGATCTGATGACATTTTAATCCTCAAGTTGTGGGTGAAGTGTATTTGTGTTTTTGCTTGGCAGTTGGTTCATTCATTGGGATCTGAATAAGAGCAAGGAGAATAGAGAGAATAATATACAGTTCAGTGTTCATAAACATTAAGAACTTCCAAATTAATAAATGATAAACTTTTGTTTCCTCTTGTGACATATTGCTAATCCAAAGAATAGCTGTGATATGTTCAGGTTTTTCAAAGAAAGAAATACATGTATATATCAAAGCATAGGATATAAACAGTAAGTGCAATTGCACTTGTGTAGCGTATTCTATGACTCTTTCATGTCTATGATGAATTTGGTGATGATAAAATGGTTTGTTCAGACTGTTTTGCACTTGAAATAATTCAGTAATGTATGAGGTTACGAATGGATGAAGCTTTGAAATATTAAACCAGTAATCCAAACAAGGAACTATACTACGCCTCCTCTGATGCCTGTAAGAAGATTCTGTAAAATTAGTGGACATGACTCAAAGGCATTATTTTTATAATTAGCAGTCATGCACAAATGTTCTACTAGCTCATTGGACAGGAACAATGCTGGAGCAGATTGAACTAAACTCTGATATTATAACCTGGTCGTCTTATTCCCCGTTTTCTGTATTATTCATTTGTACTTGAGTGGTCCCATGGTGATGCTCAGTGGGCTATTCCCTGCCAGTTTACAATAACAATCACTCTCATAATTCATGAATGAAATATGGAGAGTACTATACAGCAATATTTCCCGTCAGATTTTCAGGAAAGGGGCATTAGCAAGGAATCGGTACAGATTTGTAAAATCTGAATTATTTATGCAGTTTGTAGCAAATAGTAAAATGGATCAAAACTGTCAGGCTAGAAAATTTTTATGCATCCAATTTTTTGGTTTTGCAGGATCAACAGGTTTTGTTCATTTAGTTTTTTTTAAGAAAATAAATGAAGAATAACGCTAATTTTTTTTATTAGCTGAGGTAGCTGTTTATTTAGCTCCCCTCATCAATTTATCTTGCCCACCCATCGGTAATGACTACCTGTACTGGTAATGGGGGATTGTGGGTCGTTAGGAGGGTGATGACTCTTAGGGGAGGGTTATTGATGGGGGTGATCAGACTCTGAGATCCCTGTTTATTTACTATCACTCAAAAAAATTGGATTGTAATGAAATCCAGGTAGAAGAAAAACCTCTCCTGGATCCAAAAAAAATTAGGTTTCAAGAGATCAGAGGGAGCACAGGTTCTGTTGCTAAGAATCAGTACTCTTATTGCAGAAACAGAGAAAAATTGAGAGTAATTTTATGTGTCGGATTATATAATTATTCAATCATTGGATTTGAAATGCTACAACTTAGGCATATAAAGAATACTAAAAAAAATAAAAATCAAGGAACATTTATTTTTCACATATCCATTTAAACAAATGAGGAAAACATGAAAATTTTTTTCATATAGCAACAAAAGTTCTGACTCAGGAAATATTTTCAGATCAGATTTATGCAATAAAATCTGGTGCTAAGCTTTAACACTGTGATTTATGACATTCTTGAGCGCAATAAAAATTGCGAAAATTGAGAGAGTTATTGCAATGAAAATTATCTTTATCAAAATATTTTTTTTCATATGCACATGTGATTTTTATCTAGGGGAACTGTTTAGACTTTGAGGCCACAGTGGCAGCCCAGTGTGATGCTTTGATTGATGCCATCAAGAAGAGAAAGCAGGAGCTGTTGGTCCACGTTGCAGAGGAACGAGACCTGAAGATCAGCATGTTGAAGGAGCAGGCCTCTCAGTGCACCGCACTGCTACAGCGCACCACAGGGCTACTGCATTTCTCCATTGAAGTCCTAAAAGAAAGTGACCCAGCTTCATTTTTACAGGTCTGTATAAAAAAAAAATTAATTAATATGTCATAAATTAAAATTTAAAAGACAGTAAAAGTCTTTCTCCAAAAACATTTTTGTTCTAAAATGTGAATACATTTTAGTAACAATTCCTTATTCCAAGCACAAAGCACCCACACGAGGAAGAAATTCAATGAATAAGTGATAAATCATGATCTCAAGCTGATTATTAATTTAACAATTAGCCTTAAAATTGATTTCCAATTATGAGAAAGGGCAGCACTAAAGTTACCATATGTCAAGTTCAAGAGTGTTGGGATTATTATTGAGTTTTTTATGAAATGTATGGACATCAGATAACGTGGGCCAACCCTTTCCTGGTGGTTTACACAAGCTTTTTCCCGAGTTCACTGACAGATATCCTTTATTTCAAACAGAAAAAAATGTAGTTCATGTAACCTTTTACTTTTGTCCAGAATTGTTCAAATTAATCATAAATAATTCTTTATTTTTTGACATTAAGCGTTAAATTCTGTTAATATACTCATAGCTGACCATCTACATGTATGACTGGGAGCAAACTGATAGTTTCTATAAAGTTCCTATAAACAGTTTTTAATTACTTTCTGTGAGGCAAATAAAATTATTTGTTCAACTTCATTGGTTCCTGTGTATAGTATAGACATAATCCTGATGAGCGGATTCCAAGATTACAAGCTAGTGAAAGTAAACCAATGGAATTTTTAGTGAATAATTCTGTTTTATGATAATTAAAGTGAAAATCAATCTTTAAGATAAAAATCAGCAGGGAGTTAAAGTGGTTCTCAATCAAGCCAAAACCAACATAAAGCTCAATCAATTATTAGAAACACTTTGATGTTCAGGGGACATGTCAAAGACCCAATAATATCTAATCTCATACCAATTTCTCTCCATTAATTATAATTTTGATTTGCATCCAGGGCATTTTTGCTCCCTGTGATGTGTGTAAATACAAACACATTTACTGTGAACAAGCAGGTTTTTTGTCTGTTATGAATCATAACCAATTTGTTTTATCCATTGTCTAACTGCAGTATGGCTGTCAATGTAAATGTTACTATGACACACATTGGCTGCAGGGAACATAGATATCTGCTTAATATCACATTCTTACAAGCAGGTACATGATACGGATCATTAGTTATTAAGCATATCAGTGTTATATGCAGATCAAGAGTTATGATAACCATGACTACAAAGACAATATGTAATTGGACATCCATTACTTTTATTATTATTTAATTTTGCCTAGTACATTCAATATGTTACTACTTTGGAAGTAAGGGAGCAGTTGAAAGAAAGAGAGCCAGTAATCCCAAAGATTCCCTAGTTAGCGCATAGCTGTATGATTTACTACTGATACGGAAGTAAAGTTTGGATAATTTGGTCCAGGAGGGGCGTTTCTGATCCCCGTTGTCTCATTATCTACATATGGTTAACAAAAAATTGCACACAGTTGGTAAGATTTACTGTTGGCTAGTGCCACAATTGTCTATATACCATACACCTCTGTCAGAAATTATTTTACAGTGCTCAGAATTTAGGAGATAAAATTAGACTTATTCTCTTTTCCCCCTCCCCAAAGTCATGTTGCAAGACGTGGGAGGTCTTTAAAAAGAAAAAAAAAAACGAAAACATGGTAGTCATTGTACCTTGAGATGAGGAGGGGATTGTCTGTTTATTTGTAAGGGGTTATACAACGGATTTCCTTTAGAAAATTAAAGATGTACAGATGAGAAAGGAGAGGAAAGAAATTGATCTGCGATTCTGTTTCCTGTGGCTGATACTCTATTCCTGACAAATTCTTTTCGGAATTAATCTCCGTTGTTAGTAGATATTTACATATCAGCAGTTTCTGCCTGTGATTGATGTGTAATAAATCTGTTCCAATCAGCCCTTGTGGAGGAAAAAAAAAAGATTGCTGAACTTTGAGAATGAATAGAGAATTCCCTTCAGATGGGATCAAATTTTTTACCCTGAGAAGTCATATGTACCATAAATCATATTGGCTATTTAGAAACTCTGATGCCATCATATAAATATATCAACAAATAACTTTTTATTTTTGTTTGTCAAGAACATATTTTCTTGTTTGGGAGGGCTTATTTTTTTGAAAATTTACTTAAAAGAAATACCTGCCTTTTATGCACTTCTAATGATAAATGACTGTAGGTTGGCCCAGTGGGGTGCCAAAATATAATATGACAATTTGCTTTGAGAAAATATCAGTTGCACAGAACATTTTGCACCAGTGTTTATTACATGATGATGAAGCACCTGAAACTCTATCTTTGTGATATTATTGTTGATAGAGGGCTTCTATTCTCTTATGGTTCTGTGGTAACAGTCCGTTTTGGTACCAAACCATCACTGATATGAAACAGGGTCACCCTGCTCTTTAATCATCTTGTCAAAGGCATACTTATCCCCTTTACAGCTATTCAGTAAGATACATGATTATTTTTTATTCCAAAATTGACACCTATTTGCTTCCCAACTCTTCTACATGCTGTAAACTTGATGTTGTCATAGTAAACAATTCATCAATAATCTTTTTTGAAGTGATTAAAGTGATTGATATAATCAGTAGTATAGTCACTAATTGCATTATTTATACCATGACCCCCCTCCCCCCCTCTATCCCCCCTCTTCACTAATCAAAATGTTAAATTTTTTTTCATGGATACATGTACTTTCTGAAATTGTCATTTATGATACATTTTGTTTGTTAATACCTTTCAACATAATTCTGAGGACTTCAATCCAAGATTTCTGGACATACCTAACAACTTTTGTTTCTGGCATTCAAGACACTAATGCCTTAGATGACCCTTGGTCATAGTTCTTGGCATGGGTCAGAAGTTTGATCTTGATAAATGGGAATGCAAATGAGCATGGATACATCATTGGTTACACATAAATAAAAGATTCTGTGTTAGGGCAGATTAACTTTGGAAATCTTTGACAATTATGTCAGAAATGCTGACGAATTGCTTGTGACCAGGGAACCCATCTTTGATTGTGTTTCAATATGGCTTCCTTATACTATGAATGTCTTGAGTAGATTCTCAGAGGGTTTCTTTATTGTCTTTTTTTTAATGGAGTCATCAATATTAAGATGGAGGAAATTCTTATATAGGGAGGACAGATGACACTTTATTACCACAAAGTAAGGTCTGACTGATGTTATAATCAAAGAAAGAATTCCTCCCAATAATGGGGACATAATTAAAGCCATTTCACACAATGAATCAGAATTTTTCAGGAATCAAATCCTCTGGCAGTGACATCTCACTTTGTTCTTTGTCAGACCTTTTTCTCTTTTTTGTGCTACAGTGGTTTTTTTAGGAGTCCTAATGAAACTTTTTGCCCATTGATTTTTTGGGGGGCATGTTTTAGTAGCTGTTTTTTTTCTTTGGCTGTTTGCATTACTGGAGAATTTGTCTTGTAGTCAATATTATTGTCACATTTGTTAAAAAAAAAAAAGGAATAACAGAACTGACAGGAAGCAGTTGTTCAAGACAGTGCTATTTCTCTGCTTTATTAATAACAAAATGCAAACCTTTATCAATACTTTAATGACAGCACAGCTAACTAGAATATCTGGTTTCAATTATTTGATAACAGAGAAAAAAGCAATAGATTTTTTAATTCAGTGTACATGTATTACTTGTTAGTCATCTTATTATTCAACTTGAGAGTTAAACCTTGTGGATGTATGATAATTATCTCTTCTAAGACAATCAGAATAATGAGAAACACTTATGGATGGTATTGTGATGGTACACTTGTTACTGTCACAGTGTTTTGGTTTATTTCAGCTAAAATAGTAAAATATAATCAGGGATGATCAGGGATCTAAGAGACTTGTAAATCAGTCCCTGACAATAGAGATTCTGAATTGAAGATTTATATACATGTATATATATAATCATGTTTTGTGACACACGAGTTCAAAATAAGTAGGAATCATTTGTATCTATTCTGCAGGATGACATACATAGTTCTGATACCATTACTGACAATACAGCTCTCTCTGACTCCTGAAGCCACTCTTCACCTGTATTGTAAATCAGAATGAGAGCTGCTGCAGAAGAAAGATTTCTTGTAATGGAGCTACATTTTCTAGATATGGCATGCTCTCCCAGTGGGATTAAAGGCTCCAGAGTTCTATTAATGTTCAAATAATCCCTCCCTGATGATTGTCATATTTCACACTGAAGCCAAACGTATCCAAGAGGAAGTTATCAGTTTTTCTTGGACAAAAAAATTACTATTTCAAACACAGATGAGTTAAATATGGTAATGCCATATCCGATTCTGCCATCTGACTTAGTATCTCATGTCACACACAATGTGGTAATATGAAAGATGGGCAAATGACTTAAAAGTGAAGAAACAACTATGAAATTGGAATTCAGAATTCATGGGACTTGTGTTTGTTCATGCAATTAGGGTTATTTGATTCTTTATTCATTATAGTAACACCACAAAGGCTGCATTTTCATTTCAGAAATCTAATCCCTGTGGGCTGCAACTGAGTTGGATTTTTTTCTGGTTTGCTTAATTTGTGATGCAGAGAGACTATTATTAAAAGGATTCATCAGTCATGAATGAGGATGCATTAATTACTTAAGCTCATTAGAATAGGTTCCTCTCAGTCTCCATTGAAGTTTTCTCTATAAACAAAAACTTCTCATGACCCCCCACAATAATCAAGATCATTAATATGCTTGAGGTCATTTATAGTGGTAGGTTTCCACACCATTTACCACAAGCATTATATTGTTACAGATTTCCCCAGCATTATCATTGATTGGAAGGTGATTAGAGATGGGTCATTGAAAAAGATTAAAATAGATTTCAGGAGGTTGATAAAGTTTTTATCTAAACAGGAGTTACTTTGTGTGACCACTATCAACTGTTCCTCGGCAGAATCTCATGAATTATGGATGAATGGCACTTACGAGTAGAGTTTTCCCCATAGATAAAGTTTACATACTTTAATGCCGGTATCTACAAGGCAGTGGATTTGTAGACAAGTTGGATAAGATGCTATGATTTACAGACAAATAGTAATTAAAATCGATATTAATACAGAGATGAAAGACGTGGATAATGTTTGCTTTTCATCACAATTTTGGCAAGAAATTCATCTACAAATTAAGAGTCTATTTGATGCAATATAGAAAGTCAAAGGAGAGTGTTAGGATGGGTTCCCATGTCTCTCAGAGATGATTGTGTTTTTTTTTCTAGTAAATATATTGAAAGGTCTTTTATCTGTTAATAAATAGGAAAATAATGAAGAAGTAATAAATTTGTGCTTGAAGCATATTTTCCCAGGCTTGATATTGGGGAAAAATTTGCTGATCTGTAAAATTCTTACAAACAGAAGATTACTGTGTAATTAGTATTGTGTTTAAAGTATAACATTTGACTGAGGAAGGAGAGGATGTTGGAAAATTGGTGTAGCATTTGTCACTGGTATCTCTCTCTCTCTCTCTCTCTCTCTCTCTCTAATCTGTTGATGTGTGCTGTCATTAGATGACAGATGTGAAAGATAGCTGATGAACCTGTTGATATTACACCCATCCTAAGTGACCTAAGGCACACAGTAACTGACCATAAATCACCAGACACAGAGCTTCTGAGAGGATTTTACATCCAAGTGAAAGAAAATCCCCTATATTCTCCATGCATTTTTACCTGTCTAAGGTTTACAGTATTAAGCTAATGAAGAAGAGGCCTTCACAAATGTTCTTATAAGGGTTGTCAGTGAGTACCTGGTTAACTGGGTACTTGTCAGAAGATCCATTTATAAAATGTCTATACTTGGTTACACTGGTTAAAAAAAAACAGAAATTCACATTTTTTTGAAGGGGGGAGGGGTATTTTTAATATTTTTAGAAACTGAACATAGCTTCAAAACAAAGGAGTTAAGACATTTGGTGGATGTATACACAGAATTATTGCAGTTAGTTGAAAGAAAGCTGGGTTTTTTTTTTCAGAGTAACTGATTAGTGATTGTGATGTTCAATAAGTAGTCCCACCAACCAGTCCCCAGTTTAACAACTCTGATTATATTCATACTGATGGGTACTTTAAAAACAAGGCACTCTTTTGTAAAAATTCAAGTCCAGGGCATCTCAATTGTATGCTTAATGGAGTTCTCCCCTAAATCCCCATAATCAAGGGACTTGGAAATAACTTGATTTTGATCTATCATCTGTCTGTCTGGAAGTTTAAATTGTTTTATCTGTCTGTCTTCAAGTGTAAATTGTACAGATATCTGTTTAATTCAGAAATAATGTCAAGAACAAATCATCATTCCAGGTCAGTGTATTGCATAAAAATCTGAAATGGACTTTGTCATGAGCATTTTATATCACAAATAAATCTGACTCATCATCGTGAATGTTTATAATTAAATTTGTTCTCGCATTCAGGTATCCAGTGGTCTCATCAGCCGAGTGTCCACAGCCGACCAGAACTTCAACAAAGACATGGAGCTGACCCCGCGCATCGCCACGGAGATAGACTTGACCTTGGATACTGGCCCTACCCTTCATGCTATCCAAACTATGAACTTTTTTCAACTGAAAGGTACAGCAGCCGTGCTCTCAAAGTTTTCTAATCTTTTGTGGCGATGGCGGTCTGATCTAGCTCACTATGAAAGTGAGTACTCATTTTTTGTCTTTAATACATAATGTATACTCAGAGTAAGTATTTTGAAACTGTTTGAAAAATGCATGATTAACAATTAACCTGTATTTTTAAAACAATTTTTAATTGACCATTTGAGTATAAGGTAATAAAACTTACAGAAAAAATCCTTACACTTTAAGTACATGGCGACATTTGGAATTTTTCCTTGTGGTGGTTCATGTGAAAATGTAGAAATCAATTTTGTGGGTTTTTTTTTCTTCAGAATATATCTATTTTATGACCTAGCAGCTGACGAAATTAGAGCAAGTCCCTTTGTGCAATGTCATTTATCCCTCAGAGAAGAAATTCGAGCAATACCATAGTTAGACATGTGACAGTTTTATAAGCTTCACAGACTGGGCTTCATTTATAAAAGTGCAGCTTGTGCTCTTAAGGATCTAAATGCTTTAGGGGGAAAAAAAGAAAATAAAAAAAAAAACCCAGCAAGTTTGTATATCTATCTTGGTGAAGAACATGTCCCTCAAATAAACCTACATGTATCTGTGTACTTAATATCACCTGCTACAAAACAGAACCGAGTAAGTGTGAGTTGAAGCATTCCATACACATGATAATATGGGTAATATTCCAGACCCCATCTCGACTAAATCATGTGTGGCACAGCTCACAGGTCAAGCAGATTTCCATTTTTACGAGCTTCTTTATCATTTTTATGATAAAAAAATGTCTGAAGAATATTTTCACAATGATGCCAATTAATGAGAATCATGTTTTTTTTTTTTATTAGATGAACCAAGTAACACTGAAATGCAGTGCTTTTAGGTTAAGGAAAAATATATTGAAAAAAGTACAGGTATTAATCTGAGATTAAATAAATCTAACTTGGGCTAATTTTTGGACATATGTTGTTTTGAATAGGACATATAAAAGGCTTAGATTATTTTTTCAGAATGGAACAGCATAGTGCTAAGCACCCCCAAGTTATGAACTTCTGAAGTGTATAGGTTTTCTTAGAAAGGATCCAAAAAGATGATGAAAAGCAAAGGGAAGCAGTGTACACAAAGCTTATGTAATTAGACTGATCTCCTAGACATTGAGTGGGATGAAGTCATATTAGATATAACAAATTATACTACTTATCAACATCATTAAAACAATCATCTACATAAAAGACTTTAATCAGCAGGATTTAGCACATCGGGAGGAGGATGAGATAGCATTAAATAGGAAGAATGGGCGGCAGACGACAACGGGATGAGGGGGGCCCTCTCAAAAGACATTGGGTTGTTCAGAGAGGGAAAAAACTTCATCAATACTATCTTTATCCAAGCACTTCAGAAGAAAATTTTTTCATACCATATTCATGAATAGTGTAACTTGTAAAGGGTTCAAAGATGTGCCTCTTAATATAACTTCTGAGGAGGTTGTATTTCTCTTGCTGTAAGTGTAGCAATGTAATTTAGTCAGGTTGCAGTAAGTATGATAGAAATTTCTATCTCTATGTCTTTCATGCTAATTTTCTGACTTTTTTCCTTTGATTTGGTGCACAGGGGGTGTGGGTAAGTAAAAAGGAGGAAAATGTTGTCTGCCTTGCATCTTTGTCACCTGAGTTTGCCTCCATCACCTCTAACTTTGTTCTGATTTTTCCTTTTTTTTGAACCCATAATAAAAGTAAGACATTGGTGTATGAATCCTGCATAGCGCCAGATTCTCTAACAACAGAAGAGTGACAATGCACTGCATGGGATCTATTTACTCAATTGCAAATTAGACATGATACAAGCCTAAGAGTTGAGAGTTTTTAGGAATAGATAAACCTGCCGCAAGTTTACTTAGCTAGATCATTAACTGATTGTAACACAACCATTTTGTTTCAGATGCATGTTAATAAAGTACAGATGAAATTCTTTCTCCATGTTTTGTTTCTTATCCCCCGTTTATATTTCTGAATGGTGTCATGGTTAGGAAGCTGCATGCATTGATGCGCTCTGATGCTATATGTGTTTTACTTCAGTAATTATAGACAAAGCTTTTATAACACATAAGAGATAGTTAGAGATGGTAATTAACATCTTTGATATCTCTTTGGATTAATTAAGATAAGTGGGATGTATCTCTTGAAGCAGATGAACAACCTTTAAATAGATCCTGCACTGAACAAATATAGTTAATGATACCTTGGGAACAAGATGCAGAATGTCGATAAGGAGTACAAGTGTACAGATTACTTATAAATATTGACGTCTGGCATTTATACATATATGGCAAACACCAGGGGGACTTGGATTGACACAGTTCTTGGTTAGTTTGACAGAAACCACAGACTGCAAATTTCTCTTGAGGATTCCTCCTATGTCATTTTGTTATAAATAGGTCTGGGTTAGTGTTCTATCTTCCAATTAGGTTAAATTTGAAAATCAGGTTAAGTTTGAAAATCGTCAAAATTGTTCAGCTGTAAGATATGATTTCACCAGAGAAATGTGTCCATTTTCACTTTTGATACCAATACTGTCCATTGTTTTAATACCATTTATATCATCAAAAGGAAAAGTCAATAGATGTCTTGTGCATCTCTTACATTCAAAGTACTTGAAATAAACATGATAACAGCCTAGCTGAAACTATAGAGATAAATATACCGGTAATATCTGTGTACACTTAGCTTTATATTATATGAAAAATTTGAGCTTTACACCTTGATAAATACATGATATTACACAAAATCATACCGGTAATTCTATATTTCTATCATAAAGTTATTTGTCATATGCATTATGGAAGTTTGATGTAAAGGGATATATACCAAATTTTTTTTCTTTGAATTAGATACTATCAAGATGTTTTCCAGATGATATTAATAGAAGATAAAAAAAAATATATTAAATGCATAAAGAATAAACAGATAAGAAAATGTCCATGCATGTTCATATAGTGTGAGTGTGATTTATCTTGGAGCTGACCAGCTGCTGGTAATCACCTGTCACTCGGCTGAGATTATCAGTAACCTCAGAGGAGGATAGCATCAGGCAATGTTGACAGCTCAGAAAGCTCAAATAAAGCCACAAAACAACTCTGGAAAAATAAGTTCCTGCTCTACTGTCAAGTTTTCTGTTGATTTTTCAGAGGGAGATTCCAAATGGTTCTTGTCTGTGGGGCTTTGTGTTTATTAACATATATCATTATGTGTGCAAGATCGTTATCAAAATAATTTTGAAAAATTATACCAAGATGATGCCAATTTTTTAGAAAGACATAATTCTGTGATGTTGTTTTAATGATTTTATACCTTTGTGGGTTTTCAATAATTTGCTTCTTCCGGACAAGGCTTTGCAAATACATGGTTTGTTGGTTTGATTTACTGAGCCATTATGAAATCTGCACATTTTTTGTATGCTTTTTATATGAAAATAACTTTCCTATTTTTAAAATACAGCATTTATGAAATAGCTAAAAATAAGAAGAAAAGATTTATTGGTTTAAAAATGCAACCAGAGAAAAGGTGACTGGGTAAATTTTATATAACTTAGAGGATGCCAAAATAACACTATCAAGACCTAAAAAAGATGTTGACATGATTACTTGTGATGTAAGAAGAATGGCAGAAATTAGAAGTGATGATTTTTACAAATGAATGTAGAATTTTTAGAAGCTTAGCACCGTACATTTGAAATTTTATAGTTCAGACTTGCTGACTGCTACTGGCAGAAAATTGACTTGAGATCTCTTTCCTTTCACTTCCTCTTAATTAAAATCTATCTTTTTTCATCCACTATGATCAGAGCTTTAATTAAAAGTGACTGTGAATAAAATGTTTTGGAACAAAATATGAACTTAGCCAAAAAATAAACTTTGTTACAAGATGAAATTTTTGTTTTTCAGCTCCTGGTAAACCAAGAATTGTACCAGAGGACTGTAGTGCTGAGAATAACAGTGTGACCATCGCGTGGCAACCACACATGGGAAATGTGGTAGAAAACTACAGCCTGGAATTAGATGATGGTTGTGGAGGAGATTTTAGGGTAAGACACTCAGAGTCTCAAGAATTACAAACATCTCCATCATGAACATTAAAGGATTCATACAAAACATTGTTGTTTAAAGGAGTATTCTACTTAAGTATAGTAGCGTGGCCCCTTTTTACACACTTAGTTTTCCGATTAAATATTAGCATATGGTACTTTGTTTTCATTGTGTATAATGAAGTCTTTCTAATCAAAGCATAGTGTATTTATAATGAATAATTAAACATATCAAAAACATGATCATATTTTTAACAACTATTGCACCTAAAAATGCCGGAACATTTTCCCCCGATCAGACTACGATTTCTCCTATTACATTGAAATGGGCGGAGACATTTAGATTAGATACTATAAAAAGAAAATTCTTGATATGATATTTTTTTCTTTCAAAGACAAATTATATGTTCAAGATTTACAATCAACTACAAATGCAATTTCCTGTGTACAAAACTATGGCAATAAAAGACTATAACAAGATGAGCCAAACAAATCCATGCTGACCGATATAAAACTGAGTTCGTTTCAACTAAGAGCTAGCACGTTTACCGGGGGCATTTACCCGTAACGATACAATCCATGTGACTTGTTATGATTCTAAACAGGTCATAAAGAGGTTAATCGCATGTAAATGAAGTCAGCGAAGAGATTCAAAATCACAATACTTTTAATTAGAAAACATAGAGCACAAGGTTGTTCAACAAAGATATTTTCACTAAACCTTTATACATATAATATACACATTATATTTCGAACTCGACTCTGAACAAACCTGTGCTCGGTGTTTACGAAAACTTCAAAGTGTGCACCTGTCATTGATTTCTTTTGATATTCATGAAAATCAAAGGACCCTACCTTCAACACGCAATTCGTATGGTGCCTATATCTGTTGTTTGACATTTTTAGATGATGACTCCAATAATAAAGATATTAGTTGATAATAAAATTTAATTTTTAAGGCCTTTGATAAATGTTCGAAATTTGATGAGTAACAGGGGACCACAGATAAGCCTTATTGAGACCTTTTCTTTGTCACATTAATCCTAAATGACCTTCCTTGGTTTTGTTTTTTATGCCCCATCATTGAAGATTTTGGGGCATATAGTTTTTGGTCTGTCCAGCTGCCTGTTTCTCTGCTAAGACCCATAACTTGAGAACGGTTGATGCTTGAGCTTTCATGTTCATCATGTTCATATGTGTATTCCTTGTGATAAGACCTTTTATTAGGTACTAATATATTTGACCTCTTGACCTTTGAATTTGAACTATTTATGTGTTATTCCCTTTAACAAGGTCATTCTTTGGGTACCAACATTTCTGATCTCTTGACCTTGGAGTTTGGCCTACATTTGAAAAACTTTAACCTTAGACATGAGCTGCCAAACAGTGGCATCAGTGTGTCACAAACACATCTTGTTTCTTTATGTTAGGTTTTGAAAGTTAACTCTTAGAGGAAGCAGAGATTGCTGTATGATTGTAATTATTAAAAAAAAGGACAACAGAGTACAGTGCATGTACTAATAAATCTAATTAAAACTTTTAAATCAAGCAGAAGCCTTCAGGGATTTTATATGACATTCATGTCTCAAATAAGGGGAAATGCACAAAATAAATATTAGCAGGAAAGTGAGTCAAATATTTTCAAATAAATGTAACAATATTAAACTGGGAAATACGATAAAGTAAACATAGAATCTATTCATATGGGGAATAATGAAATTAACTCCCGTGAGTCAGGGATTTCTGTTTTTGCTCAAAAATGGAAATATGCAGCACGATGATTCACAAATATCATAACTGTTGCCGTTAATGACTTTGTTTACTAATGAAACGTGACAAAGTTTGTTCCGACAAAAAGTTGCTCTTGCATATTTCCATAATAGGAGGATAAGGTAATTGTAAAATTTTATTGTCAGTCAAATTAGAGCGTACATCTCCTTGCTTTTTCATTTCCCATTTTATTTCTTGCCCTTGACAATTACATTACTTAAAATGAGAAATAAGTTTATGACCAGTATGGATTTTATACAAGATCATATTCCAAGCTATTGACGAAAGTTTCAGAAGAATTAACTGGGATTCTTTGCCTGTCATTGCACTTATCAAAAAATGAGCAAGGAGACTGAGCTGATACAATTATAGAATCTTCATAGCTTTCATTTAATCTGCTTCCGATTTACATGAGAAGAGAGTAGAAAAAAGAGCATTTCTTTTCCTCAAGGACAATTGGCTATTAGTGGCTATTATGCTGTTGCTCGAGGTGTCACGACTCATTGCTTTCATCTTTTATTTCCATTAAAGTGAAATGCTAAAGTAATGTAATATCTGCACGCTATGAAATATTAAAAAGGGAAATCCCATAGATGCAATCAATCAGAGTGCTGAACCTTTTTTGTCCAGGGCATTTGTATCACTAAAGCTAACATAACTCAGTTTATTGTGTAGTTTATGCCCCTACCAGTGTTTTGAATTTCTTAGTACATGTAGCTAGCTTTAAGGCCAAGCGTTTACAATTCTTAGTTTCCAACGAATTACTAGGATATTTTCCTTTCAAAGTAGATATAGGCAGAATCTAAAAGATTTCTCTTGGATGAAAAGCCTTTTCTTTGCAAATCTTTTTTTTTTTTTTGTTTCTTTCATAATTATTAAACTGTATGTTGCCTTTTACCTTTTGAAATTTCTTTAAAAATCAGTAATTTTGTTTGCATATTAAACAAACAGGACAATTTTTTTTTTTTTTTTTTTTTTTTTTTTTTTTTTTTTAGAACAAGGCATTTTTGTAAAAGAAAATGGATAAACCAACTAAGCCCCCACATTGCTCTGTAATGCCCTTATTGATCCTAGAGCACTAATCTTCATTTGATAAAAGGTGGCTGTCCAGTTGCTGCTGACATTATTGAGAATTATACAGAATCTGCTCTGATTGAATTTGGAAGTGAGAAACAGTGTGTCAACTTGATGTGACAAGTTAAGATTGTTGGTGAATTGTCTAGACTATAGAATCCCAAGGGAAACTAAAATTAATGGTCATCCATTCCTTTGTATTGAGGTAGCTGACATTACAAGAACAAATAAAAATGAGTTCAAAAAAGGATAAAATAGAAAGGCGGTATTGAGAATAAGCTAGACCCTTTTTTCATTCGTGAGAATGAAATAATTATATTTGCTATGAATGTTTCTACTAGTATCCATTCAACCTTGAAAAATTCCTCCAAAGATTTTCCTTACATAAATACCATCGTGTAAGTGGAAATTTTAGCGATTGAGACGCAAATTTAGCGATTTATCCTTCAGAAATGTAAATATTTTTAGCAAGATGTTATTTTAACAATTTTATAATGTCAAAAGAGATAGCTATTGCAATCCATATGTAATAAATTGTTAGCAATATTCAATTTTAGCGATCTCAGAATCCTTGCTAATAATGCCAAAATTAAACCCTTGCTAAAAATTCTGCTTATACAGTACATATTGTTATCAACCATTAGCATGATTGGTTTACATCTCTTTATTAATGTCTTGTAAATTGTGATGTTTGTTGTTATTAGTTCTTTATTATATAATATGTACAAACATATAATACTAATTTAAAGATGCAAATATTTTGCCTTTAACATTTAATTAAAGCAGATTTGTTTGCTACCATTTACTATTTTTCTAATAGACCTTTCCCATTTAAGCACATTAATTATCCAAGACAATTATCTCAAAATTATCTCGGTTCATGATTCTCTGTACAGTCGAGCCTCATTTATCTGGACACTTGTTATCTGGATTAACAAAGCATCTGGATTACTGAAACATACTTGGTATATATAAATTGTTCCCCACAGATTTCATTCGAAAGTGAAACATCTGGATTAACAATGTTCAACCGTATTATAAGACCAACTGTCATATATGCAAATTCCCTTAGATAGTGTGAATGCAGTTTTGACAGTATGCATGTGTACTGTAGATAAGGAAACTTATACAATGGTTTTAATTTCACTATGTTCATGATTTATCATTTTCCTGCTAGTTAAACCCATAGTAAATAAGATTTTCAGATCACACAATGAAGTATCTGTCTCACTTAAATAGGATACAGTCAAATCTCATTATATCTCAAACTCAATGGGACCGAGAAAAAACTTCCGAGATAACCCAGGGTTCGAGATATCCAGGGTAAAATACTTAAAGAAAAAGGGTTTGGGACTTCCAAAACATTTCAACATATTCTTGATATTTCAGATATCAGTGTTCGAGAGATCGAAGTTCATCTTTATATAGAGTGAAATAAAAACCATCGCTTTCGGTACCCTTGTAACAAATTGTGAAATTTTAGCACAGTGGGATTAAAAAGACTTAAAGTATGCCTGTTGTGTTAATTGAAAATGATGTATTTTAAAACAATGTCTCACAAGTCCCAGACATTAAAGCTTAATCTTGTATTGAAAAGTGCACTACTACTTTGTATTTTAAAAATATAAAACAAACATAGGAGCCAAGTTTTAGTTCATGATTTTTATTCATAGTCAAAGATAATTAACTGGTTAAGAATTATGAAAGGGTCTAATTTGGAAAAAAAAAAGCTTTGCAAAACATGAATGCAAGTAATTGAGATATTGTAAGAGATATGCATGTATTACAGGCTACAGAGTTATTCATAAAAGAATTCTTTTCTTGGCAAGAAAAGTGGAGAAAATCAAGAAAAACTGAATATGAATGGAGAGCTCATTGAGTGTTTTGCAATCAAATCAAATTAATTTAACTGAATCAATAAGGCTTTACAAAATAATTTTGCTCAATTTCTGTTTAATAATAACTTCAAAGGTATATGCTCATTAAAGTAGCACAGATTCGCATACATTCAATTGATTTTTTTGCACATGCATGTACAGTATACCCTCATAATACATACAATATTCTTTATGTTGGGTATATTGGGGGAGGGGGGCTTTAAAGTCACAAACACTTGGCAGAAAACAACTGTGGATATTTTTTAGCCAAATATCAGCATGATTGAGGAAGTCATTCTGAAAGAGAATTGGCTCCATGATATGATGCTTTTCAACAATACACTAGTTACAATATTGGATATTCTCTTAGAATTTCCCATTTTCAACTGAGACATTTTAATCTGTTGGCTTCCTGGAAGTCCTGGTATTATAAGAGACAAAAATACCTCTCTGAGCCTTGCTGATACAGTGTATATTGATGATAAATATGGGATACAGATGCACATTTTTCAAATTGAATTGATTAAAACTGGTTAATTAAAGGTTTCTGGTTGGCTTGATAATGCTTAAATTTGCTTCAGATCAAAGTAAAACATGACTGAAAGATTCAGATAATTAATATTTGTAATGTAACCAATACCCAGTATTCAAGCTAGGATTCTAAAGATGAAAACTAATGTTTGAAAACAAAAATCTTTCCTCTTAAGCTGATGAAACTTCTGGATTCAGCACTTTTTTGTTGAAAATGCAAGGAATTTTTCCAGACAAATTTACACTCTGGTAACACCAAGTCATATTGATTTAACAAGAAGTTGTTCAAAAAAAGTCTTCTAGTTAGGGAAATTGGTGTTATTTTTACCTATTGGTAAAGATTAAGGCTTGGAAATTGGGGATTTATTGCAGAGGAAGGAAGACTATGAAATAAAAATACAGCGCTAATTAGTTTTAATTACATCTGATGGTGGAAACATAACCGCAGCAAAAAATATTCAGAGCTGTAAAACTCTCATGTAAAATTATCAATTTACACCACTGGCAAATCATCTGATGGTTGATTTTAATTGTTTTTTAATGGCTTTCCTTAAAAAAAAAAAGTCTCGGAGTAATTACAAATAAATTATTTAATACGCAAACTTAGGTACATTTATTTTATTTTTTTATAACACATAAAACTATCGATTTCTTGGCAGGTTGTGTATGTTGGAAGTGAGACAATTTGTACTGTGGATGGCCTTCACTTTAACAGCACGTACTATGCTCGGGTCAAGGCCACCAACAACTCTGGAGACAGTGACTACAGTGATCCCATCAGTCTACAAACAGCTGAAGGTATTAATCTCGGGGGGGGGGGGGGGGTACAAAAAAAAGTTTACAACTAAAGACCAAAATTTATTTTTGCATACAACTTTCTTCTTTAAATTAATTTGAAAAAAAGTGTTAATCTTCTTCTTATAAGGATTTCAAAAGATATTTTATTCAAGAAACTTTTAACAGAATAATTAATCATGCAAACTTTTAAAATCAGCAAAATGTTTTGGTCTTAGTTGTGAGTTCTTTTGTTAAATTTGGACCCAGGTTTCACAAAGTTCAGGGGGACAGTCAAGTCTGATTTAATTGGTGAAATAGGATTTATTAATATTTATTACATTTTCAACAGTGAAATACTGTATTACATAAATTACTGTAATTTATTTATTGAATAAAAGTGAAATTTGTTCACACTTTGATAAAATATCAAAGTTATATAGTGATAGTTTTTCACACTGTGAAAAAATATCAGAAGTGCAGCAAAACTCAATATTTTCTTTCCTTCACGAATAGTATTAGAAAAATACTCCCTTGCCTGTTTTTAAAACAGTGAAGGTAAATTAAATAATTAAAACCATCCTGACAGAGACTAAAACTGCTAAAGTTTCTTCAAATTTTGTTTAAATCCATGTTTTCAATTTAAATCTCACAATCACTTAGGTATGACATCTCAACGGTTCAACTATGGTGTTGTAAAAAGACAGATCAAAGAAAATGTAATAAAATAGAAAATTCAGTGTTTTATAGTTGAATATGAAATTTATTTCACTTGTGAAACAGGATTGTTTTATAGATTTTCAGTTATGCTTCACGCTGGTGAAGATATAAAAAAAAAATCCTGTCCCACTTATGAAATAGTTTCCATATCCAACTATAAAACATTGAATATCCTCTATATGTGTGATCATTTATTTTATATTTTATCTTCTTGGGGTGGGATGGGGGGGGGGGCATACAATGCACCTAATGTAACAAATTACAGATAGTATTGAAAACCTACCGGTATGTTTTTCTTTGTTATTTACTTCATTTCATCAGTTCATAATAAATGTTCATCAAACCAATTTTCCAAGTGCCTGGAGGTAGACATTTAAGGCAAGATCAGTACAATACTACAGATCTCAATGAAAATCAAATGAATTAGTGGTGTGCCCTGACTGTTATTAATAGAAGGGACATAAAATTCTTAGGCAATACCAGCAGAAGGTGGAGTGCTCCATTATTGCAAAATGATTTGGTGATAAAAATTTAGCTAAAGGCCATGGCATTAACACCTATGGTGACAAATTATTGAAGCAGAAGGATCAAGGGACCAGAAGGTCCTTTGTTATCTGTGTCACTGGCCTCTTTCTGAGAGTCTCTTACCGTCTGCTTTGGCAGACTTTTAATATTTAATGAGTTTCAGAGCATCAGAGGGCTTCTGCTTCCCATGCAGTGAGTGCTGAGAATGAAATCTACAGTGCAATACATTTCAATTTACCAAAATTGATGTCATTTTGGGTTAATAAATCAATCTATTTCCTTTATTTCTATCTTGAGAGGAAATCCAGAGACTTTGTCCTATATAACTTGCAGGTGTTAGAGGACAAATATAATTATGGCATATGGTAAAATAAATTTGTTTAGAAGCAGTTTGCTATAAATGGTTTGATTGTAATGGAGTTGTTTTACTTAAAGAACAAGGTGTGATATGGCTTTCTGTTAGCCCTAAAACTCAGGGTCACAATAAACTTGTCAAAATATGTCTGATTAATCACATGTTGTTAGGAAGTAAATTAGCAAATTCCAAAGGGCTAAATCAATCAATATGCTGTAATGATGCAGGTAATATTGGTCTCTGAGAAAATTAAAAAAAAAACAGCCCAATTCTGTTTTTTTTTTTTTTTTTTTGTTAAAAAGCTATCAGATTTTTTTTTTCAAAATTAAGGACTTCCTCCAAGTTGTAAAGCCATATGTGACTAAAGAATAAAAAAAAAATGTGAATGCAAAAGAACTGACATTGAAATAAATAAATTGTCTTTTGAAATGTAGACGAGATACTTAACCAATTCATGTAATTGTATATCATGGCAAAAAAAAAAAAAAGAAAGAAAGAAAGAAAAAGAAAAAACAGTCCAATATTAAAGTTACCATTGGTCATTCCATCACACACCATTACACAAATATTTATTTTTTTTTTATTTTGTAGTGGCTTGGTTTACTCTGGATCCTTTCTCAGCTCATCCAGACATCCTTTTTTCAAATGACAATCACACAGCAACCTGCAACAGTTACGAACACCGTATCTTGTTGGGAGGTGTAGGATTTTCCAAAGGGGTCCATTACTGGGAAGTGATCATAGATCGATATGACAAACACTCTGATCCAGCCATTGGAATAGCCAGGTTTGATGTGGACAAATGCCAGATGTTAGGTAAGCATGTCCAGAGTATTTTGGCTATACATTTCATTGCTGAGATTGTACAGTACCTAAAAAATTGAAGCACTTTTCTTCTAAAAAAAAGCAAATGCTATTGATCATGCCTGCACTTTCAACACTTTATTCCTGAATGCTTCATCCAAAACATTTTAATTATTCCAGAATATCTATGTATTGAACATTATTATTTCTCAGAACAGGAAGATTGACTCAGCTGTTAGAAAATAAATCGATATATTGTTGTGTTTCCCTCTGAAAGCTCACGGAGGGTGATAACAGTATGCATTTTTCTGCAAGGCTTAAAGTAACTCAAAGATAATTTTTTAGAAAAAAAAACAATGTTTTCATTTTCATTTTTACATTATAGTGGTTGTTAATGGTTAGTGTCATATTTATTTTCATCTCAAAAACTTTTGCAAGATAATAAAATGATGGGCGTTTAAGACGGGAGACATCACATATTGTGATGGGGCTAGGTCACTCTGAAGGTATATGAACCTTAATTTGGACATACATGTATTAACCATACATGTACTTAAAAATTTGTGAATATATACTTCCCCAATTTTATATTACTTCGTAACTATTCTTAATTTTTTATGGCATTGAGCTTTAGCTTGATGAGCATCTAGTATTCATGCAGAAATATTTCTTTTTCACCTCAGCACTAGGTTATTTAGGCAATTTCCTCTATTATAGACTATCAAGTCCATAACCTTTTTAATAAATGATGAATCTCAATTGAATGGACAACATGCTATCTGATCAGATTTTTGAGTACAAGTTGTAAACTAAGAATACATTCAAGACATTAAGAAATAATGCTTATATAATGATTAACAGAAACATGCATTTTGATTGAATAATACTGAAGTGAAGTCTTTTGGGAGATTTTTCACCCTTGACCTTTTGGAGGTGTCTTGTTAATTCAGGACCTTTCAAATTTGGACCAGAGTAATCAGTTCCACACCCCAAATGTTGACTTTTAAAAAGTTTTTGCTACATTATGTAATCTTATTTGTATGTTCAGAAGCTGATCAGACTTAAAATAAGTAAAAAAATCTTTCATATAAGATACTATTGAATCCCTTCAGGCTTTTGATTCCTTTTTGCTAACAACAGAAAAAAATCAATTTATGTAATTTGATTTTTAAATATGCATAGAAAAAAAATATGCAATAACAATTTTTTATACAATCATACTACTTTCTATCTCATCAGATTCAATGATGAGATGAAGAAATATAATAGAAAAATACAGAGACACCGGTAATAATAAAAATCCAAAGGGGAAATTCACCCTATAACGATCACATCCTCAGTATGACATAACCTGCCAGTCTCCAGAGACTCTGGTTGATGCTTCCTTCTTTAGCTAGAGGAGGATATCAGTATGCTTGAAGATCACATATAGAAAAGTGCACACTTAAATTTATCAGACTTGATAAAAGGAAATCAAATGAAAAGACACTTTTTGCCTGCGAAAGCAGCAGTTAAATCACAAGTGAGTGTCTGGTGTTGAATAATTTGGGATTATATGGCGAGACTTTACAGTACTCTTTGGTGAAGAAGAAGATAGCTGGATGTGTTTTATAACTCTGCATGATGAAGACATGTTTATGTTGTGGTTGTTATTTTGATAAACTTTCTGACATTCATAACTTTTTTTTTCCTCTTGTATTTCAACAAGAGGGCAAGTTGTCTCCTATTTTTTTACTCCTCATAACTGTACAACATAAAAATATTACTAAACTTTGTGAAATTGATGAATCTGAGGAAAAAATGGAAAATATCTATAGGGGTCTAGTGAATTACAGCATTTCATGGCAGGCATTGATCTGTTTAAAAATCTGACTAGAAAAGCTTCCAGTACTAGTTGTAATTTCTAACAGGTATCAGGGAACTAATATAGTGCCATGGAAATACAGAGAGAAAAAAGGATAATAAATCAATATTGGTGTTATGAGATTTCCACAATTTCCTTGTAGCTTAAAAACATCTGATGCCATTGAGACTGCACTGTAGAAGTCTCTGAATTCAGAATGTTATGTTTTTTCATTACCGGTTCATTCTCTTTTTCTTGCGACCAAAGCCAATAAAACTGAAGATGTTGCACTTCATTTAGCTGGAGTTTGACTTCCATCTTTTAATGACATCATCTCTCATTAACTTCCATGTAATTGAGTGCATTGTATAAATGTTGTTTACTCATTTATTATCTCTCTCTCTTCATATGGGTATACAATATTTGTTTTGAGCTGTTGAAATAAATTTATAGAAGTCAGAATATGGAAATTGCTTAAGCTAAGAAGAGATGAGAATTTTTTTGCTTAACTTCTTGTTATGTGCACCTATCGGTAATCTGAATTTTCAAACGGGGTATTTTTTTTCACAAGGGGAAGAACAGAGAAAGCTAGTCCCCGAGTTGAGAAGGAAGTATCTGTTAAATGATTGTTGAAACAGAAGGAAAAAATTGAAGAAAATTCTCTTTGTAGTGGGATTAGACAAACAAATACCTAACACCCAGACAGTTTGATCCTTGTAAACATTGCCCTAAACTTTGTTAATGGGCAGGCAGCCCTTCTTCAAAATGTTTACATTCAACAGCTGATTGATAGCTAGAGATACACCACAGAAATTTAAGCCCAATCAGGAAAATTTAATTATTTCTCTCATCCTCTGATTACTTCTAAAGATCAAATCAAAAATTGTCTTATCAGGGGGTACTTAAACTTCTATAAATCTGTCCGTATCAGAGAGAAAGTTGGCGACTACCTGTCCTGTTCCGAAATAAATTGTCTGACAGAAGCAAGAGGGGGAAAAAAAATTTTTATGTAATTTATGAAAATTCCTGGGGATAATTATAATTGGTATTTGTGGGAGATTTATAAGTCAACATCTCCCTTTGATATCTAGGTGAAAAATGCTGGAAAAAATTGATCAGAAAAAATTGCAATAAAATATCATGAAATGCTCCACTTTCATAATTTTCTGATATGGAAGGAGATACTCTCAATTTTTATGTGGACAATTTTTGCACAGTTTAAATTAGCACACATACATCAAACAGCATTTTTTTATAAGTATATATGCTAACTTAGCAAAAAAAAAAAAATGTCAATTCAAAGTGCCTAAGGCAGTGTAGTGAAATGATGACATAGAGAACATTTGAAATCAAAAGTAAAAGTCTCTATGGTGATTGATTCATTTTATTCAAGATCAGGGACAACGAGGATGAAGAGTCAAAGATGAAAGTGCAAAATATTTATAGGGTTTTAATTTTTCATGCATGTATGTTATTGTTTGTCAGACTGAGAAGTTAAACTAGTAATAAGGCAAAGACACTGCATTTTTTTTCATTGTTACCCCCAAAATGTGTCTATCTCACAGACGTGTAAAAACTTGAAGTACTTCTTGATATATAGATACAGTTAAATTTTGGCAAAGTATATTTTTAATTTCACTACAGTAATTTCTTGGACATGGCATACCTATTTTGTTTTAATGAAGAGCATGCACAATATCTTGCAGGCCTGCAGGAAGCAATTTCAGTTTGGGGGGGGGGGGGGGGCACAGCCATATATTTTCAGTTGAGGGGGCACTATCAACCGAAAATTCCTTGACAAGCAAAAAAAAAAAAAGGTCATCAGAGGTTTTTATTGAGGGGGCACAAGCATATAGTAGCAATGTTTTCTACAGTAATTTATATATCGGCAAAATTATTGGGGGGGGGGGGGCACGGCCCCCCGTGCCTCCCCGGTTCCTACGGCCATGTCTTGTTTTTCTCCATAAAAAGCTCTAATGATGATAAACTTCTTTTTCCTTTCCAGGCAAGGATGAGAAAGGATGGAGTATGTACATTGATGATGGAAGAAGCTGGTTCATGCACAGTGATGAACACTCAGAGAGGACGGATGGGGGGATCAAAAGGGGGAGTGTGATTGGAGTCCTGTTGGACCTAGACAGGCACAGACTCTGTTACTTTGTGGACAGTATACCCCATGGACCAGTAGCATTCAAGAATCTCCATGGCGTCTTTTTCCCAGCCCTCAGTATTAATCGTAATGTTCAAGTGACCCTTCGAACGGGTCTGGAGCCCCCAGCGGAAAGTGAATCTGATGATGAGTAATGGAAAAATGTTTGTTCTTTTTTACTGGAAAATCTGCCATATTGGTTGTGCAATAATTGGACGTGCTGAGAATCATCCAAAAGATATTTTTCTAGTCAAATTTTGTTCATGCATGGGTGTTGCATTTTTAACACACAAATATCATGACTTTTTTTTGTGAAGATGTGAAACAATTTTCATAATCTAACCTCATTTCTGAGATAAAATCTTGTTTTAGAGAAAATGTAAAAACAGCAACGAATCTCACTTTTTTTGTATGGAAACTTGTATTTGTCATCAACAGTTATTTTATTTATCTATACATTTTGCAATTGTTTGAAAATCTTTGCTCATTACCATCTTATTAAAGATCTACAAAAAGAACATGAACATTGTAAAACATCTGATCCACACAAGTGTTGGGTGGAACTGTTCATAATGTTATGATTATTTTGAATTGAAATATTTTTGGAATCTTCGGTAAAAACTTTTCTTTTTTTTTTTACTCACCTTATTTTTTGTTCACCTATGATGAATATATTTCTCAAGGCATTTGATTTTGCAGAATTTTCATCAAACAAAAAAAAAATCTTGGTACAAAAGGGTGGAAGTAAAATCTTTATAATATTGAACACTATTTCTCATGATAAACATACATACGCGCAAGATATAAAGAGTGATATTTATACCAAGTATGTAATTTTGAAAGGTCGTTCTATTTTGCTATGGATGAGATTTGCTTTTAGCAAAGCCAAAAAGAACCTTCACTGTATAAATATAGCATGAAAACCAATGCTATTACTGTATGTAGAAAAATTGCTGTGAAAGGAGTTTGTTGACTTCTTTTAGCATGTACATAACTAGTCTGTACATAGCTTCAAAGATTGTGTTGATGTCCTTTTTTCAAACAAAAGCATTTCATTTAACTTTCATATTTTCAAAGTGCTAGGTTAAACAATATCAATTGACAATCTATGTAAGGCCAAAGTGTTCAGTGATTTGTTTTATGTCTTCAGTATTTCTTGTAATTAAGAAGCCTGGTTTATCCATGCAGGCAATTCTACTCCAGCATGCTAGGCTCATGGTGAGACTTTTGACTTGATGGGGAGCTTAGGGATGTTACCTGAGGCTCTTACTTGTAGGAATATTTTGATTCATGCTTCTCAAACATTGATTTCTTAGATAATTCTGAATCTCATTGAATTGATATTTTCAAATCTTTTGACCATATTTGAAGTCTTTGGATTGTCTTATTTGACTACTAAATTCACCATCTATAAGCAATATTATTGCTTTTTAGGATATAAAACAAATAATTTGAGAACTTTGGCCTAGATATGGTGCAATATTTACTCAGGTTGTCTCCCCTTTATCACTGTCATCCAATATTTGCCAAAAAGGACCAGATTTTTTTTATCAGATAAATCTACATTGAGAAAGTGACATTTAAAGGGCTTTTAAAAATGAGAAGCTGATAGCTGTTTATCCTGCAGTCATTTTAGCAAAGTGCACCTTGATCCGATACAAGACATTTTTATATTATTTTGAAACATTGTGATATTTTTCTTTTTTTTTCTTTTTTTTTTCTTTTTTTACTTTGAACAAGTATTTATAGATACATTTGTACTTTTTATGATTTATTAATATTTTATTAGATGATCATTTTTTAAAACATCATTTGTATTCTGAAAATGTTTACCCCAAAACTAGTTTTGTTACAGTAATACATTATTATTTTACAATGATAAATAATTGTAATTGATGCCTAAATTTTTTTTGATTTGTTACTGTTTGGATATTTTCTTTACACCCATCACAGCAGTTAAGTTGTAAACTTATGTAAATAATTTCTTACTGCAACATTGAGAATATAAGTGGGTAATTATAATTATTTGTTTCAGCATTTGTACTTGTGCTGTTGTACACCTTTCATGAAATTTTACCACTTGATAAAATTGAAAAGTTAATACTAGTATGTGGAATTATAGAAGTTTCTTTTTAGCTGGAAACAATACAAATCCTTTTGTATGAATCAAATAAAAAATGTTTATTCTAAGCATTTGAATGAATAAATGAGTAAATTGCCAAAGTCTTAGGTTGTTTCCATCCAATATTGAAAGAGATCAGAATGAATTCAAGTTAGATACTTCAAGTATATTTCTGAAATGAATCTCCCAGAATAATAAATTGAGGATCATCATGATGCTGAAAGTGGATATTTTATTTGCAAAAGAAGAATAATATTGAAAAATGAAGAATGGTTAAACTATTTTATCATGGAGATTCAAATGCATTTGCATACATTGGAAAGACTGAAATATTTATGTATCAGTATAAGCATGCAGTCAACATGTTGTTACCAAGGCCTGAATGTCAGGAGAAAGGGGAAATGGTGCTGTAATTTTTTGAGCATTTCTTGGATATTGAAAATTAAGCACATTTAATGTGGAAATGCAAATTTTTTCCTTCTGTGAAGCCTGTAAGTGTCTTTGTCTCACAAATTGATGGGAGTTATTGCTCAGACCTTTATACAAGGATGCATGATTATAAACATACAACGAATATGCCAAAAAGTATTCACTGAGACATATAATGGCAGTATAAATAGTTTGAAGTCAGGCAGAGAGATATCTCTCAACAAATTGCAACACTGTAACTTTTTAGATACACTGCAGAAGCACATAAATACCATATATTTGTGAAATGAATATTCAGTTCTTTGGTGGAAAAAAAGAGGAATTTCAGAAGACAAGGAGTACTCAGAAAAACCAATTTTTTTAAAGGGGGGGGGGGGGGGGGGTAATAACACTGACTCTGAAGTGAACCCTTCTTCACAATAAAAATAAAGAGATCATTAGAAAATGTTGTTTTTTTTTCATTTTTCAGATGAGATAAAACATAAACCTTTGGTTATCAGGATTTCTGTGAACAGTAGAATGGCAACTTTTTGTTTTACCAAAATGTACTTGGAAGGATACTATAGGCTGCATTCAAGATTGTAGCAGATTGTATGCTAGCCTTACCATTCTAGCCATTACAAGCATTAGTTCTTGAAGTGTGTTCAACAGACCTAAATATCTAGCCTAACAACTAGGCTAGCTGCTATGATTTCGAATGCAACTCTAGTGTTCAACAATGGGTGCATTCACAATTCTTCCATTGGTTGATATTGGTGGTACAATTTACCATTGGCAAAACAGTGGTACCAATGTTTACCATTGGTAACTTTTATTGGTTACCAATTCTGCAGGCCAACCACATTCGCGGCAGAATTACCAACACAAATTTTGGTTCATTAGAGTCACCAACAAGATGGCTACCGGGACCGTTCCTGGTAGCGCAAGTGAAGTTTCCTAATAAATTATACAACTTCAGATGAATTTAACAGCTATTTAAGGGAGAATACTCTTAACTTTACATAGTGTTGCACATTTGCTACAAATGAACGCTCTTTTGGAAAAAGAATATCACATGAAGACGTGTTCATATAAATATATATCCATAAGAATAATTTTACTTTTTTAGGCAGTGCAACAAACAGAATTCTTATTGAATTTGTTATTTCTAGAAAAAATGGTGAAAAACTAAACATGTGCTGCCGGTAACCATTGATTACCGTTGGTGACCATTAGTAACAAAGTGGTACCATATTAGTCACCTTAGGCAACCGTTGGTATAGCCTTTGGGTGAATTAAAAAAAAATGACCAAACACATGTTTATCAACCCACACTAAAAATACAGGCAATGAAAATAGATTTCTATGTCTCAGCATATGTCTTCAGATAGTGTCTAAATACCTGCCAAATATCTCGTTGATATCTCAATTAACAAAAAAGTTATGCCCAAAAATGATGCTAAAATTGTCAGAGTGCAACACCTTTTTGTGACATTTTGAAATTTCAACATTTTTTAGAGATCTGTGAAATAAAAAATAACGCTTCATGTTGAAAATAAAGACTTTCCTGATAATATTCAAAGTTTTGAGCTTTAAATATGGACTGCCATAACTTCTGTTTAATCAAGTTGTGGTCATGGCTGATGTTTAAAAAAATGTTATACCATGTCAGGAGTGCAACAGAAAAAATGTAGTGTTGCCAAAAAAACATCAATTGTAAAATTCTGAAAGAAAATTAAGACAAAAAAGAATTTTCGAAGTGTAAAACAATAACTGATATACATTTTAAAACTTAAAAATGTTATATAAATCACAAGCAGCATTAATGAGAGTCAAGTATATGTGCATACCTAAAAATGTCAGGAGTGCAACATTTGATGTTTTGCTTCCAAGCATGAAAAAATTATTATCATTATATGATTTTCTGATTTTTATTTTGGAAAATAAAGACACAAAGAACATTTCTACCAAATAGATTTATCAATTACAGGATCTGTCTGTGCTTCAGATCCATATTTCTATGGTCAGGAGTGCAACACATTTTTTTAAAGATTCAATTTGTGTGTCGAAAACACTTCTTTTCATGCTTAGAAATATTCATTAATTAATAATGATCTTTTTGTATAATTTAATACTAAATTATTGACAGGGTTTTTTTTTTATTAAAATCCTTCCTTTTTCAATTTTATCAATTCAGATGTGTTTTTATCTTTTTGTGATTTTTTTAATGAATGTTAAAAATAAACACACTAAAACATTGTCATAAAATTCAAGTAATTCCTCCTCAACTTCACTGAAACAACAGAACAAGTTCTTATGTAATTTTCACTTCACAATTCTACTTTAAAGGCCCAAATGCTTTTGGTCAGGAGTGCAACAAATATGTTAGAATTATAATTCATCCAATAAGAATAAAAATAAAGAAAAAATGATGAGTAGAATTTTTCTGGTGGGTTACTGTGTTTGTCCTCTAAAGGAAAATATGCTTTAAAATATATTTTATCTTCTAAATATACCTTTAAGCTAGTTTTTTGGGCATAAAATAGGGTATAATTCCAGATAAAATGCGAATTTTAAATTCTTTCATCTGTTTTAATTATGAAGTATTAGACTATAAGTATTGCACAATTTCATTACCATTTGATGTTTCCAACACTTTATAAATTTTTGTGTTCTGTGGTTTTAATTTTAAACTTTACTGCAGTGAGGAGTGCAACAAAACTGCTTTACAATTACCGATGCTTTTTAACTATCTTTACTGAAAAATAAGTTGAAAAAGAAATGCTTGATACTATTTGATGTTCAAAACACTATGTCTATCAACAAATTACATAAATTTTATGGTCAATTCAGGGAACAGTTTTCATCATTTCACATATATTTTAAATACAATTTATATATATTACACTTTGCAAATAATCATGTTTTAAGGTCTTCAAAATATGAAAAACCTGCTCTAAACGATGAAAAATACCAACATGACAAATTGATTTACAAATTAAGTAAGAATGGGTTATTGTGTGTTATAATTTTTAAAACAATGTTAAATAAAATACATATCAGATGTCAGGAGTGCAACACAATAATGTAACATAGGTTCACTTCAAAATCTAGTATTTTTTGTAAGAGAACTTGTATATAACAATTCTTTTTTGGCTTAGATTTAAAGAATTGACTTGAACGGACAAAAAAGTGAAATTTGGGGAATTTTACTGCTTCATATTTTTTTCATATTAACACTTTTCAAACCAGAATTGAAAAAATAATGTAAAATAACAATCAAAAAGCCAATTTTTTGTCACATGTACAAGAGAAGATACTCATTCAAGGTCTAGATTTAATCATTTATACCCCTTTTACCATTTTGAAGCATTATAAAAAAAACTATAATTTCTTGTTATTATGTATTTTAGAAAGTCTTTTAAGGTGTAATGATATTTTCTTTTTTCAAAAGAAATTTTACTAATAAAAATTCTGAAACTTTTTAATCCAATTGTCTTTTCTATTGCCACTTCAGGATTTTAAACTAGAATGCATTTGCATTATGATGATATAAGTGAAAAATATGTTATAAGTAGATGAATTTTGCCAAAAAAATTCAGTTTGGTGGTCATTTTTTTTTTAATTCACCCCTTTGGCTGTTTTGTCATTGGTTTACCAATATGCTGTTCATAGTTCTAAGGCAACCAATTGTACCATTGTTTAACATTGGTGCCAAAGACAGCCAATGGCAAAATCGATATTTGTACCAATGGAAAAATTGTGAACAAACCCAATATTTTGCCTATATACTTCATGAACACAAAATAACTATATTCAAAGAAAGATAACTCTCCATGAAATTTACATAAGAAATACCCATACCCTGATATTTCCTTGAAAGTTGTTATGTGGTGATCCTTATTTAATAGTGTGTTGACTTTGATGTCAGCTCTTATGTCCATGCAACAGAATGTAATCATGACTGAGTGTGTAATCAATAAAAGATCTCTGTACACATTATGATATTTTATATCAGGTTTGACCAAACTGTAAAATATATGTGATTATCTGAAAGCATGTATACATGCATTGATCATCATTCCAGTGAGTTGAATATGCCCTTTTATCATCATGCTATGGTAGATGTTTTATTTATTTCATACATTATTTTTCCTCCCTTCTATTAATTACTTGACATTTCTTTTCATTGTATCAATGGTCAAATTTCCCATTTGGGAAATTCCCATTTAATTTTTCAAATTAAGTTGAACAAAGCAATACCTCATTGGTATAAAGCTTTACTTCAGTCAATGTATGGTACTGTATGGTGGGTTATTTTAGCAGGTTGAAAACTTGGGCTTAATTTAGCATTTTGTTAGTAGTCCACTAATATTATTCAGTTCTCTTCTTAGTGTTCTTTTGCAAAGTCATGGAACAAACCTGTGACAGCTAAAATAAATTCCACCAAAATTATGACATACCTTTGAGCAAGCAAAATACCAAATTTTACAACCACCAAGAAAACTTGCTAATTATGGTATTCACCACACATTAATATTGGCTACACACACTTTTGATGTTCCAACATAAAACAAATCAACAGTCAATACAAATGATAATTTATTAGGATAGTATATACAAACTTTTTTAACAAAGTATTCATGAATGATGTTTATTTTCATTGTTCTTTCTATTTGTAATCAATGTATGAATATTGACTCCAGAGAGATTGCAAATATTTTTAACTTCCTTAAAGTTCAAAGTCTGCAGTAACTGCCTCTCATCATAGTTCAAGTTTTTTCTCTTAAAGAGTCACTGCCCCTTTCTTCCCTTACAGAGTTACTTCCCCTTTCTAATCATCCTCATCTTCCTCCTCTTCACCTTCTTCCATTTCCTCTGCTGCTTCAGCAGCCTCCTGTTGAGCATTCCTGAGGGCATTCTCCTCCTCCACTGTTGGGTCCTCTGCCTCGGTGATTTCTGGGCCGCTGGGGAATTCTTCTTGGATGGGTGGAGTTTGTGGTGGATTGTAATTGTCCATGCTGTATTTGTGACCATTGCCAATGTAAACATTCTCAAATTTCCTGTAAAATAACAAAAATATTGCTCTTAAATAAATTTCTTCCAAAATTCTAGTCAAGTATTTAGATCAACAGAGATTCTTTGCTTAGTTCCCAAATAATGTCTTATAAATAGACTTACTTTCCAGCTGCAAATGCATGAGCACCAGGCCACAGGTTAGAGTGAAGAACTGCAATAGCATACTGAGGAATCAACTTTGAGGATACTTTTGGTGTCCATGGAGGTAGGTTTCCAATTTCCGCATCCTCTGACAAGGGTGTCAGAAGAGGAGGTCCAACCTCGGGTTCTGGTTCATCTGGTTCCTCACGCTCCTCTTCTTCATCCTCATCCTCAACCTCCTCAGGAGTTTCCTGTCCCACCTTCACCCAGACACAACGACCCTGGGGCAGGATGTGTTGCACATGGTGGACCCAGTGTTGTAGAGAACCATCACATAAATCTCTTAGTGACACTGGCTCAAAATCCACATTGATGACACAGTCATTGCGACCTGAAATATATGGAATCACATATATAAAAATATTCTTTTACACCAAGAAAATCCACAGACACATAACTAATAATGACTTCTTATAACACAACTCCAAAGGCTTAAATAAACCCACCTTCTGCTTCTTCCTCTTCTTCCTCATCTTCCTCAAATTGGTAGAATCCCATGGGTGATACATGGGTACCAGCACTGATACGGGCAATCTGGGCCCTCAAGTAGTTAATCTCATTGCCAGGGAATGGGGGATAGCTGACAACCTAAAAACATGAAAGAGATAAAAGTAAAAGTTACAACTACTGGTAAATATGTTTTTAAAATTTTTCTCCAGTTACCTGAAAGAATTATATGTATAACCTTCTCAGTGATGGAGTAACTTACTGGGGCATCCAATCTTCCTGTGAAGAACTTCTTGATGAGCCTGGCTGACTGGACCTGGGCTGGTGTCACAGCTGGTAGCTTCGTCCAGGGTTTACCAGCTGAAATCAAAAATTAAAAATGTTAAGTTTTCTTTAAAACATACACAGTAAGTATCACCATTCAAGATTGAATTTTGTTATTATTGATAATCAAAATATCATAGGATTCCTCAAACTAGTAGTGATCAAATTCTAAGCACACTTACGATCATTGCAGACAAAGTATGTTTTCTTGTTAGTTCCGGTTTTGTTCTCCTCCTTTGGAACTTCTGGTGGAGGTTTGAAATCTGGTTTGGGAGTGTCATCCTCTTCTTGTTCTAAAAGAAAGAGTTGGGTCTTTTTATTCACATAGAAATGTTCCATTTCTACCAAAATATCTATACAATATTCAATAACCCTTCTTCTAGAAAACATTGTTGAGCATTGAATTAGGGGGTAAACATACCTTCCTCTCCCTCCTCATCACCATCTTTGTCAGTTGCTTCTTCTTCTGGTTGCTCCTCTGCCTGAAATGTCAAAAGGACCATTAAATAAACAAATGATCCAACATCAATGATTTTCTGAGACAAAGTATCATAACATAAACCACAAAACAAACTGAAATACACCATACCTCTTCCTCTTCTTCCTCCTCTTCATCTCCATCTCTGTACTCCACCTCAGCCACATAATAATTCTGTTCAGTTCCAAAGATTTTACCCCAGAATCTAACATGTGATAATGCATGAGTGTCCACTAAATTTTTTAAAGCTAACCAGACACGAATCATTTCTTCACGGTTCAATCCGATTCCAGCTTGCTCAAAGAAAAAACAAAGTTCCATAATATTTGGAAGAGGAGTTTCAAGTTCTTCACTTTCTTCTGGTTCATTGTCCTCACCTCCTTCTTTCTATAAATACAGGGCAAATATTAATGTACACCTGCATATTATATGTTTGATAAGTTTTCTTTAAAACATACACAGTAAGTATCACCATTCAAGATTGAATTTTGTTCCTGAACTTTTCTTCTGAAATGTAATACCCCCAGTTCATGAAACATCACATGAACTGCGCTGGAATTTGTATTATTATATTATATTCTAGAGAAAAACATTCAGCAGAAGAAAGTACTAGATCTAAAATACTCACTGCAAAAAGTTTTTCTTGAACTTTGGCTAGAGCTACTTCTGTAGACTGATCAAGTTTATCTCTAACTGTGTCAACATCTGATGTAAATTTAGATCTTTTTGTGTCTTTGCTTATATCTTCAATAACATCCACCACATTGTTTGGTCTTTCATCGAGAACTTTGGTAAGAACACGGCTAAGATGGTCATACCTGACAAAAAATTACACTTACAATGAATTTTCAGACCAGAAAAACAATAAATAAGACATTGTAGACCTCATTTTTCTCTTTTTTTTAATTCCAAAAGAAAAATATACCATATGGTAACCAATCACAAATGCTGTTACTTGCAAAACAAATCATATTTACTTCTCATATTCCTATTTCTTCCATCAAATAAATTTCAAGTTATACTTTGTTTATGTGGTTAATGTTGTTACCAACAGACAGAAACAAAAATAGAATTTGAAAAGAAAATTCCGATGCAAATATACATGTACTTATCTATTTATTAATGAAAAGCATGTTCTGAAAAATGTTTAAATTCTCAGAGCATGTTATTTTTTCACATGGGAAATTAATGGTACTAATACAAACATTCCTTTTTTTTAGGATACAAGCAATACTTACAAATTCAACCCTGTGTCTGTGCTGGCAGTGAGAAGAAAGGATTTTGCAGAGATGAATTGCTGCTCCTTTGGGTTGATGTTCAACTCCATGTTGACATCCGTCATCTTTGCTGCTATTTAGAGAGATATCTCTCTTCGTGTGTATTTCCGATAGCAGTACAATCTTATCGTGCCCTGTTGCTATACCACCAACACACTGCACACAAACCTCACTGCTGAGTTGTCAAGGTAAATACGCACTTCTACCTAAAACGTCACATCCGGTTTTAGTCTGTGACGTTTAACGCACATTGATTCTAATGCCACTTCCTGAGTGAAAACGGAGAGAAGAATGTAAACAATTTGACCACCTTATACAATCAATCATGTTACAAATAATTATTTGATGATCAGACAGATGTAAATATGGTGTCATGATAATGGAAATAACTTTGAAATGGCAATTTATATTGAAATTATGTGGAATTCCTATCAGGAGGATGAGCGCACCTGCGATTGTTTTCCACACTGCAACATAGTTAAAAGACTTGATTATTTCCACCGACAGTAATGTTATCGAAGAAAAAAGACTCGGGCATTAATGATGGCATTGCAGGAAAATATGTCAAACGTGAAACTCCACCAATGCTTAGAAGTAAGTCAAGTTTCTATGATGAAAGGGTATTTAAAAAAAAAAACTACATAAATAGTGTCGATTTGCCTCAACAGTTTGCCACATTGTTGAACTACCGTTAAACTATGTTATCTCGAAACCGATATCTCGAATACAATGAATATGTCCAAGAAAGTTGGAAGTCAAAACCACTTTTCTTTTTGTATACATTTTAACCTCGATATCTCGAATCCTAGAATATCTCGATTTTTTTCTCAGCACCATGCTCCATCAAGTCTTAGATAGCAAGGTTTGACTGTATTCTGTTTTCTACTTCAGAGATCAATCTAAAAGTATGAATGGAATTATTTCATAATAATCATTTAAAAAATAGGCCTTGTGACTGGTTTAGGGTAAAAAATGGTAGATGGGGTTCAGGTTGGGGGGGGGGGGGGTTAGTTAGAATAAGCTGTAACTTAGGTCTTCACCATTGCTAGCTAGAGTACATTCCAAGTAGTTGCACTGTAGGAAAATGGAGCAGATTCGCTACCACACTAATTTTAGAGAATAGAAATAAAGTTGCATTGAATATTCCCACCAAAACGTAAATTTAGTTCTTAATTGTTCATTGTGTATCCGTATACTAACATTTATAGACTAGAATCATCTGCCCCTGTTTACTTTGCTACATGCCATCACACAGAATGAATTTTGTAATTAAACCAGGTATCTGGATCACAATGTCATTTTAACGAGAGAAATTTGTAAACATGGTAAATTTTGTAAGGGAGGTAAAAGTTCTAATATACATCCCTCTTCATGGGACAGTAAATGGACAATAATTTATTGTTAACTAGTTAAAGGTTGAGCAATTCCCCTTTACTGCTTTAACTTAATAATGAAAAGTTCTAACCAAAGAGAAAGATCCAACAACCTAAAGGTCCTTGTGCAGATTTCTAATAAAAAAAATAAAATAAAATAATAATAATACTGTTTCATTTTTTTTTCTTTTTAAAAATAATATGATTTATATAGTATCTAGAATAAATGTTGAGTAAAGTAACAATTTTTTCTGATATATATATAAGTATTCTCTGCTTTTCTTTTTCTTTCTTTTTTTTTTTTTTTTTTTTATTGAACTGATATATGAGAAAAATCAATAAAAATATGACGGGGAATCTAAGAGCAAACAGATTCTCCTGAATTAGTTACTTAATCACTGTAGATTTTTGTCTAACAGAAAAGGTTTGAAGTTTCAATATGATCTTCTTATTTGGTTTTCAGACGTACCTCATCTGTCATTTAAGGTTGGCTGCATCGTTAAACACAATTGGTTTTCACAGTATAATGAGTATATATTATAAATTCATTACATTGTTCAGCAGCATCAGAAAGTATAGATTTAATTTAAAAGAACAATTTTTAAAAATAATTTAGAAACAAGAATGGTTGATGTCACAATGTGGTATATATTATATTTATCTATTTAAATTGTCACTATCTATACCATGAGCAAAGTTGGCTAAGAAATTGATTATAAATGCTATGATGCTTATTATAAAGTCTACAGATAATGGAAACATGTACACTATGAAGTTCCATAGGAGTAACTCAATTACAGGTATAGCAGAGTGTTAACAGTTTCGGGAGAGCCAGAGAGCTAAATTGGCTTATCATATGTGTCCAAGCAAATGTAATTTAATCAAAAATGATGATTGTGTTCATTTGCATTGGAATGACATTGATTTTAAAACTTTTACATGGCTGACATATTTGATGTGAACGACAACAAAAAAGTGTTTATAGTTTTGGGGTATATTTTCTTCTATTTTAGAAGACAATACTTCATCATGTTCATATTGTATTCTAATTTAAAAACATGGTAACAAAAGTAAGTAGTACACATGTAGTTCATTAACTAGGTGTAAGGCTTTAAGATCATTTCAAATCTCCTGTAAAGAATGAAGGACCCTTAAACACTTTACATGTAGACTATTCAATTTGATATTAAGAAGAAGTACTAGGAATGAAATATACATTATTTTCACCAATTTGTTGTTGTTTTTTGTTTATTTTCCCTGTCAGAGCTGAAGAATCTGTCATCTTTGGATTTTTTCAGATCAAAATTTGAACCTGAGGACAGTTTTAGTTTTTTTCTCCCTGTAATTAAGGTCAAATAAAGTTCAAAGTATCAAGTTATTGTACAAGTATTATTTTAAGACAATCTGTTTAAAGTAATTTTGAGCACATTCACTTAAAATTGTTGAGGTTCCTTTTGCCAGCTTGATGATGTTAAAGTTATTTGTTTGAGTCATTGGTTAGTGTATATATAAGGCACTCTAGTTGAGCATTCAGTTTATTAGGATATCCTTCTTCAGAACAAAATGTTTTCTTCAGTAGCTGCACCTTATGATATTGACAGGGAATTTGATGAAGTGTTCGATAATCTCAATAAAACATTGGATGACCTTTTAAATGTAGATGAGCTACCAGGTAAGAAGTGAAAAGTGTGAAGTATTTAAATCCTTTTTTTTCATAGATTTCTATTGTAGATTTTAAGAGAGACTTGAATGTGATTTTTTAATTTTTTGTAGATTATCACACCCCTGTTCGCCAGACCCCAAATTTTCAACGTCGCAGTGTTAAAACCCCAGCCACATTTTATGTTCCTCAACAGTCGGCCAGTAATGTTTTAAGCAGCAGAACACAGGTGACAACTCGTTCCAATGTCCAATCCAGTGTCACATCGCAAGAGACTCGAGCCCAGCAGTTGTCCCCCTTGACACAGCAGAGGAACACGCAGAGTGCCCCTCCACAGATTGCCGGTAATCAGCTATCCCAAGGGGTTCAGAACTTAAGTGTGGCAGATCGTTCTGATGTCTCGGGGTCTACCAGCTCTCTGAGCACCCAGGGGTCAACTACTAGTAGTCAGGGTACATCAGGTTATGGCACTGGTCCACAACCAACCGAAAGTCCAACTCAGCAGAGCTCAGGGCAGAGAAATAATCTTGGAGCCATTAGAGAAGGTATTGATAATAAACTCAGTTTGAGAAAAATTTAGCATTCTGAAGGGATATGTAACTATGAATAACATTTTATTACATAAAAATTACAAATATGTATGATTTTCATGTCCACTTTAGTGGGAAAATTTTCATAAAAAGGAATAACTATTAAGTCAATTGTTATATCTGTTATAGATTTCCATGAACCTGGTAATTTAGGAGCATCACAAAGCAACTACTCAGATTATCACAGCCAGTTTGATGAAAATTACCAGATACAACAATACCATGAAGAGATCAGAAACCACTATGCACAGCAAAGTGGAGGTCATGTGACCAGCACACAGCACAGTCTGCAGTCCAGCACTCAGCAGTCCAGCACTAGTGCATGTAAGTATAGCAAAGAATGTGCTGATAAGAAATTTCAATGTCCCACTTCTGCATTTCCACAAAATTTGAAGCCCCACCAGCTACCACCCACCAGCAACAACTCTCAGCATGATCAGTATTTGAACACCACTATCTTGGGAAATCAGTGCTCCGGTAACACTGGAAGTGTCCAAACAACCGTCAATACTACAAGTAACTTAAGCAGCAACCAATGCTCACTTAGTAGTGTTAACAGCATTCAGCAAAATCTTTGTTCCAGCAATATGAATACTGTAGAGAGCAACCAAGTTTCTCACAGCACAAATACTATTCAGCACAGTGAGTCCCTCAGCAACTTATGCAACATGCAGTGCAATCATTCCTCCACCAGCACAAGCACAATGCAGCACAGTCACTCCACCAATACTTTGAACCAACAAGATATCAGTTTCAGCAACAATGTGCAACACTCCAGTAGCAGTAGTTCATTTCAGTCCTTTAGTTCTGTTTCTGAAAGTACAAACACCGACATTGGTTCTTTCGAGTCTCCAATTTGCTGGCAATATAATCCTCTGCAACAGCATTGTACAAACTTGCCTCAGAACACTAACGCTATATACAGCAGTGTTTTATCTAGCAGTGCACATTGTAGCAGTTCCAGCATCATCACAGGTGACACGATGGTTGATTCCTTTGTAGAGCAGTCTAGCAGTGCACTGACAGACTGTGTTAGCACAAAGAGCACATTGAAGTGACTTGCTTAAAATCAGCATGTGATTAATCTATTCATTGGAAATTCTTAAAAATTTTGTGTAAAATTTTATTTGAAAGTTTTAAGCAATATGTCTTCTTTGGTAAAAAGGATGAAAATTTTAATACAAGTAAACATTGTTTTTGTAAATATGCTGTATGTAGACTAAAGAATAAAAGTTTAAATTTCTTTGAAGTGTCTTTCTTTCATTTTGTACAATTCAGAAGATTTCAATGCTAATATTTTAAAATGAGCACAGAATTGAAGGGAAAAAAAACATGACAGATATTGCTTTATGATAATTATGAAAGGATACATGTACTGATAAGTAAGGTACTGAATCAAGTAAACTTGTTTGGAGTACGTGTACTTGCATTTAATTACTGTATTTGAAAATTTTTTAACATCAAAACTTGAAAAAAAACAAAAACAAAAACAAAAAAAACAAAACAAAACAGAGAATCTGAAAGTAAATTGAATTAAAACATAATATATATCATCTTTGATGTGTTTAGATCTTATGTATATGAAGTATTGCATAAAAATGCTAATGGAGAATGATTTCTTTCAGAAATTTTGTGCAACAAAATACATGTATTTAAAATAAAATTAATTCTTGAAAATTTCAGATATATTTTAATATCTTGCAAAAAACAGAGATGTATGGGACACCATGTCACTATGTATAAATTACATTTTTGGGGATGAATGACCACAAAGGTGTTGAATAATGCACTGAGGATTCAGTTGCTTATTAGACTTCATCAATTTTTCATTAAAAATGTTGAATGGAAGCCTTCATATAGAGGAAATCTGATTCAAATATGACAGTTCATTAAATGCAGTGGTACTTGAATAACATTAGCCTCCCTCTGAATGTTCACGGAATACACATTCTGGAAGCATTAGTCAGCACATGTATGCGATATATGTGTGGGAATTTCTTACATAAGTAGCCCCTTGATACTGGAAAATACCAGTGAAACCAAAAATATGAATCATTTTGAAGTAATAGCAGTTTTAGGTTAAAAAAAAAAGTTTCTTACATTTTGTAATTAAATCAGCATTTATGTGTTATTAATTTACTTAAAAAGATTTAAATGAGACAGTAAATTGAAAGGGATTTTGATATATTTTTAAGACTTTCAAGTAAATTTAATAAAAATACACGGTGATTATTTCAGCATCCTCTTCTGCCTATGCTGGTGATGAGTTTCCCCTGCCCCCAGGCTGGTCATTAGACTGGACAGTGAGGGGGAGAAAATACTATATTGACCACAACACCCAGACCACCCATTGGAGCCACCCCTTAGAGAAAGAGAGTCTCCCCACAGGCTGGGAGAGAATTGAAAACAAAGAGTATGGAGTGTACTATGTAAAGTAAGTATACAGAGGATCACATATTTATGAAAACTGTTATTTGTTATATCTGTTTAACAATTTATTTAAAGTATGTATAGTGAATTTGTACATGTTTTCTTCAAATATGGCTTCCAAATATCAGGTTATCTTGAAGTAGTGAAGTTTTCTGAAGAATTTAATTTAAAATCTAAATACGAACAAATAGAAATGTCACTTTGATAATTTAAATTTTTAGTTCTTAAAAAATTTGTTATAAAAAATGTAATTTTTTTTTTTAACCTCTATGGGACACAAAATCAGTTTGCTATATCCATGAATTACTTACACTAGAGTTTGTTATAACTTTAAAATTTTGTAAAGACTTGTTAAGAATTTCACTGGGGATCACAAAAGCTTCGCTATATCCATAAATTCGTTATATCTTTGTTCATACTGAACAAGTTTTACTGTATGAAGTGGGAGATAACAGATATTGTTGAGATGACAAAAAATAAGATGAGTTTACTTAGTGAATATACAAGTTCAAGAATTCATCAAGAATTAGAAAGAATATCTTATTTTTTCCCAGTCATTACCTACAAGTAGCACAAGTGAACCATCCCTGCTCCCCAACTCAGGGGAACCCAAGGTTCAGTCTTCCACCCCACCTACCCAGACAGATAGAGTACCGCTCTACCCGCCAGGACCATGTTCTTGTGCCCGCCAACCCCTACCTTCATACAGGTGAGAAATGTTACTATAAAACAAGTAATATTTTCAGTTCCTTTTTTTAACCAAATCTTTGGTTTACTCACAATTGCAAAAAAATAAATAAGTAAATAATTTTTTTTTAAATTGTAGCAAAACATTTCTTTCTTGCTTTACTTTTTACTTGAACTAATTTACTGAAATGAATGAAATTGAAATCACTAACTTTCAAAGAGTTACATTGACAACATTTTGTACTGCAGAAATTACTTTTTTTAAACTTTAACAGATGCTAATGATCTACAAGAGATCCTTAATTAATAAAGATTTATACTTCAGAGACATAAGACTTGTTTATTTGCCCTAAGAATATAACACCTAGTTTTGATATTAATGTACTTTTTATGCTATAACAGAAATTCCTAAATGGCTGGTTGTATATTCAAAAGGAGCCAGAGAACATGATCATAAATTGAAGGTCAGTAAGTTGATCAATAGAATCAGTAATTTAATAGATGAGGATTTCATTGTCATGATGTGTACAGTCACTAAAGTGCATTTACAAATACCAGTGTGTGTGTGTTTTTAAAATATATATCCAGTTGAACATGCAGTACTTACAATTAATTTTTTTTTCAGTGGGATTTGTTCCGGTTGAATGAAATTGAGGTGTTTGATGCAATGTTGATGCGACTTCATAAACAAGAACTGGAGCAGATAGTGATGAGTTATGAGGCTTATCGTAGTGCACTGATTAGAGAAATGGAGCGACGAAAGAAGGAAAATCAGGTTCCGGGCCAGACTCTGGCACTCACTCAAGGTGTGGAGCACCAGAAACAGATTCAGAATGAAGGACTTTTACCAGGGAGACTGTACAATATTGGAGCCCAAGGTTCAGGGCAAAGCCCAGCACAAGGTGCTTCTCAAGGCATTCAACAGAATGTGGGTCTTGGATTTCCTAGAAGTGTTGAGCAGGTTTCTGGAATGCCAGTAAATGTTGGTGTACCACAGGCTTTGCAAGGACAAATGATTCAACAAAATATGGTGAGAGCGAATTTGAATTTTCCAAATGCAAACCCAGCAGTGTCAAATAATCTTTCAAATCTTCCACAAGGGGTTAATCCAAATGCTGGACAGCTAGGGCAGACAGCAGCAGAGAGGATGATGATGTTGCACAGTCAGGTGTCAGATAACCAATTTGCTATGCAGAAGACAGTTACAACTCAACATCATTTAATGCAGCAGCACCACCAAATACAACAACAACTGGAGCAACTGCGTCAAGAACAGATGCAGCGTCATCTTCAACAGCAACTTATACAGCAACGATTGCTGCAACAGCAACATATGCAACATTTTCAATTACATGGTGCTCAGATGTTGCCTACATCTCAGAACTTTGTCTCCCAGCAGCCAATTAGTAGCCAAGTGCAGCATTACACCCCTTTCACAGCTAGCCAGCAGACTAGCAATCAGCAGACACAAGGTTATTCACCACACCCAACAACCATTGCACAACAACCTCAGAGCAACCCACAACCCTTTACTCAGCACCCATCAACAGCACAAGTATCCTATCCAGCCTACCCTCAGCTTGCAACAGCAGTCCCAACAAATATGCAACAACTGCAGCCACAACAGAGCATACCACAGGGTTATCCTCAGCAAGTGGTTGCAACCACACTGCCAACAACCCAGCAACCTTTCTCGGTAACTTCATCACAGCCAACTGTCCCCCCAAGTTTTCCCCCAAAAACTCAACCACAGACTCAATCAAAGTCCCTCACTCAAAATATTGAAACCAAAGTTTGACACCCTGATGTGCAAAATATTTAAGTTAGGTGCATTTTTAACATATCTCAAACAATTCCTGGTGTAGTGATATTGAAATGGTCAAACTATTTTGGTTATTTTGTTATCTTCCAGAATCCAAAACCAATGTGTTATACTTAAGAAACGGTATAAATGTATTTCCATGGATAGTGTTTAATAATATCTAGTTATTGGAAAAATCACCTTAGGACTGATTACATACATTTCAACACTATCATGTCTTACAGTACTACATCTGTGAAAACAAACTGTATGTCAACTATACTGTTCCAGTCTCAAAGTTACAAAAACTAGTCTGTCTTCTGATTGGCAATATAGCGTTTTGTCATTGAAATAGTAGATGTAATTTGTTTCACAAAGGGGAAGGGAAAGTTTAATTGTTTAAAACTTGTGTTAAGTTTATTTCTGTTGTCATAGTCATGAAAGCTGTACAAATTTATTCAGAATTTATTTCATGTAAATATTTTATTGGAAGTTTGAATTAGGCATATATTTTTTCCATATTTTTTGTAGCGGCATTTTTGTTAAAATACTGTGTATTTCATTTTACCTAGATGTTTTCCTTAAATTCTTTTCATGTGTTGATGTTGTGTGCCAAAACATATGTGAAATTTTTTGAAGGAATTTATTTACATGTAACTCCAATATTCCAAGCCCCTGATACGTAAAGTATTGTTTTAAAAAAAACATCGAATATTCCTTAATTCCTTTATATTTGCCTGAAGGTTTCTATGAAATGGACAATTCAGCAATTCTTAAAAACTTTTTTTTGTAAATTATGATTATAGACTTTTAAAAATTGGGTTTTCTTCAATTTTAGTTTCCAGATTATGATATTATATTATCAGGAGAAAGCTTTTATCTTTCCACACTTGTACACTTTACTGATAACAGTTTCCAGGAAGGTACAAGCCAAAGACAATTTTGCAAAAATTTGCTTTATTATGTCAATTTTTTCCGTTTTCATTTCAAAGTTTCATAATTAAAATTCATCATATTATAGAGAGGAAGAGGAAAAATAGTATGTTTTTTGTTTTCAAAGTGTACAGGTCAAGATGATAGTAGGAAACTTTACAAATTTTATTGTTTTTTTTCCTTTAATTTAATTGCTGCATAGCATATTTAAGTTGTAGCATATTTTATAATTTATTATTTGTAAAACTTGAGGTCCTTTGAACTTTGATATTATTTTAGGGGATGACTTTTTTTCAATTAATAAAACATGTGTTAATGTACAATTGGCAATCTTAGCCTAACATTAGTCTGGAAACCATGACAGCAGCTGTTGAACAGTGAGATAAAATTGACAGATTTAAAAAAAAATGGTTGTGTTTGAAAAAGTCATTTTTGCATGATCTCATTCCTGCTGTATATATTACTTCTGTATTTAATCATGTGATTCCTTGTTGACTTTTGAATAAAGTAGACTGGGTGATATGCTTTTTAGGAAAAGAGCAAATTGTTTTATTTTTTCTGTCATTATTTCTGATTATGCACTAAGGATTTTTTGAAACAAGACATGGGATCATGATCATATTCTTCCAAGTAAGGTGGTTATAATCGCCCAAGGATATGCATTAAGGTCATTTTGGAGTTCAAGTTCTCACAAATGTGTCAGTAATGTCCATTTGTCAAGGAAGAAATATGTGTACAAAAATTTTGTCTTGGCAAAATTACAGTACAATAGAATTTAGCTCATACTGGAAGCAAGGCCTCTTGGGAAAGTGTCTACTCTCTAGTTTTTACCATTTTTTAATATATAAAAAAAGAGTCTAAATACATGTACAGTGGAAAGGGTGAGATGAGAAAAGATTCATTTTCTCAACCATTTAATTTTTGTTGGAATTGGGATTTCTAAGGATGGATAAAGAACTACAAAACTTGATTGATTTGATTCTTTATTCAGGGTTTTACTTGACATGTGAAGTTAAATTTAGTAAAATATGCATGAATCATACATTCCAATTTGTCATGAACATGTATATAATATCAAATTATGAAACCTGTCATACATTTCAGTCATACAAAAAGATGTAAATGCCAGCACTATAAAAAAGTTCATATATATCAAAGTAAAATTCCTAATACATGTAACTTGTAAAAAAGCCTGTTTTTCATTTGACTTTTCCAGGCATATAAAATTCATATAAGCACACACATTTCCAAAATTAACTAGTGTCATGAACCAGTCATATACAAGTACTGGTTCAGCTAGCACACGTGTATTGGCCAGTTTAACATAAATCACTCTTGTAAAAATTACGCTGAGCTTTGATATTTTTCTAATACCCTTTGCATCCCCCCACAAATAAACAATGGCTTCAATAGTGATGTAAAAATAAATATCAATTATATAAACAGGACTGCAATAATTCATGACTGTACCAGTTAGTCCATGACCTAAAACCATTCACTGAATTTTGAATACTCCAAAATATCAAAACATACAGAAATTATTATATTTAACTTCAAAAAAAGACACCTGCACATAGGAAAATGAAATTTGACCACACAAAGCTACATGTATTATTTACAATTATTGGACACGGTATTGTTTGGCAACAAATTATACATCACAGACGAAACAATATAAATGGCAAGGTAGAGGTGCAAATTTTATTTTGATGGTAATGTTTTCTTTTGTAAACATGACTCAAAAAAGGCCGAGGGATAATGTACATATACTGGCCCGTGCACGGAAGAAATCATGACAAGGGGCTTAACTTGCTTCATTTTGCGTATCACATTATCACCAGGAAAACTGGAATATCATTAAATAAATGTTCTCAAAAATAAACTTAAAATGATGTGCATTTTACAGTGATGATACCTACTGTGGTGATGAAATGTGATTTGAAGGGGAAAGACAAGAAAATTGGGAGTCATATACTTCCTTTCAAACAACTTACTGATGTATGTGTATATAGCACTTAAATATTACTGCAAAACATCACATAAAAAATCAGACAAATATATGTATTTTTATAAACAAAAGTATCCTAAAATCAAAATACCTGCAAAGGGTAATATAGAGATTTTACCTATAGTAGTTCCACTGCATGGTGCTATGACTGTGTAAATGATCATAAAAATGCTATAACCTAATTCATTTCTATCAATTTTGAATTCCACTGTTCAATTTTTTAACTTAAAGTGCAAAGAAATCAGGACACATGTTAAACAAAATATCTTTTCTTTGTTGATTTTCTATCCAGTAAGCATGACTTTCTTTTTGACTTTTGACTTGTGAACATCCGCACTGCCTCTTGCACTCGTCTCACCAAAGGGAGCTGCCATCTTGGCTACATCTTCACGTTCCTGAAGGTAAGCCTGTAAAATTGAAGTCAACTCAAATCTGAAATGGATCTCTTCTACTTTACCCCCCCCCCCAAAAAAAAATAAAATTACTGAAAACTAGTAAAGTTGTGACATATAAGAATACCATTCCATTAAATATAATGTCTTAGGTACAGTCGAACCATTTTATATTGAACTCAACAGGACCAAAATCTAAGGATATGAGATAATGAGGTTAAAAGCACAGACATTGACTTGGACTGCCAACTCGCTTTGACATATCTCTGGTATTCAAGATATCAGTGTTCGAGATAAAATGAATTAATTCAACTTTATATTAACCTCAGAAAACCATCTGGATTAATTACTTATTACTGCCACAATTGCCATAAGTAATTCATCATTTACGATTAAGGACATACGCAACGTAACTTACCTACTGATAATTTCTCAAGATATTCTTAATTTAAGATTATAGTGCCATCAGATGTTCATAGACAAAAAATCAGTATGCATTACCAGGGGTTTTAAAAAGATATCAATTGATGAAAATTCTTGTATAATTCAAAGAAAAATATACGAAAATTACTTAACGTATATTCTAGATGTTTTGTTTATCCAAACTTGTTTAAGAAGAAGTGTACAATAGAATATATAAACATTAAAATGTGGCACAAGGTTCCTTTAAGTATTGGAACTCTTCAACTCCAGGGAAAAATACAATAAAGTTCAAACTATGTTGCGTATGACCTTAAAATTACCAATTTCCCTATTTCTTGGAGTTAAACTTGGTTACATTATAACAAAAACAGATTTTGTAAAACTAGAACACAATTTACTGTAAGAAAATGTCAATTTTCCCTACCCCAATTTTATGCAATTTTTCCTCTAAAGTCATTTCTTCTAGTGAATGATCTAGACGTTTTAGACACTTCTCTGCAATGTTATCAATTGCCATTAATATCACTCCTAGCTCAGTCCGCTGGAAAAAAAGATTTTTTTTATAATTCTATTAAGCAAGAAGGACATCTCTTTCAAGCATCTGCATAAAAAATAAAATACTAGTAAATGATATAAATTATCAATGAATACATGTACACTAAAACATGTTTATATAATTTCAATGTTAGTTTGGACTTCAGTGGTTGGATTTTAGTTTCAATATGCTGTCAAACATGTTTGCAAACGTAATAAAGACAATTAAGATACTTTGATGACGAGGAAGCACTCATTAATTGTTTGTACTTTGATGTATATTTAAAATAAAAATGAAAGCTTACTCGCTTCCTCATGTCCCCTTTACTTGATGCAAACTGCTGTTCATGCTGTTTGTTAGAATCTTGAACTCTATCCTGCAGGTTCTGGAGTTTGGCAAGCTGACTGTTTATGGATACTTTTCTTTTGTCATGTTCTGTCTTCATAGTATCCAGCTCTTTCTTCAGATTTTCAATCTGTAAAATAACATGCAGACTTAATTGCATGAAAGTTTAATTTGAACATTAAAAACAACTTATGATACATATTTCTTTTTGGTGCTCCTGAAAAATAAGTAGTATGGTTGGACTTCAAAGTATTCAAAATTTGATAAAAAGAAATTCATACACTGAGTCATACATTGTCTTAATATTAACTAAGCAAAGAAAGAATAAGAAGCATAGAAAAAAGACTAGCCCAGAAAAATATTTCCTAATTCAGTGAAATGGTGAATGTCGAAGTAAACAAATTCATAAGGTTTTCAAAATATAGCATTAAGGTTTTATTAATCAACCTTTCACGAATGACAAATAGATTTACAAAGAACAAAATGAAAGGTCTATTTTTAATATGATTGAGATTTTACATACAAAAATTATATTTCATTTACCAATCTGAGAGCAAATTTTAAGTTAACTAAAAGGATAAAGATCACAATGTCCTAGCCATGGCATCAAACTTAGTATTGTTTTTGATGGGGCCATAAAAACCAGAGGTACTAAAAGGTAGATCTCAAAATTATACCCTCCCCCAACCACCCCTCCTTCTTTCCCATTGTAATTTTTTTTAAAGTGTCAGCATATATTTTTCTAAAAGTGACCTTTCCAAAATGACCTTGGCTCAAGAAAATGACAAATCCTCTGGTCATAAGTAATCTTTGTGTAGAATATAAACTTCCAATATTTCTCCATCACAAAGTTGTGGACCTGATATGAATTTTCCTTTTTTTTCTGCCAATGATTTTAAACTTGCCAAAATGACCTGGGTCAATGTTATGACATACCCTCAGTTCAAGAGTAAGCTTTGTTTGAAATATTGCCTTCCAGTATATATTTATTAGAGAGTTAGGAACTAGTCATGAATTTCATACTTTTTCTGCCAGTGACTTTGATCTTGCCAGAATGACCTTGGATGCAAATCAAACACACCCTTAGGTCAACAATTTAAGTAAAAACACAAAAAAATGATAGATCTGGAACTAAATGCAGAATGGGGAATTGGATGCATATCAAACACACCCTAAGAGTTTGACATAAGTTGTGTCAAGTATCAACTTCCAATGTTTTTTCCATTTGAAATTATGGACTTGGCACAAATTTTACACTTTTACTGGTAATGACCTTGAACTTGCCAATATGACCTTGAGTCAATGTCACTGAAGAGGTCTTTGAAGAAAATTTAATGTTCAAAGATAAGGTATTTTTGTTTCATTTTTATTTTATCTATTATTTACAAGTCTACCTGATTATTAAAAACTAAAAAAAGTACTTTTTGTATAATATACATTATAAGTTTTTTGAATCAATCTTTTATTCAACTGACCTATCAATTATTAATTACATTATTTACAATGAAAAATTATCATAGGTTGATAGCAAAAAGGAATAAATTCTCCCAGTGGAGTACAAATTTCCCTACAAGATCAATAGAGCTCTGACCAGCACCTGAGCAGAACACTTAATGGGCCAGTGGTCAAGAATTTCACATCTTTTGTAAAAAATGCCCTTGACCATTACAACTGTTAATATATATTTTTATATTGTGTTAATACACTAAGAGAGATAACTCTTGGTGGGGAACTCTTCTGTGTGTAGAGATTGTTTTGGTGAGGTGGTTGTTTATGTGACTGAGGTCAAGTGATGATAATAAAGTGCTTTGTGGATTCAGTCAGTGTTACTCCAAAAATAGAGATTAACAAGTGGTAGCAGAGCGTAAAATCAACCCCAGTGTCGAGTGAAAGGCAGTGAACTGTGTCAGAAGAAGTATAAACAGGGTGAGTCTGGGAAAAAAAAAAGGAGGGAAACAGTGAATCCAATATGGCGACCAAGATCAATCCACCAGTGTTCAAATCCAAATCTAAGCCTTATGAACTATACAGACATGAGTTATTGGCTTGGAGTGAAATAACAGAACTTGCAAAAGAGAAGAAAGGCATTGCTGTTGCACTTACACTTCCAGAGGAAGATGACAGTAAGATTCGTGAGAAAGTTTTTGACCAAATCAAGCTTGAAGATTTAAAAAAGGAAACAGGTTTTAAAACCCTTCTTGACTTTCTTGATAAACACCTTGCTAAAGATGACCTAGCAGACAGTTTGGAAAAGTTCGAGGAATTTGAGGACCTTCATAGAAGTGAAGGACAATCAATGAATGAGTTCATAGCAATATTTGACAGTAAGTACAGAAAAATTGAGAAAAAGAAAATGACACTTCCTTCAGAAATATTAGCTTTTAAACTTTTGAGAAAAGCAAACATCACAAAAGAGCAAAAAATGTTAGTTTTGACTGGAATGAATTATGAAAATAAGGCCACATTATATGAAGAAGCAAAGAAGTCGTTAAAAAAGTTCATGGGTGAAGGAGGACATACACAGTGTGACAACAAGAGTATAAAACTAGAACCAGCATTTTTAGCAGAAAATGAAGACGTTTTATTGGCTGCGGGCTATGTACGAAGAGGTGGCAATTATGGATATCGGCGAGGTGGGCGCTTTAACTACAGTAGGGGTGGTGGCAGAGGTTCAGGATTTTTCTCATCACAGCGTGGGACTAAAAATCTCAACCCACAAGGTGCAGATGGAAAAATTATGACATGCAGATCTTGTGGATCATTCAGGCATCTCGTGGCAAAATGTCCAGACAGTTGGGAAAACATATCTAAAGTACACATAACAGAGGAAGAGTCGTTAACAGAGCATGCAGTTTTGTTTACGGGATACCATAAAAATGAAATCAGCCAACTTGGGACAGAAGCACGAAACTGTGCAGTACTTGATAGTGCATGCAGCAGCACCGTATGTGGAAAAACATGGCTACAAAGTTACCTTAGCTCACTGAAGGAAAGTGATCGTGGGAAAGTCTTGAGACGCGAGGGGCATAAAGTCTTCAAATTTGGTGGTGGAACAAGATTGAAATCTGAAGGAGAATATGAATTACCAGTCAGTATGGTTGGTAAACCTGTTACAGTCAAAACAGATGTGGTTGATTCTGACATCCCTTTACTGCTTTCCAGAACTGCAATGAAAAAAGCAGGGGTAAAACTGGATTTGGAGAAGGATACTGCTGTCATTATGGGACAAGATGTGGCACTTAATTTAACTACATCTGGCCATTATTGTATACCAATTGACAAATCAGAGACTGTACCTATAGAAGAGGTGAACTCAGTTCAGCTTGAAGAATTGGAGCCTGAAAAACTCAAGTCTGCTCTTTTGAAACTTCATCGGCAGTTTGCACACCCCCCGAAAAAGAGACTTGTGGCTTTGTTACAAGATGCAGGAGTATGGAAGGAAGAGTTTGAGGAACACCTGTTGGAAATAGAACAAAAATGTGACCTTTGTAAAGCATACGCAAAGACACCACCAAGACCGGTAGTAGCAATGCCAATGGCAAAGGAATTCAATGAGAAAGTTGCGATGGACCTCAAACAGTATAAGGGTCGCTGGATATTACACATGATAGACATGTGGTCTAGATATACAGTCTCTGTCTTCATACAGCGAAAGAAGCCAAAAGATGTCATTGATGCTATGATGAAAAACTGGGTTGGAGTTTTTGGAGTAATGGGAGCCTTGATGACTGACAATGGTGGAGAATTTAGTTCAGATGAAATGCGAGAAATAGCATCTATTCTCAACATTCGTTTATGCACAACAGCAGGAATGAGCCCTTTTCAAAATGGACTTTGTGAACGTGTTCATGCTGTAACAGATATGATGCTGCTCAAACTTGAAGCTGAAAACAAAGCTGTTAATATTGAAACACTTCTTGCATGGGCAAATATGGCAAGAAACTCATTACAGATGTGGAATGGTTTTAGCAGCCATCAGTTAATATTTGGACAGAATCCAAATTTGCCAAACATCATGAAAGCAGATTTGCCTGCCCTGGAAGGAAGTACAAGTTCTGAGACACTGGCTAGGCATTTGAACACCATGCATGAAGCAAGACGTGCCTTTATTCAAAGTGAAGCAGATGAAAGAATACGAAGAGCACTGCGTTCCAAAGTTAGAGCAGCAGAAGTAACATACGACAATGGTGATTTGGTGTTTTACAAAAGAGAGGGTCGAGAGCGCTGGTTAGGACCTGGAAAGGTGGTATTTCAAGACGGAAAAGTTGTGTTTGTGAGGCATGGGGGTGTCTTTGTGAGAGTATCCCCTAACAGACTGTGCAAAATTACACAAGATCAGACAGAAATGAATCTGAGTGAAGACAGTTTAGAGAAACCGTGTGAAAATAAAAACAGTGAGGATGTTGCTATGAGAACAAAGACTGACTTTTCAAGTACTGTTTCAGAAACACTTAGTCAGGCACCAGAGCAACTTAACCAGGAAGTAGCTATAGATCCACGACCTGACCAGAGACAGCGACCAAAGAAACATGACAGGATCAAGTACAAGCTACCAAACTCAGAGGAATGGACTGAGGCAACAGTACTGGGAAGAGCTGGAAAAGCGACAGGAAGGTACCCTTCTTGGTATAATGTTAGAAACAGTGTTGAAAATGAAGATAAAAGTCTTGATCTAGATATTGTGGAGTGGAAAACTGTCAACCCAGAAGAAGCAAACTTAGCCCACTTCGACACATGCAGTGAAGCGTCTCATGGTACCAGTGATATGTTTATTGAAAATGCCAAACAAACAGAACTAGACAAACTGCGTCATTTCAACACATATGATGAAGTAGAGAACCATGGACAGAATACAATATCAACCAGATGGGTAATAACTGGCAAAGACAGTAATACAAGAGCTAGGTTAGTTGCACGAGGGTTTGAGGAACATTCTTTTATTCCTTCAGATAGTCCAACAATAGGTAAAGGGGCTATCAGGACATTTCTCACTGTGGCAGCTAGCAAAAGATGGATAGTAAAAACTACAGACATAAAGTCTGCATTTCTGCAAGGGAATACAATACAAAGGGAAGTGTTCATTAAACCTCCCTATGAAAGTAACACACCAGTTGCTTTTATATGGAAGCTAAAGCATGGACTATACGGCTTAAAAGATGGTGCTCGTCAGTTTTACATGAGTGTGCGAGATGAGCTGCTTAAACTAGGATGCAGTCAATCAAAAATGGACCCTGCTATGTTCACTAAAGAAAACGGAAAAATTCTGATAGGGATGGTATGCTGTCATGTTGATGATTTTCTACATGCCTGAGAAAGGGAATTTGAGGATTTGTTGTGTAAACTAAAACAGAGATTTCTAGCTGGTAAAGTTGAGGAACAAGATTTTCATTACATTGGATTCCACATAAAACAGAATGAAAATGGTATTACTGTAGATCACTCAAAGTTTATGGAGAAATTGGATCACCCCCACCTTGATCCTAAAAGAGCAATGCAGAAACATGAACAACTTACTATGGAAGAACAAACTTTATATCGTAAATTAATCGGACAACTCAATTGGGCAGTGCAAGATTCACGACCAGATTTAGCATTTGAATTAGTTGATCTAAGTACAAAATTGAAAACTGCAACAGTGGCAGACATACTAAGAGCTATAAAAGCTATTGGGAAACTGAAAGACATAATACCAATCCAGATTTTCCCTTCTCTACATGGGTCAGCTGAAAAAGACTGGGAGATTTTTGTTTTCTCGGATGCAGCGCTGGCAAATATAAACGAGGGGAAAGGAAGTACTGGAGGTCAAATTTTGTGGTTCAAAGACCGCGTTGGAAACTGTTGTCCTATTCATTGGCAGGCCAACAAAATAAAGAGAGTTGTTCGTTCAACAATTGCGGCAGAAGCTTTAAGTTTGCAAGAGGGCCTTGAGTCTGCATTGTATTACAGGAAAATGCTAGAGGAGATCTGTACATTGGAAGCAGATAAAATACCAATTACAGCATTCATTGACAACAAAAGTGTTTTCGAGGCATTACAGTCTACAAGAATGGTGGATGACAAGCGCCTTCGAATTGACATAGCAGCAATTAGTGAAATAAAGAATAACAGTAATGTACATGTGAAATGGTGTCCAGGAAAAGTGCAGCTAGCCAATTGTATGACCAAGAGTGGAGCAAATGGAATGGAGCTGCTTAAAATTCTACAGATGGGGAAGTTACCAGAAGAATTCGTATGAATTTTTGTGATAGACATTGTATGTTCAAATGCATCTCTATATGTAAAGGGGCAGAATAATCCCCTGATGTCCCGAGGATAGTCTAATCCAATGAAGGTCATCACTGTCAAAGTAATTACATGTAAATATGAACAAAACATATTCATTGATAGGTAAAATTTCTTTATTAACTTCTTTATCAAATTTTGTTCCAAAAAAAAAAAAAAAAAAAAAAAAAAAAAAAAAAAAAGGAAATTGTAATTAATGTTAATATATATTTTTATATTGTGTTAATACACTAAGAGAGATAACTCTTGGTGGGGAACTCTTCTGTGTGTAGAGATTGTTTTGGTGAGGTGGTTGTTTATGTGACTGAGGTCAAGTGATGATAATAAAGTGCTTTGTGGATTCAGTCAGTGTTACTCCAAAAATAGAGATTAACAACAACTTTGTACTTTGTTTGTCTCCTAGATGCCAGGAGCAGAGATTTTCAAGAATTAATACATTTTCATTATATAATCAATACAGCCCCGCTCTTACACCTAAACCCTTAACCCAGGGGTCATGAAATTTACAATTTTTGAAGAGGCACTGTTGCTCATCATGATCATGCACTTAGTTTGTTTGCTTAATACCTAGGAGTAGAAAAGAAGAAGCTTTTCAAAGGAATAATGCAATTTTATTATATGAAAATAGAGCCCCATCCTAATACCAAAACCACAAATTTCACAATTTGGAAGACACCCTTGCTCATCACAACCATGCAATTAGTTTGTCTGCTAAATATACAGTATTTTCACCATATGATCAATAGAGCCCCATCCTAACTTAAGAATCACTGACCCTGGGGCCATGAATTTTACAATTTTATCAGAGAGCTCAATGCTTATTACAAACATGCCAACAGTCTTACTGCTTGATGTTCAGGAGTAGAGAAGAATATTTTTAAAGATTGTCTTAATTTTGATTGTTTTAGCCCCATCCCAGGTGGGAGGGCCATGAATTTCAAAATTTTTGTTCCCCTTTACCCACAGATACTACATGCCATAATTGATTGAAAATGGTTCAGTGGTTCCAGAGAAGAAATTGAAAATGTTTGAATTTTAACATAAATGATGATAGGCAAAAACAGATAGCAATAAGTCACTTGAGTGACTCAGATGACCCAGGCAGGTGACCTTAAAGGGCAGTTTTGAAAATACTGACAGTTTAATTTACTTCAGGAGAGTGAACTTACTTCATCCCCCATGTGAACCAGGTTGTTTACAAGATCTTTGTTTGATTCACTGAGAGTCTTGTGTCTCATCATCAGTCCCTTTATCTTGTCATCATCTTGAATGTAATCTGTCAGTAAGTATAAACAAAATGTTAGATATGGAACTAAATGTAAAATGGGGAAAACATTGAAAACAATTACTTTATCAGCTGTCCCAATATATCACAATCTGATTTGGACAATGTGACTTTAAAATGCATTATTTGAAGAAAAACAAATGCTACATAAATGTACTGGATTTTTTTTTACTTCAATCATTCTCATGTTTTTTAAGATATTTGTGCAGAATAAAAACAAGACTTCCCAGGAGATACATACACACAAAACTTATAAAGTGTTACTTTCAATTTCTGCATGCTTTCAGACTGTTACTTTTATTTCATGCAAATACATGTAAAATAGTGTTCTTTGCAGTGAAATGCTTCGAGTATTTTGAGGAATGATCAATATGGTGTTCTTTGAAGTGAAATGTTTTTTCACAGTGGTCTAACAAAATATATCTGTATTAATATCAATATAATGAATGTGATTCATCAAGTTGAAGATCTTATTTAAACTTGTGTAAATATTTTGTTTTTTTTTTTTTAATTATATGATATTTCTGTACCATTTCAAAAACACAGAGTGAAAATATGAAAGTGATCAAAACACATCACTCCATAAAATTACCATCTACCTCTGACAGGAGGGGACTATATAGAATCAACAGAAGTACATGTACACAGTTTTATAAAATCAACATTATGCTTAAAGTTAAATAAAAAAAAGTCTGGGTACTTATACATTGACTTGATTGGCAAAAATTATTCCTCATATCCATAGTTCTTAAAATGAGTATCTGTTACTGTAATACATGAACATGTGTACTGTCAATTAAAATCCATATTACATTTTTAATTAAAAATTTAACTGGTACCAAACTGGACCATTATATATCTACATTGAAACCCTATTTTGACAACTGTATAGTATATGTCGATGAGATATGTTTAGCACATTATAAATATAATATTATGTACATAAATGTATGACCTACCTTCAGGCATAATATCTATGACCTTTAGAAGGTACTCCTCAAATCTTTTGTACTGATTGACTTTCTTCTCCAGATAACTTTTTCTATAAATAGTACAATACAGGATTTAAAAAAAAAAACAGCACATAGCATCTGTCAACTTAAACAGCAAGTGATACAATGAATACTGTACTGTTTGCTAGATAGTTATTTAGTCTTCAATAGTGTCAGACAAATCTTTAACAAATTTTGGTTACACTATCGTTCTATATAATCTTAAAGGATACAAATATAAGCGAGAATGAAATTACCATGAGTAGGCTATCTCGCGTAATTACGCATATATAAAGTTTTTGTGAATGAAAAGTGATTTACAGTATTCAAAAAGCTGTTATATGCCTACATTCTTCTATATAATGAAAATCATCATTCAATTTTCATAAAAAAGAGATTTAAATGCTCTAATCCCCAGATATAACCACTAAATAATAAATAAGATATGTGAATGTGTTCAGTTAATTATGTTGCTGTGGCAGACAAATGATTTTTAAATAACAAAATTTGAGTTCTACAATTTTCTCCTCAGATAACTCGATCTATTATATACCCAACTGTTTGTCACTCAGTTTTACTGTTGAATTTACGCAATCCACCTATTCTCACATAATCCGTCCACATGCAGCCTAACTTTCATTGAAAAAATAAAGTCATTATTTGGGGGAGAAGTCGATGTTTTTTAGCAAACAAATCATGGGAGAATTATTTTTCAAAATATCAGAACTCAACCATGCATGATGACAAAAATATTCAATATGCAATATAGGTAGTGTATTTACCTTCGTAATTTACGTTATTATCTTATGTCGAAATGAACCCGTCAAAAATCGTTTTATTGCCAAAATGAATATTCAGTTTCACTTGGATTTTTTTTAGCACTATGTCTGTACTAATAAAAATACTTCGAAAATTTTGTTTTTTGCCAGTGTTTTTCTCTTAATTTGTAATTAACAAATTTTATTTGCTTTAATCTTATTTTTCAACTGAAATAATTCTGTTCCTTCTTACTAGAAATGTTTAAGCTGAATTCCTGTGCGACTTACTTTTATGTTTATGAATCATAAGAGAAGAGGATTTTAAAATTTAATTTGGGAAGAGACTGTGAAAATTCTAAATTGGTTTTTCTTAAAGAAATATATTGATAACGTAAATTACAATTTTACTGGTATTCAAACCAAAAATTAATATTTTCTTGAACTTATTTTCATCCATCTAATGACATGCATTATTTTCAATTGCCCACAAAATGCCACAAACACTGATTATTTTTCATCCTTTTGAGAGATTCACAGTTAAATATAATGACAATGTAAGATCTGCTGTTGGTATGTATTTTTTCCTATCTTTCTCTAGTTATGCCTCTCCCTATTTTTTCCTCTTTTATTCCCCATTTGCTTTTTTAATTTCTGCTTTTGACTTTACAATCTCTGTTAAATGAAATCTATGAAATATAATTACGGAGAAAGGCAATTAAATTATATTTAATTTATGTTATTTTTACTGTAATTTACGTTATGAATGTTTTGCTTCATCAAGTAATCAATGAAGAGAGATTTATGCGTAAAATATTGCTACAAATAAATAGAAGTACACCTTGTTTGTAAAATCAACTGAAATTCACGCCAAAAATACATCTTTGAGGAATTATTTGAAAGTTGTAAAAGGTAACACGTAATTTACGTTATCTGATGGCGCTTCCTGCATCAGATCTACATCGGAAGTTCGGTGATGTTAAGATGCTTTCGAGAAGAAACCAATAACGTTTCTGCATGGTTCCGTATTGTCCCGACGTCTTATTTGCAAGATAGGTACCATATATGTATTATACTGATAACGTAAATTACATAACGTAAATTACTTTCTATCAGATTAATTGGTGTAAAATGTGTAGTCGCACAGATAAATGTTCGTTTTAATATTTTACGTGTTTGGTAGGTCAGGAAGAAGAAATAAATTAATATGCAAAGACAATTTTACTTGTTTTCTTTAAGTATCATTGATAACGTAAAATACATCCTTAAAACGAACCACTCACCTCTGGTCAAAAGACCAATGTGTTTCTGTAAGTATTCTGTCATATAACTTTTCTTTGTTTCTGATTGTATTTTATGGACTTTGTTGGATATTCTAGTAGATATTTTATGTTTTTAGATACCCTTTTATGCTGTTTACACAAATACTAAGATTTTGATAACGTAAATTACAGAAATTTAGCGACAAAGTTATTTTATATTTTTTAAAAATTTCACTGTAGACAAATATCTAAAAGTGTGAAAAATCAATATATTCATGCATTGTTATATGTAAAAGTCGTGCTTTTTAGCATAAAATGTAATTGTTTTGTTTTATTCATTGGTCCAAACTTTGCCTTTTGCCTAAGCGACAGATCGAGAAGCCATTTATTAGACTATATACTTGGATCCCAGGGAAGTTTTAACCTGTGTATTAACACTTAACGATGTTGGTTTGGTAACTAGACGTATCACAAACGAAAACACTACAAAATTTACCAATTATTTTAATAATAATGTAATTTAAATTGCTTGCGACATCCAAATAGCGCATATGGACGGATTATGTGAGAATAGGTGAATCACATAATGGTGTGATCCGACATTCCAGATTACCACACTGTGGTTTTCTGAATCCATATCACCCCTCTCTGAAACTGATGACATAGTACACAGATAAATGACGTTTTTATTCTCGCGCATCAAAAATGGTTTGTTTAATGGATAAAAGTTATGTAATTGATCCGAAAAGTTTCCTTTTATTATATTTTGCTAGTTGTAAAGGGGTATATAATGATTTTATCATTATTACAGTAACTTGATCTGAAGAGCCGTATCACGTCTCGTTGACAGGCGCGGATTATCAGATCAAACTCGACGCTTCGCAACTTGTTTGATCTGATGATCTGCACCTGTCAACTTCACGTGATACAGCTCTTCTGATCAAGTTACTGTTATAAGAATATATATTTACCTCCTTTTCAGCTCGGCCAGTTGTTCACACAACTCTTCATATTCTTTCTGTTTCTGCTCCTTAAGAAGCACTTCTGTCTGATATTTTTGGATAGCCCTCCGCCTTTTGGCATCATTGTCTTTGATAAACTTATCAAATTTTGCCACTTTATTGTTCATCTGCAATGAGAGGTTAAAAATGTCCATGCTTAAGTTTCAAATTAAGATTTTAGAATTTCAATTTGGTAAAAGAAAATGCTTAATAATTAAATCAAGGATGGAATGCTTGCTAAAAGTTAGTATCAATAATGTGCTAATCAAATAACTAGGACTTATAGGTACAAAAATCTCCATCATTAACCATCTGTCTTTTTTTCTGGACATTGAGCTTCCGCTGTTGCAGCTCCTCCATCTTCTGTCGGAATCTGCGTCGACATTTTTCCAGTTCTTCGTCCACCTTAGCTACTTCCACTTCCTTTTTGAGGAGGAGTGTTTTCTGGAAGGTATTGATGCCTGTCTCCAGGAGCTGTCCACCAGTCTCCTTGACAACTGGAAATGCTGATACATCATGGTCTTCATCATCTCTGTTAACAGATAAAAATATGGTATACATTTTACTCTTTCAGTGACAGACCCAGGGGCCAGTTTGTATGAATTTAATTATCTTTGTTACACTGATCCACTTATTTTAAGATAAATCAAACATCTGTTATATAAAATCTCTATACAGAAATCTACATAAAGTTTTTTTTCTTCCCAATTTTTAAGGGTTGTGGATTAAGGATATCGAGGAAATTCCAGCGACTGTGTAATACATTGCCAGTTTAACTATATAATATATTTATATATGCATATACTATGGAATATAAATCAATTCAAATCGCTTGCTCAATACTCTGAATTCTATTTTTCTCCCAGATGTAAAATACAACACCTAAACTACAAGAATGAAATTCTATCAACCACACACACGACCTCTCACATGAGCTAAAATCAGCAGGGTTACGTACAAATAAGCCTACCCACCTGTCATTCAGCTGGGTGACAAAGATATTCCTTTTCTGGTCATCCAGTTGCAATTTGTATTTTTCATTGTCATCCATCTTAAATTATGGCAGTAAACAAAACTCATAACATGATAAAAATAATCTCGTCCGCCATGTCTAAACACCTTTATGCAAATCAGCGCACCTAGGAGATAACCACGTGACAAAGAGCGCAAATTTTAAATTTTAAATTTCCCCTCACACGTGTTTGTGTTTTTTTCCTCACGTAGTACATAACTCTGTATAATCACCACCATCATCAGTATCATAGAAGCCATATTTTCTCATCTAATTACATCAACACATAAAAGGAAAAAAAAACTCTTCAGTCTTCTGGAAAACTTGATCTTTACGCCACTATTAACATGATTCATCCAGTATGATTAATATTTAACATTACTGAATAACTTTGATTTTAGAAGGGCCATTACTAGGTTAAAGATATCTTCTCATAGGCTTAAAGTCGAAACTGATAGATGTATTGGACTAGAAAGAAATAAAAGTCTTGAGAATATGTGAAAAATGTCATTTGAATGTAAAAAATACATTTTCCTATAGATTGTCCTTTGTTTTTAAAGAACAGAATCAGACTTCCAGACGAGGCACAGAAACATAAAGTGAATTTTAATAGCTTATACAAATTAAAAAGAAAATTAAGGTCACCCCCCCCCCCTCTCCCCAGTTCATACGGCTATGTTGTGCCATTCGCATGTGTAACATATATTTCAGAACTTGATAAAACAATCAAATTTCCTTTATTACCTTTTAACACGGTTATTTCAATTATTTTCCAGAAACTCCAACAAATTGCAATTACACTTTACATTTTTTAAATGTACTTCTTGTAAAAACTTTTCATGAATTTTTAAATTAATATCTGTTAAAAAATAATTAAGACATAATATAAAACAATTTTTGAATTCTTTATTCATGAATTTCATATAACAGCTGTATAATTAGATCAATAAGGAATTATTCAATCGAAAAGGTAAAAAATAAATCTTTCTTCTGTTGCACTTTCTATCGCAATCGCAAATAGATCGACCGCTTCTGCGCCGAAAAGAAATACCACTTCACGAAACGTCATAATGATTTGACGACACAGCAGGCTTGACGTCACTGTAGACCTAGCTACATTGTTGTTAGCTTTTGTTTTCAAAATGGGTCTTCTCCATAGTTGTATGAGGAAGCGGAGTAACAAAGTTGGCATTATGACCAACGAAGAAGAAGAAGCCTACAAGAAAATAGAAAGAGAAATAAAAAACGAAGTACTGGAAGAAACTATGCAGAAAAAGCCCCTACCGTGGCTGATGTTTAACTCTTCATTGCTAGAATGCAAGTTGCACACTAACCCTGGTGAGGGAAACGAGAGAATCTCTAATATTGTTAAGAAAAAAGATGGAATGGCTTTCAGCCTTGACTTTAAGTCTTCTCTTCCAGCAAAACTTCCACCCATCAAGATCACATCTTCCAGAATTGTTCAAGAAGATTACGAAAAGTGGAAAGGTTTGCCCCCCCCCCCCCCCTCTCTCTCTGCTTCTCAAATATACATAACCTTGCGTCTCTATCTAAAAGAATGTCAATGTATTTATGTGTTTAATTGCAGAGACACAGGATAAGAGTTTGATGGAAAAACAAGAAAAAGCAAAGATCAGAAGGGAAGCAGTGCTTCAGAAGCGAAAAATTGCAGCAAAAAGACCAAAGACAGCACAGCGCCGAGATTCAAGGGAAGTTGATTCATTTGAAGGGTGAACGGAATCAAAGACTCGCCAGCTGTACATTTTAGAGGACATCAGATATTCCATAATCGGCAATGCCTCTACATGATTTTTTAAAACTTTCTATGAATGACTCATCTGATTTGCGTTTTTAAAACTCCATCATCTATCATTTTTTAGCTTTCAAACTTGCAATGTTGTTCTTATATTCGTGAAATACAAAAATGAATTTGATTCCTCCTTTGAAATGATGTCAGAACAAAAATTATAGAGTCTACCTAATTTTTTCTAAGAACTCACATATTAAATTAAATGAAGTTTATTATATAGTGTCTGATTTTCTTTCTTTTTGATATTCCGTTTAGAAATACATTGTTTTTTTTTTTGCATTTTACTTGTGAACATGGGCTCAGGAAAACACCAGTCTAGAATGTAGAAATTTAGTTGCATATATATATATATATATATATATATATATATATATATATATATATATATATATATATATATATATATATATATAATAAGGATGTCAATTTTGTCAATAATCCATACTCGAATATATATCGATAAAATAAATAAAATCTGTTTTAGTTTAAATATGCATCATCCTACTCTCATGAAAGGTTTAGCGTAGGTATACTTATATTGAAAGTAAAATTGTATGAAGACTTTTGTTGGTGTACAATAAGAAATTCCATTTGATATTTACCAATGTTTGAAATAAATAATTGATTTAAATGTAGAAAAGTATAATTTTAGCAAATGAACATGTGTGTTCATAATAGCTCCAAATGAGGAACCAGTCGTCTTACCAAAGGCAATATAGTCATAACGGTATACTGTTCAGATTTAAATACGTGTAATAAATTACAATTATATGCTAAATAAGAGATATGATTATAATCTTTGATACAATGCGAACAAATATTTCCATAACCAATTTTTGTAGTTAATTAATTAATTTCCCGATAATGAAAATAAAATTCAGGATAATGTACAACCCGAGATAATCAAGTAATTTACACATTTATTCTAAAATCAAGCCCTTTACAAAATTAATTACAGACTAATTCTATCGGACATTCATTCAATGATCAATTGATTTTATTTTGGTAAGTATACTCTTCAAGCCTTTTAGACATTCTAAGATTTCATTTTGTTGTCCTCGATTCTAAAACCCATCGTATCTAATTAAAACTATGAAAGTACGTTTTGTATTATACATAAAGCATTATTGTACAATTCTTTAACACCTTTCTCAAAACAAGATACATATAATTTAGTTGATCTATAAGATAAGAAAGTAGTGAAAGAAATCAGGCGATCAAAATTAATCGCTAGTAAATGAAATAGGGATAATTCCAGCACTTTTCTAATCAAAATTTATTAATCACAGTACTTCTTTTTATGAAATCTGAAAAACACCGAATATTCGAATCTTAAATTCATATTTGAATATCAACTCATCAAATGAATATTCGAATATTCGTTGCCATCCATTATATATATATATATATATATATATATATATATATATATATATATATATATATATATATATATATATATATATATATATATATATATAATCATAAAAGAAAAAGAAAATGCACAGTTTCCAAATTGCATTTAACACAAGCGCTTTCTGGATTTTAACAATCCTTCTTCAGGTGTACATACTTTGAACAGTTCAAAGTATGTACACCTGAAGAAGGATTGTTAAATCCAGAAAGCGCTTGTGTTAAATGAAATTTGGAAACTGTGCATTTTCTTTTATGATTATTTTTACTGTGTGACATCATCTTTTAACTACTTTTGAATTATATATATATATATATATATATATATATATATATATATATATATATATATATATATATATATATATATATATATATATATATATATATATATATATATATACACACACACACACACACACGATACTACCCTCGATCTAAAATATCTAAAATTGTTGTAATAAGGGTAGTTATGTACCAAAAGTTAAATATTAATTTTTGCAACAATCCCCATCCTTTCAGACCAGATTCGTTGTTGCGACTGAAATACGACAAACTGTTACTACCGTTTTCTATAGCGGATGCATTTATATGTAACCAGAATATTGAAGAAAAATTCTCTATATTTTATCTGAATCTAGAAAATTAGATAATATGAATGAAATTTACATTTGGGCTCCTTCTTGGAGGATTTCCTTTAAATGTTGTTCTGTTTATAATCCTTTAATTTTGAAGAGAGGTTCTCTTTATCAGGTTGGGGGGAAACGTAAATTCCGCTATAATAGTGGTATATCACTATTATAGTGAGATTCCGCTATATTTTCAGCAGTGGTTACCCTCGATTTCATCAAATAACATACTTGTTGATTAAAGCGCAAGTTATGATGGGTATAAAAATGGACAATAATTTGAATCCTTGCATGTTATGAATTTTATTTAATTTTCTGCCGATGCGTTTAATAATACGAACACACTTTTTAAAGACGAAGTTACATTTTTAACATAGCAACCAGTGATTGCGGTAGTATTGAACAAAGACTGACTCTTAATATCTCTTACACATGTGCACAAATTAGTGCTTGTAATAACTTTGAACCCACGTTGAAATACGTTTGTCGAATTTACAGAAGAAAAGATGATTTTTGCCTGCATGGTAAGGGGTATGGAGACCCGTTGGGACAAACGAAAAAAGCTCATTACATGTTCACTTTCTTCTGATGAAACCGATTTGTATTGTATAATTACAATAAATCGTAAACAATGATGTAAGATGTCATTTCTGCAAGTAATTACAAACACATTGTTTGACATTCGTTTTGGGAATGTTAAACAAAATTAACAATACGAACAACAAAGTGCCTCGGTTTTAAGAGTGTCTTCCACCTATTCCCACTTTTTAAAAAAATCACAAGTCCACCTATTTCCGCTTGCAAATATGATATAGTTTATTCAGAATATAACAAAAATAACATAATCTATACATATTTTAAAATAAGTAAGACTCTCAAAGAGTCTAAAGGGGTGGGGTGAGACCCCTGATCATGTGTTCCTCAGTCCCACAGTTCCATTCACTTGTATAGAAGACTATAATATATGCTATAATATAAAGCAGAAGAAGGAATACTTTAAAACAATATAATTGTTTTACAATATATGTAGCAATGCTGTTGTATTATATATAAACATCTGAAAATTAACCTTGAACAAATAGACATTGGGTCAACCTGACAGATCATCGTAACGTAATATAAGAGCACGATGGATAAATTTCCCTAAGCCAACTAGGGTACATACGCGATGTGAACCGAATAACTGAAGTAATTTAAATGTACTTGGAGATTTGTAATAATATTCATCTATGTATTTTTTCCTTAAATTTAGATATCTATGGCATTGAAGAATGAAATTAAATTCGTTTTCAATTTGATGAGTATCGTAAACATCGCATAATCTTTCCTCCCTCCTCTTGCCTTGTGTTGAAAGTTCATTGTGTTTATAACAATTATGTTAATTAAATCTCAACTTAGGTGGGTTTTTTTTACAATTCAATACACTTTAAGACAGAAAATACATTGAATAAATCGATGAAAATGCAATGACATATTTCACTTAATTTTGTACAGAAAATAAATAAATAGACTTTAAGAAAAAACATGATGTAATTCACTCAATTATTTGCTCCTTGAATACGTACACTTTAAGACAGAAAATAAATTAAATCGATTCAATTTCTTTTTCAATTTGCTTAAGCTTAAACTACTGTATGAAATATGAAGATAACAAACAGTAATCAATCTCAAAAGTCCATTGAAACAAAATAAATTAAACAGAGCAAACACGGACCCCTAAAAACATCAAAGGTGGGATCAGGTGCCATGGAGGAGTGAGCACCCCCTACCGACCGGTCACACCCGCCATGTGCTCCTTGTCATGATCAAGGAGCACACGGCAATGTGTAGACAATTCAATGTGTAAATAATGGCTTATGTGTACTTAAAAAAGCAGGCTTAATATTTTAGCGGCTGTGGGGCAGAAAACGATGCACTGATTCTTGATAACCATTAACAAATGAATTTCACAAAATCCATGATCGACAGGGGATGCCTACTCCTCTATAGCACCTGATCCTACCTTTTCGCTCTTCGAAAAATGTTATTGTTCAAATGGCCTTTTTTGTTATCTTCATATTTCTATTTCTCCTTGTATTTCGTATATTTATACCAGAATAATCTACTTCTGGTAATTAGGATTTCATTGTCTCTTTTTTAGTGCATAACGTAGTTAAATATAAAATTTTATGCAACTTACACAATCAATAAATTGTGCAGAATTTATAAGACGTCACATCTACAGGTAATTTTCACAAATTTTTCCCTTTTCTTGCTAAGACTAATCAATTTAATTCACGGTTTCATCATCAAGAAAGGAAACATTATACATGTACCTAAGATTACATTTAAGAGTGACAAATATTGCTTACGATTGAGACGACACAAATCGGTTCCATTAAAGTGAACTTGTGCTGAGCTTCTTTTTTTTTTCATTTGTCATAACAGGCCTCCATACCAGTAACTATGCAGGCAAAAATTACCTTTTCTTCTGTAAATTCGACAAACCTATTCCAAAGTAGGTTCAAAGTTATTACAAGCACTAATTTGTGCACATGTGTGAGAGATATTAAGAGTCAGTCTTTGTTCAATACTACCGCAATCACTGGTTGCTATGTTAAAAATTAACTTCGTCTTTAAAAAGTGTGTTCGTATTATTAAAGGCATCGGCAGAAAATTAAATAAAATTCATAAAATACAAGGATTCAAATTATTGTCTATTTTATACCCATCATAACTTGCGCTTTAATCAGCAAGTATGTTATTTGATGAAATCGAGGGTAACTACGGCTGAAAATATAGCGGAATCTCACTATAATAGTGATATACCACTATTATAGCGGAATTTACGTTTCCCCCCAACCTGTTTATTACGCAGTCATACACTTTCAACATGTATATTACTATATTTTTTCCCTTATTGCACATGGAAACAAATGGACTATCATAGATTGCGCAGCAATCTAAAGTATTTCATTAATTTCTTTTGAAATACTTAACCAAACCCATAAACTGATCCAGAAAATTTTCTAGGGGGTACATTCTAGCCTTCAAGAAAATCACAACTCTAACATTTCCTGACAAGCATAACATAAAATATTTATTCCAAGTGTATGAGCATTGAATTCTTTTTGAATAATAATGATTAAACCTATTTATCTGA